AGCATTATTTAGTTTATACTAGTACGGTAAGTATCATGACATCCAAATAATACTTGGCAATAATTATTGTCTGTAGACGATGATTTATATGGATTTTTGATCTTAAAATTATCTTGATTAATTTTACCGTAGATAGTAGAAAATGTAACTAAGAAAGGTATTGTAGCGATAGGACTGAGAAGAAGAGAGAAAAATATAAATATATCGTGTAAAAGTATTCATTATTCCTTATTCTACTGAAGTGATAAAAAGAAAATTTTTAATGTTAGTTTGTAACTTTAATCAAAATGAGTCACTATATCTTAATCGATACTGATCATTGGAATACGCATAAATTATAGTAATATACTAATGAAGCATCTGTTGATTAATATTCTTTATTTCAGATATTTTAAATGTTGTCCCGATTTTTGGCTATAGCAATAACAAATAATCTATGTCTTATTAAAGAATTTGTTTATTGTATTCTTATGAGAGCTATTTTTAAACTGGTTTTCGTTTAGGCTGTTATTTTAGAACTAAAGCCGGTAGGACTGTAATACACAGTGCGAACACATTGCTTAAAATGTTAAAATGTATTGATCTCTAATCTTGATTAAAACTATGACTTTGTGAATTAATTAAAAATCACATATATATTATCTTAACACAATGCGCTTATCCTTGTTTTGTTCCTTATTATGGCGTTGTAAAGGAACATCTAATATCATGCCCAGGCCTTTTCGGTTGTTTATTGATGTCCGAACTATTTTTTAATGCTTGATTTAAATCGACTTATTTATAGGGTGCCTATTTTGAGATAGTAGTCATACTGTCAGTGCATGCACTTCTGCCTCTCGTGTTGCCATCTTATTCTGATTGTGGATATTATTTAATTCTAAGACGGTCATTGTTACGAATTGGATATCACTGCTATTCGTTACCATTGTCACGTTATCATTATAGATGATATTAATATGGCACTTGCATATTTGATTATACCGATTTACTCTCTAATCACATAGAAATAAACTTTACTTCAAAGATCAGTAATACTGGCCGTTTAGAGGAACTATTAAAGATTCTATTGTTTGTAATAGCTTAACAGAAATTTATTAACATATAACCCAAAAAGCATTGCTACAAAATTCATCATCGATAAATTTAACGTTTGAATTATTAAATTAAATCTCCTCTATAGGTCTGTGTTATCTAAAGTATTAATGTTGTGTCTTGTAAATAGGAAAAATGTTAGTTCTAATCTATGATAGTAACATAAATGGGGGTAATTTAATTGGTATCTAGAAGTTAATTATTATAATGAGTAATTTGACTATACTCGTGTGTCATAAATGTTTGATGATATTTCCTTGTTTATGAACGACTGACTATTATCTTGTATGGAAAACTGCCTTTAACTATTATTAGGTAATGGTTAATGATCAAGGCATGCAGGACCAATGTAGTTTATGCCTTACCGATAAAAGTATAAGGATCTGCTATGTAAGCGTACTAAAAATGGATAATGTACGTGTAAATGTGACGTGCATATATACTGATTATTTATTTAATGGATATTTTGAAATTATATTGCTTATGCCAAAGGTTTACATGTACTGTGTATAATTACCAAACTGATGAGAAATGAAATCGAAATTTCTAATATGTCGTGTACTGTAGATATATTCAATTTCTAAAAATTGACATGATTCAGTCAGAAACGGCCAAACCGTCGTAATCCTCTAGAATTGATTTCTTAGTAAGAATACTAGTGAAAAAGCGGCAATATCTAATTTAGATTACTAGATTTATGACGAGGTATGTAACGAAATCGCAACTGATAAGTATCATAAAAGTTTATTTTTAATACAAATGCTTTGCCGTCTGATTATATGATAAGAGCATAGCGAGTAGTCGTATAATCTATAGAATAGGTGCACGATACTTGTCGGGATTGTTTTCATCTACGTTGAAAAATTGCTACCGTTCAGTATTAATAATTTTATCCGATATCGATTTTTAAGTTATAATTTGAATTAAATATTTAATATGAGAAGATAAATTTATTATGATCGAATTTAGTATTGTCGGTGTATAGATATATTAATTAATGTTGTAAAGAATTATGCCGTGAACTTTCATTTTTATTAATTGTACATTGAAGATAATTTCATAAATTCAGATAATAGCAAACTATAACCTTAACGGTTTCGTTAATCAAATAGCAGCATAATAACATGTATTTTTAGTAATACGATCAGAGAGAATTTACCTTTCCGCAACTGTGAATATGATATTTCTAAATTAACGTTTTAATTAATTATTGGCGCGCAATAGGTAAATCGGGATAAAGGTAAAAAATTTCAAAAATTGTTAATGAGTACAGTTCTTTAATTTATTAAGAATTTCATATTTTGACAATTAATGATGATAAAGGTAATAATAATTAAGTAGTGAGCACTTAAATGTATTCATTTAGGCAGAGCGATACGGACAGCACTGGAATTTAAATCCACGATAACTTTGCATATCTGCGGTGGTAGAAACTTTGATACTATGATGTCACTGCTATGTACTATAGTACATAGTATTTAATGTTAATAAATGAGCAATAACAAAGATGCCGACAGTAAATTCAGAGATGCCACTTATAAGAAATTGCTTATGGCATGACTAATGACTAATGGGCTATTAATCTTTCTAGTCACGTTTTTAGCTCATTTAGAGTTATTATGAGTTTAATATTATAATGTTTAGGTTTTACTCTTAGCTATAACAATTTGAAGTTACTTGAGCGATATTTACAATACAATACTAATCACGGTTTTAAATTAAAAATTACTTAAACTTCAATCTGCTAAGAATTTAATATTGCAAGAAATTAGGAAACCTTATGAACAACTAGGCCGTGTAGGATATAATATAGATAACTCATAATAAGTCAGTTACTTATTTATATTTAGGTAGCTTGGGGTTAGGTTATCATTTATTTATTAAAGGGTGTCAAACTTGTAAGCAACTTTACATATATTTATACATGAAATTAAGAATATAGAATAAAGAGTCATGTTCGGAAACGTGAGACTTCATTCATTAGAATATTTAAATTCCTTGGGTTTATTATATTAGCGAACGAAAAAGTGGGAGGAATGTTAATTTCAGCAGAGATTTCTGGGTTTTTAAATGTCGGACAAAGAAATAGGCATTTCAAGAATAACTGATTACATTAGAGTAAGCAACAGTAATTTATGCAGTTATATTGACATACTTTGCCTGAGTCTTACTTGGTCAGCAGCCGAAATTGGTTGTTGCAGCTTATTTAATTTTATAAAATATGATTAGCATTGCTACAGTATCATATATGGTATTTTCTTAACCTCTTACATTGCATTTTGCGTTCTAATAAATACCAATTCACTAGTCAAAGTTATTAGGTACAGTGGAATAAACATTCATCTTGACTTCTACGGTAATTATAGCATTTTATATCAATAGTCGTTCGCGTGAGTGTACAGGTGCAATTGAAATATTCGAGTGTCTGGAACATTACCTTACTAATATGGTTTACATGAAAGAATAGCATGTTTCTTTACGAGTTAAATCAAAATGTATGATTTCTGACAGTGACATTAAAGTTCTTAACCCTTATGACAAGAATAATAATTATAAGTTTCTACAATTTGCAACCTAAATTCAATTACCGTATTATCATAACTCTTTATTTTCATTTTAATTATGGATATAATAGTAAATGAATGATCAGATACTTCTAAATTTTGACTGAAATAAAATAATACACTCATTCTATTTATCGGTGTTATAATTACAATTGAAAGAGTGCACTTATAATATACGAATTACATCACAGGATTCATCTTATTAAGTTCTATAATAATGTACATAATTTTCAATTATACATTTTTATGGAAATTTACACTACTTAAGGTTAAATAAGATTACATTATTATTGTAATTTAATTCATAAAGTTGTTGTCATACCTGTAATTTTTTCGATATTAGTAATTGTAAGATCGATTGGATGCTCGTATGTCCGCGATCTTACTGCAAAAATTAGGAAATTCGTAGCATGGCATAGAAAATATATGCTTATATTTTTTAAAGACTTGAGAAATATAGAATTTTGTTTTATTCAATGATGATGATAGTTTTAATCTTGGCAGGCATTTACTTATTAAATAAATTAAAATCGGTCCTGTATATATTTTCAACTAATTACTATAACTACAACGAACAGTAATTACGAGTCGTATGTTTGTTTGAAAATTTTAGACGATGGTACAGTTCGTCATTTGATTTGCAGTACATGGAGGATAGTTAGCGTACTATCAGAAAACGATTGCAGCTTTCACTCGTTAGGAGCCGCGTAAACATACGCAGAGCTTAAATTTAGGTAATAAATATAGATTGCATAAATATACAATATACCAATGCGTTTAGTAATTTGCTTATTGCGTGCTATATTTAGAGAACCTCTGCAGGACAGTATGGTACAGTACAGTCTTCATCGGTAAATGTAAACAAATTTGAGTAAAGTACTGTACAGTACAGTACAGTACTGTACAGTACCCCAATTGTTTGAACTGTAAAGAAATACTGTAGGATTCCTGTACAGTACTGTACACTGTACAGTACAGTACAGTACCAAAATTGTTTGAGCTGTGCAGTACTGTAAAGAAATGGGATTGTACAGTACAGTACTGTACAGTACACTGTACAGTCTAATAAAGTACTGTAGCTATGTACTGTACATATACAGTACAGTGCATTATACACTGTACAGTGTACAGTACTGTACTGTAATGTTACTGATAGCCCGCGGCACAGTCCAGTCCGGTCCAGTCCTAGTCCACTACAGTAGTGTACTGTACGTGTAGCGTACTGTACTGTACGATGGTTGAGTTAAGTCAATTATTTTCTGTACAGTGGGCTTTATGTATTAGTTAGCACATCAGCGATGTTGATAAAGGCACCACGATTAATTTTATCAAGATTAAATTGAGATGGATGATTTAAAATCATCAAAGAAACGCAAGGCTTGTGGAGCATGTGGCCCATGCCTTAAGAAGGAAAACTGTGGATCTTGTAAAAATTGCCTTCACCGTAAAACCGGGCATCAAATTTGTATTTATCGAAAATGCATCCGTTTGAAAAAGGTTGGAAGCGTTTGCGATTTTATTACTACAAAGTTTTAGTACTGTACACATGTGATGTAAGCATACTATACTGTGATTGTACTGTACACTAGTGGAGTACCGAGTAAATAACAACAATATTAATTGAAAATCGTATACGGTCGTGGACTACCAGAAACGGTACATTTGACACAGTAAATAATGTTTAAATGTTGATGAATTTGGGATATACAATAATTAAGTACAGCATTTAAAAAAAACTAGTCTGTGAAATTACAAGGCAGCACCTTACGGAGTAAATTTAAAAGTATAGAAATAAATTACGGTATACTTGTAGGTTGTATTACTATATATTAGTTGTAATAAAAAGGGAAATTTTATAAATTATGAGCTCGAAAATTAATGAATCAGTTAGTCATTAATACAGCTCACTTAATTCTATTAATCGATCTAGGTACGGGTATTTAAAATTTTAGATTATCGCTTTCTATTAATTTCTTTATAATTCATTATTTGTATGGCTTTACTTTATCATTCACGTAGAAAGTGATAGCTATGTATTGCGATTTTGAAAGATTCATGAATTTTTTTTACCATACATTGATGGTGCTATTAGTTTTACATGTTAATCAATCATACTGTAGCTCTACTTATTTCCAAGTATTTCGAAAGACGAAATCTATTGCAATGTTTCTATGAAAAATCGTGCAACTTTATCCTATGCTATACTGGACTCCACACTTAAAACAGTTAAACAACACAGTACCACACTACAGTATTATGAGTAGATACTAGACACTAGTAAATAGCTGACGCAAGGAAGTTAACGTAGCCAATTTTAGATTTTGAATCGGTTAACCACGTCAGCAATCACTGTTATTGCTATACTTGCCTGCAATTCAATTGTAATTGACTGGAAATTCGAGGTTCGGATTTTAGATAGGTACTCTGGTTCGTACATCTTCAGTTTAGCTCTGCTTCTGCAGTTAGTAAATATAGACTACATGCGGATACTGTCATTGTGGAGGGATAAGGTGAATTAATTAAATCACCGTTTCGATGGATCGCTTACAGTGATAGCAAGCAATGCCTAGCATACCTTAAAGATAACGATACTAGATTATACGACTGTGTAACGTGTATGGAAGGTTATGCATGTCGTATACGCGTGTTTTAGAATTAAAACTGGACACTATTTCACTATTTCAGGCTTAAAAATTGAACGGGTAGTTTCTAGCAGTAATAATTATAATTAATTAATTATTACTAGTTATTTATAGTATACGCGTAATGTATTATACAAGAGGGAAACCATTGCCTGTAGTAGTGTACAGTATAGTAGCATTTTCTAAAGTATTTACCTTTGTTATTCTTAATTATTGTATAAATTGGTATAAATTGTGTACCAAATTTATGAGGGCTATATCGAAAAGCTAGAGAAAATACAGTATTACTCTAAATTTCTATTTTTATATTATTGATTGACATTATGAAGATTTCTGACAAATGATTATAACTAATAATCAGTTATCAGTAAAGTTAGAATAACAATTTCAAGTGGGCATTCTCGTAGGTCCCGGACCTAGATCTTCGCTCTATAAATTTGGTAAATGAGTGCATTTGAGTGCTGTCCTTTTCAATAATATTATTTTGAAGTGTATCTCATTAATCGACGGCAATAAATGCCTGTTATTCTAGCGGTTTATTCAATTGAAATTACCTGTGATTAATACAATAATGGTGAAGAAATTAGAAAATGATGAATTGTCCTTAAAGTACAGTATGTATAGGTCAGCTATGGGATTTGTTTTAATTATTGCCAGTGTAGCTTTAAAAGTGCGACTTGTACAGTATGTGGTGACGATACCGATTGCATACGTAAATAATTAATTAATTAAATACTAAACTTGCTATTTTACTGGCTTAAAGTCTCTAGAGATAACGGGTAAAATGAGAAATGAATAGTGGAGATGTTTAAATCCAGAGAGCAGACAATAAATTAGTATTTTATTACAAGATCAATAGGATGAAGTGTTTTAAAAGAATACTCACATTTTAGTAATTCTTTGAGTGAATTCTGACTTGTTGTTATTTTAAGTCGTATACTAATTAAATGGGTAGTAGAATAATTCGTATTTACGAAATTAGGGTATATTGAGTATATGATTTTTTTTACTTTAATCGATTAAATATATAGACATAAATCTTATTCATTTTTCGAAGAATTTCTAGAGACATAGATGTAATGTATAGTTCTACTTATTGTCGAACTTTACAGTAAGAGAATATCAAATAAAAAATAAGGAAGAATATAAAATACTGAGATCGACCGCAATGAATATCAGTAACAGGAAATCGATGTTTATTAAAGCAAGATAATTATCTACAGTACACTTAAGTATATCTGCTATAGTACATTGTTTCCGGTATTTGAAACACGAACCGTAATTAACTATTACATGAATCCGTTGAAGTGTAATCGGCTCAATGTGAGCTACTGTGAAGCAATAAACTAATATACCCTAATATTCATTGTTGTTCCTGTTTAACTATCAATCTTGCTGTCTCATATAGTATATTTGTTTATCGCATTGAGATATAAATTTAATAAAGATGTCTATAATTTATGTGATTATATTTAAATATATTTTAGTCAAATGGAAATCAAAATGACTACGATACTAGTGATTCTCTTCCGTCGCCTGGTAATACAACTCATACCGTCAGAAACGTTTCTAAAAAAAAGAAGACTATCCGTGATCTTGTTAAAGGGTCAGGACGCTGTTCGTCAAAAGCTTTCGCTAAGAAGAATCAAATTAGCCGTAAAATTAAGAAGAAAAGATTGCAGGTACTGGAGCATTGTTTATAGACAAGAGTTATAATTAGGCAATTACTTCATTGACGTGTATCACTTAGCAAATTATTGTCTACACCATTTCAAACTACAAGGAGCGCTTCAATAATTTAATACTCTCGGGGTACATGCTATTCGTTATATTTATTGTGTAGTATTACGGCATTGTTAAACTACAGCACATAGTCTGCTGAATCTTTTGATCACTTCTTCATTATAGAACTTAGTATAGTGTTGTGACATTTAGTATCCTTTTATATCTTCTGATATTATACCTAGTTACTTTACTTATAGTTATTGCAATAAGTTATATTTTCGTTTTTTTATATATTAAAGTAGACAATACTGTACGAAAATAAGGAAGGGGGTCATTGATGTTGGTGATAGCAAGGATTTTTATGCAATTTTTCTTTGTCTCTAATCATTTACGTTAATTTTGGCTAGAAATCAGGGATATTTATTATTATAGGGCATATAATTTCGTAAAGGCTGCCATCGTAAACTAAAAGTACCTATTACAGACACTACCTTAATTTAAATAGTTTATTGTTGCTTGGATAACGATGATACGTTTCACTTAGTTGTTCTCCTTTACTAGTTACCTATGTGAGCAAAGTCAACATGATTACTTTATATTAGTTTATCCCATAGATTTTTACCTTTGTGCCCTTGCTGTATTTACGTGCTGATTTTAAGATATATCATACAAGTGATCACTACTGTACTGTATATAATACGTATGTTATGCTATGCAATCAACCAATCAGCTTGGGACTAAATGAAGGTAATATTAACCCTAACTCAAAGTTAGGTCATAATTTATAAGTATCATATTATATTTTGTAACTTGCAACACTACATTTATTATGACTATCGTTTATCGCACGATGTGCAGAACATCATTATAAATTTAACTCCCTCAGATTATTATATTTTCTGTTTATGTGATTTTACTTCATATATATATATATAAACAATTAGAGTGTGTAATTGCTTAGTTTTTGGTATACTGCAAATGCGTTCTAAATATTTTGTATGCGATATAACAATCTACAGAAAATGCAATCTTCGAAATCAGTTAAAAAAGAGCACACCGATCGAAGAGAACCTGATATGATGGAATGCGATAGTAGTAGTATGCAGACGCAAAGATTATATTCTCAGTCTGAAAGAAAGAAACGTAAATCAAGAAAAACAAAATCGGTGTCATATGCGGAAGAGCAGCATGATCATTTAGATTACAATTGCCAATGTCAAGGTAAATTAAATGCGAAGTTATTTATATAATCCCAATGTAGTACAAATTGTATAGTATTTTGATGTACTCGTAAAACACTTTAATTTGTTTTATAGACGAAGACGGAGCTCCTTTTTACACCCAGTTAGGAGTTGCAGGAAGTACTGAGGAATTACGCGAAATGTTAAGAGACAGGTTTGTCTTGGTTTAAGTGCATAACAATGCAAACATCTGGTTCTGTAGTCATCCTTAGTTTGTGTTTATAGTATGGATAGTCTTTCAATCTGTAGTTTCATTGTAAAATTATTAGTCACTTTTACATATAGGATAGTTTATAGTTACAATCGGTAAGATGATTTCTGTTGATCATTATTTTGCTATACGCTATTCAATTAGGTTTCGGATAGATGAATCTAAGCTTCGGGTTATAGAGGTTAGATTTTTATGAAATAAATTTGATGAATATGTCGAGTAAAGCTAATTGTTACGGTAATAAAGTTATGTGCGTAGTAACTCTATTGATAATATCGTCAAATATCAGGTTGAATATACCGGAGTTGAGTCAAAAACATCAGATGGATGTCCGAGAGCTGAATGGGTATGTAGAGCACAGAATACAATGGACTTTAGTTCTAGTGAAAGTAACAGATGAATTGACAGTCACGGTTACAATCATTATTATCTGTTAGGCGATTAGACGCATATCTAAATCCGAGAAATTATTGGCCTTGGTTCATCGCCGTCGTGGCCATACTTGTAAAGCGTCTGTAGTGCTGATGGCTATTGTTGCGTGGGATGGCATTCATCCTGATCGTGCTAATGTCCTGTATGCTCAATTGTCTACTATATTATCGCAATATCCATCAGATAAAGTCTCATATGGCATTAATGAAAGGCAATTCTTGAAATCATTATCTTAAGAATTTTTTGTCTTGGATTGTGATATACTTTAACAAATCAGAGTTTCTTAGAATCGCGTATTCTTCAATAAATTAGGCAAGACTGCCATTGTCAAGGAACTGATAACCAGAGAGAAGGAGCTGCTTTTACTTTGGGAAATATGTACCAAACGGAAGACGATGGTTTAAAAATCATCTTGAACGCTAGTGCTTATCAACTAGCTGATAGCGCGAAGGTGCAATACAATTTGACGGTAGTTATCGGCAGTGAAGTAGTAAATAGGTATATTCTTGCAATCATAATTATAGGAACAAGAATTAGCAGAAGCCCTTGAATCTTTGGCAGCTGATTTAGCTCCTGTTTATAAAAAATTTGCCCCTTGGGCATATAATAATCAGGTAAAACGAGAGAAATTTCAGTTTTAAAGATTTGGTCTTAATTGTAGTTGTTGTTACTAATTGTTCCAGATCAAGTATCAAGAAAACTGTGTAGGCAAAAGCATAAATGAAGAAAAAAATGGTCCCTTTTCTGGAGTTATATGCTCGTTGGACTTTTGTGCACATAACCATGTTAATACTGAGGGCCTAGATGATGGAGCATCGATGGTAAGATACTAGTTAAATTTTATTGTATATTGCTAACAGTATTAACGCACATTCATCACATAACAGTAAATATAAAGATAAAGGCATTTTATGGTGTGTTATAGTTTACCTAATGCGATTAAATTGGAGGTTTTTAAAAAAAATATTTGTCGAATTATATGTACAGGCATTACTAATACTAAAAAAGTCAGTGTTTAAAAACTTCTTTATACGTCTCAAGGTTTGTACTCTCTTGAAAGATCCTGAAGATGAAAATGTCAAGAACCAACTCCATATTTATCCTATGTACCGGCCATTATCCAGATCATCAACAACAAATATAAATGATGATAGCATTCTTTCGCCTTATGATATGAGTGAGATAGTAGGAAATGGATTAGGCGATTCTACGTCGTTTTTACAAAACTCTGGAATTGATGAATTTGAATCTGCATTACCTGCTGGTATAGAAAGGGTACATACTACCCTAGATAGCGACAGTGCAATAGGGATTGGCACGAGTGGTATAGGGTTAACATTACCTCATGGATCATTATTAATTGAGTGTAGTAGTAAAGAAGTTCGGGCTACCACTCCAATACAAAGCCCCGACCGCTCACATCCCCAACGGATAACTATGACTTTTTTTCACCACAAAACGTTGAAAGCAAGTCAACGCGAACTTTTACGTCAAAAAGAAATTAAATTTCGAAATCAACAACATCTTTATAATAATACTGGTAAAACTCCTTTACGAGCACATACTAGCGGTAATAATCCATTAAATTATGGCAATACATCATTTCCGTCAAGCATGAAACGTTCTGTAGGCCCATATCCGACTACTGATTCAAAATTTAGAATTTTTGATTTGAATCATAGAAATCAAGTTCTCACTGGACTGACAACAAATCAGCAGGCCATTTCTAGCACTGATAATACTACAACTTGTGATAACATTAAAATTTATACTAGAGGAATTTTCACATTGCCAACTAGTACTAACACTCTTGTAAAGTCAATAGGAGATACAAAACCGGTAGTAAGTGGGCCCTATCAGCGTTGGTTTCGCCCATAGGAATTATTTTTGATGAGTCATTGGAGACAAATATTTATAACATGTTGAATGTTTTTATGCTATATATCAATAGAATTTGATATTACCCAAACGGGAATAAAGAGAAAAACACGGATTTTATGTAAATATGTTTAATAGTTTGAATATACTTTGCATTACTTTAATGAGAGTATATGTAGATTTGTCATTTATAAGTATATTTCCATCGTACACTTTTTTTAAATAACTGTCACTAGGTGGCTTAAGAGATTCTTTTGATACGATTTTATACTAACAGTAGTATTCATTTTAAAATGTTTATTGCCTAATTTCAAAAGTTCTGGTACTGTTTTAATAAGGAATTAGCATTTCATGTATTATTTTTACAGACACTTGATTTCTGAAGCATTCAGATATAATAAAAGTAAATTTTAGATGATAGTTATGTTATCATTGATGAGTCTTTTCATTTTAAAAACTACTTATTACTAATATTAAACTATACTTAATTAAAATATATAGATTAGGTTTTGTCACTCAGATGGAAATGATTTAATATTTTATAATGCCGGTAATGAAAACTTGTCTATTGTCCTTACAGTAATCAAATATGAACTTGCACACCACAGATATAGCTTCTAACATTGGCAAAATCGTAAGAAGTACCGTTCTTCTGGGTAAAAAGTAATCAAGTACAAGCAATATTATAAATAATTCAAGAGGATTCCTTTATATTGTTAATTGTGATAAAGTAGTTGATTTGAGTCGATAGTTTACGCGTATATCGGTAAACTCACATGTAATTCCGACATGATTTGTACTATACCATCTACCGTAAGAAAACTAATTTCCAGAACGGATAGAGAATTTAAGAAAAAAGCATCATTTTTACTTTCAAAATTTCGTATAGATGATATGCGGTAAAGTTATCTATCCTATAAATATTCCATTTTCGCAATTTTCATTATAACACAGTTTCGTTATTGGTGTAGCTGTCTTTGCATTAACTTTTTTGTAAAGAATATTTTAGTTGTGAGAGTACCGTATGAACGGTAATATATAACTACGAACTATAACAAATCGGTTCTTTCTTCATCAGAATCTGATGTCCTGATATCTCTATACCATTGATTAGTAACTCGCTTAAGTTCAGCTTGCGCAGCATGGACTTCCTGCCAGTAAAAAATAAACGAATTGGATTAGGTTTAGAATAGTTTAAATACGTACAAGAGGCCTACCTGATGAGTTACGTGTCTTCTGAAAAAAGGACTAAGGTACCTTGAAAGCAATATAGATGGAATAATTTGGAATTATAGCTTTAGATCAGAGAATAAGTATAGTAGGTAAGGCGTTTATAATTAATCTAAGGCGAATAGTACTTAGAATCAATACGAGCGAATCCCTTCAATGAAGTTCCAGATCTGAATGTGTGCTCTATTTCATCTGTATCTATAGCATTACCCTACATAAGGCAAAGGTAATTTTAAGAATGCAATGAGTTAATTAAAGTATCAGATCCAATGGGATTTCAAATTCACGCAAATAGTGATTGTTCATGACGATACCATTTCCTCAGTTTTATTCAGCGTTACTTTACTGTTACTTTGTACGCCTAAATACTGAGTTGTAAAGACAATCAATTTTAGTAACTGGCCACCATTTTTATCACTGATGCTGTTATTAATCTTGAATTGTGCATGTAACGAAATAATCCAGATTATAATACTGAAATAGTTTTTAGGCCCTTTACTTGATGTAGCGTATTTATACCTACCTTAAGTAGTGGCAGTGTTGATCCGCCTAATACCAAAATTGTGAATAAGACAATAATAAGAGTAGAAGTTATGATAATACTTCGCTTTTCATGGTCGAATTCAATATGAATGCTAAGCGCGAATGCAATGGCGCCTCTTAAACCTATAAAGATTAAGATTGAGGATATTAATCTAATTTATAGGCATTAATAAAAATTATTATGCTTAAGCTGTATTTCACCTACCACTAAACCACATCACAAACTGCATTTTCCTAGATATTTTAACTTCTCTAAATCGATTGACGACTAAACTTAAGGGGAAGATATTACAAGCTCTACCGAGCAAGCAAAGAATCTATGGTTCAAAAAACGAGAATATTATGCTATTCATTTATTCGCTAAATATAGAGCTTCTGTTGCATTTGCTGTTTGGGTATAACGAATACGGTCGTGAATTTTGCGTTATTAATAGATACTTACTATGCTCCAGATTATAAAAGCCGGCTTAAAAGTATGATTAAAACTGAACAGAGCCATACCAAGATAAGCAAAAACACAAGTTTCTAAATTAAATAATGAAAACGATTATTTTGATACTGTAGTATTATTATATTTTGCGCAGATTTTTTTAAAGGATTTATATCACGGTATATTACTATTTAGATCGCTAACCTGCTATGAAAGCTACAGTTCTAAAAATTTGTTGGACGGTCATTTGGGTTACAGGAGAGAGATTGAAGTGAGTGTAATGCGCCATAACGATACCGCAAAAGAGGATAGCCATAATCCCTAGTTTTTGGTTAAGTTATTATGGGTAAAATTGATTCAACACAGTAACTTGTAATTAAATATTATAAACGAGGGCAGAAATATTTATGTTGTTACCTGATAGTTGTAATCCTTCTGATAAGCTATATGGCAAATAAGAAAATATTAACAGCATCCCTAGTTCTAGAGAAGGACTATTTCTAAGCTGAAAGTGTTTAAATATTTACGTACGTTAAAGAATAAATCATTTTCAGAGAAATGTTTAATTTTTATAGTTGAAACTCTAAAACTGATTTTTAATGTTTACTAGATGCTTATAGAACTGATGAAAATATCCGTTGCATACTCGTATGTGACTTTCATTTTCGCAATACGATCACTATGAAAGCTGATAAAGGTTGTTTACCAGTATGTGAAGAAAGGTATATTATGTTAGGCTAAAGAGGATTATTTAATATCGATCATACAAAAATATCATAACGGTATTTATATCAAGAGAACTAATGCCAATGTAATACGTTTAATTTACGGGGTTGATAGTAATCTCTTAACCTAATTTACAGGTAAGTTAACGTAATCTATCTTCACATTAATATCTTTTCACGAAAGACGCGATCATAATTTGTGTGAAGCTCTGACAGCAGTTTGCAAATCCACACGTACTGTAAGTATTCCAAACCGCGCTAGAAAACTGTTGTAAATAAATAACGATAAATTTTTATGGATAATTTGATAAAATTTCTAAAAGGAAGAGAAATAACAAGGCGCGATAACTCGAATCTAGGACATTATTATTGCTGTATTTCAGGTAAGATGGTTCGTTTATGATGTTGCATATAGTAGTGTAAGTGAAATAGCCTTAGGTTTACTGGAAGAAGGTAGTTCCATATTACTGCCGTACTTTGTCTTCAGTCTCTAGTTGGTATCCATTAAGCAAAAATAGAAGTAATTACTATACGGTCCATATAATGTTTAGTTGTGATACATAGTTAAGATGTGCGATAGATTTGCTTTAGAAAGATGTATTATGGATATCAGAGCGCTTGCCAAAGCGAATGCAATCCCTATACTAGAAGATGCAAAGAACATAACAAAGAAATGTCCAATGGCTTTAAATGCCGCTAAGGTAGATCCACCCAAAGCTTGAGCTTTCGAGAATTCTAAGATAGAACTGCAATAGAGAACCGTTAATGATATCACAACTACAAATAATAATTAGAAAAGTGTTGCAATTTTTATACTAACTTCGTCATAACGATAGAAACAGCATCATTTAATACGCTTTCACCAAACACTAACATATTTAATGTTGGATTAACATTTAATGCATGAAATATGGCTAAAGTCGCAACGGGATCTACAGCTGAGATAAGGGAGCCGAAAGCAAAACTAAAAAATGTTAAATTAAGATGTAAGTTCATCATTTTTATCCTGACGATTGTTGATATTAAATACAAGAATTTTACCTTTCGGTAAGAGTCAGGGGATATATGATTTGAGCCTAGGAAATAAAACAGTTATTAGTTATTATATGTATATGCTAAAGTAGCTTGGAGACGTAATACTACTTGCATAATACTAAGCAATAAATTTATTTTGGTTTATGCGTGATTGATATTGAAGTCTTATGATATTACTGATGAGAAAGCATAGCGTACAATAAGGCACTATTTTCCTTATTACAAAGGATCGATTTAATAATATACCATAGTTTACAGCTGAGCTTTACAGTCGAAGTTATACACACAAATTTTAGGACGAATTTACTGTTGCATTGTCTGTATGTTACAACTAGAGAATATCAGGTATTTAGGCTAATTCCATATAATCAAAGAAACATTACCATTCCAAGTAAGTAGATCCCTCCACCGACGACGATAGCGGAAATTGCCGTACCAATAATAGCAAATGTTAGTATTGATCCAATGTTAAAGAAGAAGTTACCCTACATTTATTGATATTAATTATACTTATGAACGAGTGTATAAATTTAACATACAATTTGGTACTTCATGCTACTGTAATTAGAATTACGTAAGATTTAAGGGACTTATTTACTATACGAGAATATTATATTACAAGCTGATAAAATGTTACATAACCTCTAATATGAGATATTAAACAAATTATTAGTAACTGGCGTGATCAAATTGAAAATGAAAGACAATATGGTAGTGATTTCGATAAAACGAAACATCTTAGTAATTTATTATATCAATTTACATTTATACTTGCTAAATAATACCTTATGCAAGGAATACCCTGACTCGAAGATTATTGGGGGCAATAAGACAACGAAAAAAAATGTTGGATCGAAAACTTCTTCTTTCTAAAACGAGAATGGTAGGGAGTATGAATTAGTATATTCGGAGGGTAAAATACTAGCAGTTACATACAGTATATAATCACGTTTTGTGATTGATAGTAATAGCCAAAAGATTTATTGAATCAACAAAATCAAGGCCTGGTAATCCCTAGCAAAATTGAATATACTCATATATCAAGATGATGTGTAAATCTTTGTTTACGGTTCTTACATAAAGTTAATGATAACTAGTACACCCATCGCTTCGTATGTACTGAAAAGTACATATACACACATACACACCGACAAAATTATTGTAATACAATTATTAGATGAATAAACAGAATGTCGATACCACTAGTAATATTTATCCAAGAGGAATCAGATGTACAATACTTATTGCATTGTTTTTAGGTATTGCATTCGGAGCGCTGGCTAAGCTCATGAACAAATTTGTTAGTAAATTATTACTTATAATGATTGAAATAGTAGATACCTGCCAGTTTCCTAAATCGAAGTCTTTCATACCTTGTAAAATACCTCCAATTATGGCTCCTGTTTAATTGGTTAAACAGTAGCGATTTCGGAATCAATTAATTTGATAATGAGATTCTTAGAAATTATTAAGAATGTTGATTTATATATATAGCAAAATACGAAACTGCAAAACAGGACGATATTTAATTAAACTGTTGCTACTAATATATAGCATATAGTATTATGTACTGATGAGGATATAAGTAATATGATATTAATGACGTTTAAAATTAACAGGAAGGTTTAGACATTAAATCTTACCAAAGATAATGATGGCGATACTTTCCGGCACTGCATGAATCTTAAATTTTATGAAGGTGTATACCAAAAGGATACAAAAGGCTATATAGAAATGGGTGAAATCAGAATCGTGTTTGATATAGAAGTTAATTCATAGAGTTAATACAATATTCTTTTCCTGACTTGCTTTATAAACATTTCGGTTATACAGTTATTTGGGATGAAATACAGGCACTGGTGTGTAGGTGTGCTGTTAAACAGCTTTAATTAAGTACGCGTATACATGAAGGAAAAGCTCTGTTAACATGCGCATAGCCCATTTCATAAACTTACTTGTGATATTATTAAATCATTTTAACTTCGTTCTATCAAATTATTTATAAAATATTCAGTATTTTGAAAATAAGAAGTGAGTATTTACACTGTACATCATACATCAGCACATTTTCGTTTTCTATATTACACTGTATATTAGCAGTATAATTGCTATAAGGTGCTCTATAATATCAAATAATTATTAAGGTAACTTGACAGTGATTACAGTAATTAATTATGATCGGCAATCTACATTTACTTACTGAAAGACGATTGTTATTTTGATTATGATGATAAATCGACATAAATTTGTGTATTGTTTTAGCAATAAAGCACATCTTGAGTTAAGTTAATGGAGTAACTTCAATGATGATCTTAACATTGATATGTGTTATAAAATTTTAAGTTAAGTTTGAAACGCCTAGGCATAGAGTATACATATATTACGGTAATGAAACGATTTCTATTCTATTTTTGTCAATAGAATAATTTCATTTATTAGCTTCTAATAGTAATATTAGAATATTGTAATACTACAGCACATTAAATGATATTTGCAAAACGAACGTTAGGTTAAAGCATTAAAGATTCTACCGTTTCCATCGATTGTATCTGACGTAACATAGAAATTACTGCTGAAACAAGTAAGTTTGAGATACTCGTCGAAGATGCAAGTGCGGTATACAGTACTGTACTGTTCTGTGAATGTACAGTAACAAGACTGCTAGTAGAAAGTCTAGTAGGTTTTCCTTCTAATAGTCCATGCAGTATACTATAGTATAGTAGGCCGGTTCAGAATGCAGAAAGTTGTAAAAAGTTGCGCCTGGATAATTCTATGTCATGCCATATTACAAGGTAATTTCGTGTATTCTGAGTCGGCTTAATATACAGTATATTATTGTTGTGTTCCAACTATGGTTCCAAATTTTAATCGTAACTATTGCAAATGATGTCATAAGCTTACACTTGTAATCACCTATGTAGTACGATATCTTCTGTAAATTTTAGTAGTTAATTAAAGTAGTTCTTGATTGTAAATTCCCTAGTTTTCAGAGTAATTTATCCTAGTAGGCAAAAGTACCCCAATTAATTTAGGAATGCTCTAGTAAAATCGTTAAATCGTTTGCATGCAAATAAAGCAGAGAAAATAAAAACCGTTTTAATATACAGCATGGATGCACCTTTAATAAAGTAAATAAATAACCATACTCACCCAGTATTAACAATAAGAAAAAAATTGTTAACGTAATGTCCGACTCAGATGTTGTACTTATTGGTAACGTAGTAGTGTTGATTATCTTCAACGTAATGAAGTCCGTTGTAGAGTGATTCGCAAAGTATGATCTGGAAAAATAAAATGAATTAATAATAATAAGCTTTGCTTTGCTACACCTAATAAGTAGTAAAAGGCTATAGTACTGTACAATATAGCTCCAAATTAGTACTTTCTGAATAGTTTCAATGAAGATTTAAAATTATCTGGACAATATTGTAATTCTCATTTAAATGCAGCAACAAATTTCATTACTGTATTGTATGTATAATATATTTTGTAGAATCATTGCTTTAAAAAAAACATTGAAATCTTGCATGCTTTTCTACGACTATATACAGTACAGTACTTGAGCATAGTTAGTATTGTAGTAGGGTAAAAAGGTTGCTAAATGAGTGACTATTACTAGGTATGTAAATAAAGTACGTAATTGAAGCCTTTAAGGTAGAGAAAATTATAGAAATGCTTACAGACTTGAGTAAGTTCTAAATTACGTAGGAATACGCGTATACTGAAATGTAAACCGCTTAACTCCTGCGTTCTATGGTGCTAATGAAGTAGAGTTAATTAACTATACAGTATGGTTCTACCTATTTTTGCATATATTGCACTATACAGTACTGTACAGTATTAGTTAATTAATTTAATAAGGTTGACATTCGATTTGCAATTTACTGTTATTATAGTCATAGAAAAATTCTATTACATATTATTAAGGTTTAAGTAATGTAGATGATCAGTGATAAGCTTGCTTACTCATTGAATCTTGTTTCATTAAGAAGGGAACTTGTGGTAGTCATTCTCATAGTCATAGATCGCTCTTAAAAATTTGACTTTCAGTATGCCAACGTTTGTAAAAATAATCGGAACAATTTTAAATACTGTAGTCAACCACTATCTATGAATCAGCGTACAGAATTTTCTAGTCATGGTAAGGAGTAGAAATATTGCACTAGTAGAAGCTTGTCTTTTACAAGCTGCAACCACCTATTTGTAAAGTATAGCACAGTACGGATGTTATACTGTATACTGTCGCCTCTATGGTTTAAGGTTAAAGTTAACTTGAACAAAACAAAAATAATTCTACTGCGCAAAAACACGATGTCATACTAGTGTGTCTGTGCAGTACTGTACAGTACTGTACTGTACAGTATATAGATTATTAATTCATTGACTCACAATCACTGTGCCCTGTGCATACAATATGTTCATAGTTCATACCAGCAACAGCACTGGTAAACTCGGTACTGTCTGTATCAGTGTACTGCATTCATACGTCTGCACTGTACAGACTATGACTTTAGACTTCATGCTCGAAAACTACCGTACAGTACGGTACTGCACAGTCAGAAATCATCTCTACAGTACAGTACAGTACCTACAATCCTACTGCACAGTGTACAGTACATATACTGTACTGTATAAATTTCAATGCCGGCAGATTACTGTACTGTACAGTACTGTACAGTATAGCGTACAGTATGACTACTCACGTACTCTACTTGGTGTATTGTATTAAAGACAACGCTGCACTGTACTATACTGTGCTGTATTAAGCTTGTATAGCATTACAAGGCCAAACCCCTAGAGGTTGAGGAACTGTACGAAGCACTATACTGTACTGGTAGTACAATACATTGTACTGTAAACGTAGTACTGTACTGTACATTCACCGTATGGTACAATACAGTACAATGATTAATTAATCTGCGCGTGAAGTTATACCGTATCATGTAACTGGAGTCTTTTGAAAGTGAACGTGGTATTCGACTATTCGTATCGCTTTGGATTAATTTTCAGTTTTTTTTTTACGGAGAACTCCCATGAAAGATTAAATTGAAGCGAAATGTCGAAAGTGGAACAAGCATTAATTTTAGATCCTAGTACCGAATTGAGATTTAAAGGTAAGAAGTGCTCATAAAGAAAATAGGATATTGAAATGTACTGTGTACATAGTGACAAGTAGCTTGTTAGTTGCAAAGTTGGCATGACGTTTCGACTAAAATGACGGAATTCACGTACGATAATTTGAAGCAATGTCATAGCATCTTCCGTTTGTGATTGGTTAATTATTAATCTAGTCTGATACCGTACATTTAAAAATCAAGTTTTAACCTTTGTAAGGGATATAATCTCGTCGTATTAGTGGATAAATCCAAATGTCGAATGGCTAAAATTCCGTAAAGTACATTGAGAGCAAGCCTTTAATACTGTATGATACATTAAATCGCATTTGATATGCAGTATCTCAGCGAAATGTTCTTAGACTTTTCCTTAATGCTGTAATTGTGAGTACAACATGATCGAATAGTGACTTTATATCGGTGGGGCCGTACAAATTGGCGACTATCAGCTACGAATCAGCAAATATCAGTTTCGTTGAATAACATTTTATACTTCGCCCTACTGCCTGTAATATTTATGATTGGTCGGTTGATCTGACTATTGCGAATTTTGCACTTACAACTTTATACTGTATATGGTTGTACAGTGATTTGTTCTTTGAAGCATGGTAAATAGCTCATCTGGACTAAACTTCGATGCAGCAGCTGAGAACGTGTACAAAATTTTAATATCATGTACGGCGGGGTATCTAGTGTTCCTGGATATATCGTAATACATAATCATTCATTGAAAAGCGCGCATACACATCTTGCATAAACGAGCCGTAGTCGATCATAGCGCAGTAGTGCACTGTACTGTACAGCTATTCCCCGGACGGGTAAATAATGATAATAATGATTTGTTAACATAAATATTAAGTGGTCTTTGAATTACTGGCAACTACTATAGTATTTCGCCCCTAAATAATAGGCCCTGCAAAGAACTAAAAAGTTTCAATTGCATTGTGAAAGATGTACGTGTGCTGGGTACTTTCTGATGCAAATGAGTAATGGTGACATGATTAATCATACGCTAATTTTATTTACCGTATGTCAATCAATATGAGATACCTTTGAATTTTGTATGATATTCAGTGCTGTTAATCGTTTTGATTGGTATTGGTTATTTATCATCTTCTAAAATTACTGCAGTTTCGAATTTTAGATGTATTGTATTCTTTCACTTTTTAATGCTTTACTGCGATTGTTCCATTTCATGTTGCAGAAGCTTGTTAGATTCGTTTGCATGATGTAAGGCTATTCGCGGTATGAAGTAACAAAGTACAATATGTTTCATTACTTTATTAGGTCCTTTTGACAAAGTAGTTACAACTCAGTTAAAGTTAGCTAACCCTACCGACAAAAGAATTTGCTTTAAGGTAAAAACTACTGTACCTAAGCATTATTGTGTGCGGCCAAATAATGGTATCATTGATCCGCAAGATTCATTGGTTGTTTCAAGTATGTGAGCTTAATAACGTGTCCAATAAAGTTACTTGACAGTTTTTGCTTTACTGATAACTATAATTGATCTGGCTTATTTTATTCGTAATTAATGATTTAGTCATGCTGCAACCTCTTGCGCATGATCCTAGCGATAAAACTACCAAGCATAAATTTATGGTTCAGTCTGTTTATCCCCCGTCGGACATGTCATCTGGGGACGTGGTAAGTACCTTAGTAAATATAGGCATCAATTTCGGTAGTTTTTAAATCGTTTTATTAGATTTTAACCCAACGTGTAGCATTTAGCAAGTTGGCGTTGGCCTTGCTCCATTATTACATGTATTTTAATCGGTTTAAATGTTATTGATCTTAGGATTATATGTATATGAGCTGACTAAATAAGTACCTGATTTAAGTTGACTTCCCTTGTTCTGCATTCTAAAATAACGTTAGATCAACTGCTCGAGAAGTTATTACTCTAATTTTAAATACTTGTATTTATTAGTGGAAAGCTGTGAACTCGGCTTCAGTGATGGATTCGAAATTAAAGTGTGTTTTCGAACCTGTATCACAAAATGCAAATAAGGTATTTGTTAAAGCGGTGATATGATTTCCAACTACTGGACTTACTGTAATATTGTGTCTCGCGTTAAATTAGTAAATTTTATACGTATTTTAGGATGAAAACACACATGCAGTTGTTACTCAGGGACCTGCTAAGGAGAAGGTTGAAGATTCTCCCCAACAGCAAAATATCCCCCAACCAATTAGTACGAACACATCGATTCCTGCTGATAGCGCTCATGAAGTAGAGGTTCGTGCTGTATTGCGATACTGAGAAGCCGTAATTTTCGTAGTCTTAGATTTTAAGGGTTTGAATATACCCCTCATCCCGAATATATAACATCTTTATTTCTTCTGTTATAGCCTAAAATTACCGTGGATAAAACTAAGGTAAGTCTTTTCCGTGTTTATAATTTATATCATATTATGGGCAAGTGGACGCCTCTGATTAACATGTAAGTTTACTTTAGGAGACTGATATACGCCAGCGAAAATTGCAACCAAGTCTTCCTCAAAAGACTAGTGTTTCCCAAAATGTTAGTAGTCCATCTGTAGTAGAAACCCCAAACCAGCAAATTTCACCAGTAGTTTATATGATCGTTGCTTTAATTATCGGAATTATTTTGGGAAAATTTGTGTTGTGAAGAGAACTATGGATGAAAGATATCCTGATGCAGCAAAAGCTGCTTAGCGATTTATTCTCAATGGTTGCTAACGTCACGCTTTTGATTAAGGAACGTAAAAATGATCTTAAAGAGATGCAATTCTTTAGCAATCTGCAGTGTTGTATGGTACTAATGTAGCCTGTATTGCAATAGCGAATTAAATTATATATTCTGTACAGGTATATTTTACTATTAAACTTATCTCTTACGTTGTGGATCAATATATTATATACTGAGCTGTAGTAAAACAGAAGTGGCTATTGTTAACATTAATGATCGTTCGATATGTATCAGATTATGTTGATGTTGTATTTATCTAAACTCATGATATTTCTTAAATAATTTTTGGCACAATTATAGAGCTGGCTTACATTAACGAAAGAACTTATTTGAGCATTTTAGGATTTATTTTTGTATAGTCAGTGATGCGTAGCAGGATAAAGAACTATCTTGAATATTATGAGTCGATATTATACATTCTATTGCTTTATATAATTTATCCGCTATATTAAAAACACCGAAATGAAACGTATGATACAGTACTCTGCTACTGTAGTAACAGTACTGTATTATGTCGTAGTGCCATAGAAATATCGTGTAGATGTAATTATTAACATGATACTGTATTATTACCGTTTAGTTTGTATGTCGTTAAATAACCACGTAATGTAGTAAATATTAGCTTCAAATAAACATTTTTCTAGTACCATGTAAGAACAACAAAGTTTGTTATCCTAAGGCTAGCAATGTAAGTGTAAGTGTAAATTGAAGCTTGCAGTCAGTTATTCATAGTATCACATTCTTAGTGGGTGCTGTGCTCGTATACCCATACTACTGTATAGATATTTAAAGTGAAAGGAAATCGTTTCTATGGAACTACGCGTATGCGTAGTTATGTGTTCACTGTTGTTAGTGTTAAATTAAACAGTAAACAGCATAACATGTATTTAAATTACTATTAATGATAGGAGGTGAGTAAAAGCAGAACCACTATCCTCATTGAAACTGTTCAAGATATTCCAACTCGTATATGTGGCATTACTAGAAGAAAGTAGTTCATGACTTTAATGGGATCAATGATTTGTTCGTACTGAGTGGAACGAGAGATGTAGCTACGTAGTATTGTGACGGTATACGTCATTATATGTACAGTCGTGTGGTTCATAGTATTCGATGTGTTGCTTATGACTTGGTATGCTTTAGATATGAACACCATATTAAGGTATTAGGGATAGATAGTATAGTATGATAACGTTTGATGTACAATATATATAATCACTGGATAAGAGACCAGTTACGACGGTTGTACTGTACATGTAAAAAGAGTAAGGAGCAGGATAGGCACTCAAATGAAGACTTAACTGAAACCGTTACAAGTACAACGTTTGATGTACAATATATACTAGCGCAAACTCCCGTCGCTTTGCTGACGGTTTACGATAATGTGCTCATTTAACAGATAGTATTACCATTTGTCGTACTCAGTAGACCTGTCAGAGGTTCAGTAACTTTATACCGTGTACTGTGTAATTAATGAAGACTTAACTAACTAAAACCGCTACAAGTACAGTACAGTATAACATGTTTGTACATGTTGCACTACGTATATACGAGTACACAGTATCATGATTCATTATCCGCTTTTTACTGTACTGTACAGTACAGTACAGTATTTTACGCGTACAATAAATATAATTAGGGGACATATTCTTACATTAAGTCTGATTTGGAATAATTTACGATACTTCATTTTACTGTACACTGCCTAGCAGAGAAAGGGGATTTTGACAAAATTGACAGCCAGGCCCGATTTTTCGTGTCAATGCTATAAGTGTGTGTGTATATGCATATATCCGTTGTACTGTACTTGTACATAGGAATTATGGTCAAACACCAAAATTAATCATCCCAGGGCTAGGACTGTCCAGACAATCCTAGAATTGTCCTCATACGAAATTTCGATCCTATCTCCATATATCCGTTGTAATGAAATATCGTTGTTTCAATTTATTTGCAAGATGGAAAGTCGCCGATATACAGTGCAGCTTGGGCTGTTTGGTACCACATCCTCCATTATATGGAGGATGGACTTGTACAGTACACGAAAAAACGCAATTTTTCTATTAATTTTAATCTGTGATTTAATTTAATTTAAAAGGTGACAAAGTTACAGACACTCGACATATTTATGGCACTAGCCACTAAAACATGAAGATATGATAACATTTAACAGTAACTACATATCCTTGACTCGGCTATATACAGTACAGTACTGTAGTCATATCTTAACAATATACTGTACTGTACGTCGTACTCAATGCGAAGCATGGAGCATCACATGCTGGTGACCTTTAGGACCAGTCATGCTGATGTCAAATACTCAACGTATGTGCATTAAAAGATGATACAGTATATCTTTCTTAGAGTAAGAGTGATTGTGTAATTTGTAGGATGTACGACTAAATGCAAAACTGAAATACAGTTAACAAGAAATTACTTAAATTTAATTTAATTTATTTATGGTTGTATTAATTTTTAGCAGCATTTTTGCACTAAATTTAGCTTTATCACTACAATCATCACTGTAACAGTACTGTACTGTACAGTGTACAGTACGTATATTAGATCAGGGACTACTCGAAAGAAGAGAAAGGGGGGACAGGACAGGACGCGATCGTTGGCTATACAGTACTGTACAGTACTGTACAGTGTACACTGTACAGATACAGGGATGTCGAGGCCGACTTTTTTTTGCTGGTCATTTTACAGTAGCTGCCAGCTTGGTTTTTGTACAGTAAGATGCACGCTTACAGTCGTAGGCTGCTCTTTTTAGCGTACTGTAAAATGGCTACAAAAAGTCGACCTCCACATTTTTAGCAGCTATAATCCCTACCTTCTCGTTCGAGTAGTCCCTTATTAGACAGTACGGGAATATGATGTACTGTACGCGTATTCAAGATGTTAAAGACACTGCAAAGCAAAGCGTCGGGTCAAGCCGGTCAACATACAGTATAGTAGTAGTATGGCTGGCTCAGACGTGTGATTCGTACGATTACAGTGCACAGTACAGTACCGTACAGTACAGTATATTACCTACAGTGTACAGTACAGTACTGTACTGTACTGTACTGTACTGTACTGTACCGTACAGTATATTACCTACAGTGTACAGTACTGTACAGTTACGCGGTAAAAGTCTGCAAAATCTGCTGAGCTTACAGTGCTGTAATTCTTCTTCTTATTATTGGCCATCATCATTCACGTGGCTTAACATCATCATCATGGCTATTGCATTGATTGGTCGCTGTACAATCAGGTGAATTTGGCATACCAGTAAAGATACGAGAATTCTGAGTTCTAAATTAATGACAGTTAATGGTAATAATGGTAAAGTACAAAACAAAGGAAACTAATGGTACAGTACTGTACTGTACTATACTATACTGTACACAGTATACAGTACTACCATCTTGCAACGTGACACCTGTTTGCCGTCGGCAGTCAACCTGCTGAATAGTCTGTACACTAGCACTGTGAGAGGAGAACGCTGCTGCTGCTGTACGGTACTGTTAATAAGTGCAACAGCATTACTACTCGTTCATAGCTAAGGTGCATTTTTTAAAGTTTGAGGTTTAATACAGTTTGCACATTTAATATATACTGTATACGGCATTGCAGTGAAGAACAGTAAAATCTACCGAAAGTGGACTAAAGCTTGCGGTACAGTGCGTACGTACTACAGTACAGTACAGTATTCACTATTCATTTACCCTTCATTTATTTCTCCTATTGTTTTAATGTCTCATTTAAATGTTAATTAAACCACTAATTAATTAAATAATTAAAAGGAATCGTCTTTAAATCATACAGTACATACTGTACTGTACCGTACTGTACTGTGCGAGCGAGTATTCTACAGTACAGTACTGTACAACGTACAGTATGATCGCAATTGTTGTACTGTACTGTACAGTACAGTAGAATACTGTACACACATGGGTCATTTTCGATATAGTAGTGCGGCACAGTTGTTAATTCCTCATTTAATCGGAGTGTGTGAAGATTGAAGAGCACAGAAGACACAGTCAGTCATATAGACGTTACACTTTCTTGTGTGCCGAAGATCGTTGTAGGCTTTCTTGCTAACCCGTTCCGGTAAGTTACCATAGGTTAATTACTAGTCACATATTATGCCAAAATATTTTATTTTTATAACGATACTTAGTCATTATATCAGCACAGTTCAGTACAATATTAGTCAACATACGAATATACGTTACATAGACAACGGTAACAACGCCAAAAAATTGAATATTCAAGCAATGTTTTATGGTATGCTATGCTATATCGTAATGGCAATGGATAAAATTTTTTGGAACTACAGTACTGTACATATTGAATACTATATGAAAGTTAACAGCTTAAAAAAACATGCAGTACAGCACAGTAAATGTAACAAACTAGAAAATTAGCTCTAAAATAGTAATTTGTTTTTATGTTTTGGCTAATCTTGACTACATGTACAGTACTGTATAGATATATAAATTATTAACAGTAAAATAATAAAATAAATAAAATAAAATAAAATTTAACTTGGAGGCTTTTCTGTACATACTGTATGTGTACCGTACTGTACTGTACTGTACAGTACAGTAAATGTGAGCTTTTACTTGGCAGCTATTGCGTACTGAGTGTACAGTACTGTACAGTACATTACATTAGCCCTAACCATTTTGCATAAATTACTTCCTACACTTCGTTTACTGCAATACAGTACATAAGCTGTCCTACTAATACTGTGCATTGTCTGTAGCAAAGTACTGTAATTTATGCAAAATATGTAAATAGAATACTGTACAATAGTGTACTGTACATTTTAAATGTACAGTGTACTGTACATGCGTCTACCTGTCTGTTCGCTACAGTATACAGTATTTGGACATGTAATTGGCCCACTACTGTACAGTACCGTACAGTACAGTACTTGTGCTGTGCGATAACTCGGTTAATCACAGTTCTCGTAGTGTTTATCTCACATCATAGAATTGAAAGTACTGTATACAGTACAGTACAGTACTGTAGTAGCAGGTTTTTGCTAGCTACTACAGTACTGTACAGTATTTTTAAGCTCATGCCTAGCTGCACAGTATCATCCAATTATGATTATAACATAATACAGCAATTGTAATTTAATTTATTTATTTATAACCATTGATTAACGGCGATGACTTTTGGGAACATGTTTTCTCAATTTCGTTGATAATGTTGCTTGCTGATTAAAGCTTAAAACTTAACTTATCCAAACTTACAGTACAGACTTGATATAGTGTGCTGTAAATCGATTTATACTAAACCTATTACATGATTTAATGATTTAGTATTTATGAATAACGATTAGTTGATGGAATACAGTACGTGCAAAATGGTGTAACTTGAAACTGTCAATAATAATTTTGTAAAAGCCATACAAATGATTTTGCTACGTTAAATGTTAGCTAAGTAATTTGTTATTGCCGCTGCAGTACTGTACATCACTTTCGATCATGCCACCGCAAGTACCGTTGACCTCCCTAATCACTGAAGTTGAAGATAAAAGTGAGCAAGTAGAAGAGAAAAAAATTGCGTACAAACGTCAAATTATTTGGAGAAGCGTTGTCAGGATATCAATACTACATATCTTAGCTTTTAAAGGAGCATGTCTCGTTCCTTATGCTCAGACATGGACATTGCTTTGGGCGCTGTCGCTATATATACTCGGAGCGCTTGGTGTAACTGCTGGAGCTCACCGCCTGTGGACCCATAGGTTGAGTGACTGATTTATAGTTATTCTATCTTAGTAAACAGTATATGTAACAGTTGTAGTATGATGATAAATGGTCGGTAGTGCGGCTTACTGGTTGATGGTGTATTAATAGTACGATGCTGTGTGTTTAATTAAATACTACAGATTACAAGAAACAGTTTCTTAGTACTTAAATTTTATTAATTGTACCCAACATTTTTTTTCAGGACTTATAGGGCGACGATTCCATTACGTATTTTTCTCATGATTTGTAATTCTGTAGGCCTTCAAGATAGCATTTTACATTGGAGCAGAGATCACAGAGTTCATCATAAATATTCTGAGACAGATGCTGACCCTCATAACTCTAAGCGAGGATTCTTTTTCAGTCATATTGGTTGGTTGATGGTAAGGAAGCATCCGGAGGTTTTGGCGAAAGGAAAAAATATCAATTTACAAGATTTGTATAATGATAGAATTGTCATGTTTCAGCACAGGTACACGTTTATCTCTGCAGGCATTTATCTGTTAATATAATTATTACTACGTAAAATCTTAACTCAGTAATTATTGGCATTTCGTTTGTGTCTAAATTTTTTATCTATCCATGTTAATGTTATAGGTACTATCGTTTGACTCTCTTTCTCTTTTGGTTATTGATACCAATGATGGTGCCGGTGCTACTATGGAATGAAAGTTATAGCAATTCCTTTTTTGTAGCTGTTGTTTTTCGCTATACGGCTCTTCTCCATGCTACATGGTCCGTTAATAGCTTTGCCCACCTTTGGGGAATGCGACCTTACGATCGTTATATCCAGCCTGTCGAAAATTGGGCTGTTTCTTTTGCAGCAATTGGTGAAGGTTTTCATAACTACCATCATACATTTCCGCATGACTATTCTGCTAGCGAATTTCGATTTTTAAACTTTACAACATTATTTATTGATGCATGTGCTTGGCTTGGTCTAGCTAGTAATAGGCGTAAAGTATCCGCAGAAGCGATTAAGAGAAGGATTAATAGGACCGGAAAATCTAGTATACAGTTTGATTATTAAGATATTGCAATAAGAGACATATTAAGTGTTCACAGTTGTTACCACGATATGAGCTATGTGTATGTGGGATAAACTAGACTAAAATATGATAATTCAGTAAGTTAGTGATATAATTCAGTTGGTTATATTTATTTAATGGGATTTATTACAGGGTTAACTGTATCTTAATCTAAGCTGATGGATGGCACTGATAGTGTTCAAAACATCGTAATCTATCCATTAAAAAATAAATTGTGACACATTTATTATCCAATACGATTTTATTAAATAACTAATGCTACTGTGTTACTAGGAGTCGTATCAGCAAAGAAACCGTTGTAGAAAAATAAATGTCGATAAGCAATTTATGCGCACATCCAATACAGAACATATCTTACATTTCTGATAACATGATTATCCAAATTTTGCGATAATTACTTACAAATGATTTATTTAGTCATATAATGCCGCTTAAAACTTGCATTCTTAATTATACACGTTGCCAATATTTAAAAGTTTGGCCATAATTTAACAGACTGAATGATAGCAACAACTTTATTCGGTAACTGATTAATGCATTACATACGGCTGTAGTGTTGGATTATTTCTTAAATAACATTAGAATGAATAATGTCTAAGTAACTAAATTGAACACGTTGACTTAAAAACTTAAGGAGTTCTAAGCAAATATTGAAGGTACACTACATTATTGGTAAACACAAACGTACTGCAATAATGATCATAAAATTCTTTACCTAATGCACGCGTACATCTTTGGGTTAATTGGATCACAGTACGCATATCTCGAACGATAATCGTAAATCGATGAATACGAGTATAGGTCTGTTCAGGTCTTCTACAATACTAGTAGTCTATAATTAATTAATTAATAGATTATACAGTATATTGGCTGTAACGAGATTAGTAATGATGCTGTCTACGTACAGAAGGGCTGATGTGCACCTACTGTATAGTACTGTACAGTGTATATGATATATACGCCATTATGCTGCACATCTAGTTACAGAAACGATTTCACCCATGAAAGTCTTGTGTGTTCTGTAGGAGCCCCTGGCGAAACCAACTTAGCAGCCAGTTTCCTCTCGTTCTTTTTTAATGTTACTATATTGTAATTGTACCGTATTAACCGAAAGTGTGACAGGCCTAGTATGGCCCGCATACGGTGCAGTGGTGGAGGTGGTGACATACTGTACTGTATTGTACAGTATACGCTATTACAGTACACTGTACTGTACGATACTGTAGTATTTCACTAACTACTGTACAGTACTGTACAGTACACCTTAATGTCTTGACCCGTAATTTTGATGCTTTGCGAACGCTACAGTGTCGTACTGTACATACTGCACTGCATGTTACATACACGTACTGTACAGTACAGTACAGTACAGTACAGTATAGTGCAGTAAGTACTTACAGTACATCCATGAGTTGCCAGAAACAGTGGTATGACCCGTTCGTCAATCGCTAACGCTTACATACAGTATACAGTACAGTAGAACACTATACTATACAGTGTACAGTACAGTACTGTACACTGTGCTTTTAGTTAAGTTTAAAAGGGTTTGACGCACTTATTGTGAGTCTGGGCATCGATCATGGCTGATTACTGTTATAAATGGTATGAAGCTGATGTTAGGACGAAAAGGCCTGAAAGGTTTGATGATTATCTTTCAGATTCTGTATTTACTTGAGAACAAAGTAGTTGTAGCCATAAATTTGTATAAGAAAAATGTCTACTGTATGCATACAGTATATGTTATACATTAATACAGTACAGTACAAAATGGAGTAATAGCATGAATCTTGCAACTTTAGTATACCTGAGATAATTATAATTTACACGTATTTACAATATTAAAGTACGTGATATTTATATCTGATTCTTTCTTTTTTTTACCAGATTTTCATTGCTTTTATTACAACCAAATGAAATTTACTTTGAAGATTTTAGTGTATACTACTATCCGATAGATTTACCAGAACATGTTGCAAATGAAAGGTTAGGCTTGGATTTGTTATTTAATGTCAGGTTCTTATGTAAATTAAATGGGACTGAAAGTGTTAGATGCAAAATGCATCCCGATTGTGATATCTGATAAATTATAATTACTACTCTTTAGTTAGTTACGACATCAATTTTAAATGAACTCTAGGTGTAGAGAAATGATTTCATTAAATAGAAATATATTGTATGTATTAACTAATTTGTTACATATTAAAAAGATAAATCACTAGGTATAGTATTGTGCATTTTAGACCGGCTTATTGCATTTGATCAGCACACTGAGTCGCATTATTAGGTTTAGAGACAGATAAGTACAGTAAGGTCATTCATCTACCGGATATCTAACTGGTAGTAGAGAGTTAGAGACGCATTATACCATTGCATTACATGTAATACTACAGGAGCTGATTTAGGACCAGATTAACAAATATTCAAAATAAGTACACGTTATTATTGTAGTACTATATAGATATGTGTGTCTTATTTGTGAATACTGTAGTTAATGTATTGATCGATCGTCTTCTTATAGTATATTTGAGAATGTTACTCTTCGATATTAGATAGCGTAATCCTGAAATTTTTAATAATGGTATAATTTCTTCATAGGAAACAAATTGGAAGATTGAAAGTGTGTTCAAAATCGTTAGTATACGAACCACAAGATACCATCGCGCCTTTATTAAGAGTAAGACATTAAATTGCAATATCGTGAGTTTTGAGAGAGCATGAATCCCGTTAAATTTGTTACCTTGCGAATGATTTGTCAAAATTGATTACGATACAATACTGCAACAATGCAAAATTATCGTAATTGACAAGCATACGTGTATTTACTATAATTATAATTGTTATGAGTAAGAAAAGCCTTGTTAATCTTATAGTTCGACTATAAGCAGTGCGAATTTATAGACAAATGGAGTGGCAGCTTATATTCAAAGTAAGTATCGAACTTTCAATAAACTACATTTTGTGTTAATGGAACAGCTTTATGTTACAATCGTATTGATCAACAAACTGTTATTGACGAATTTGATTTTTACCTAACTATTGAAGAGCGAAGTACTCTGTATACCATGCAGATTAAATTTCTTAGCCATACTTTAAGTTAAATCTGTGGATTTTATTGACGACTATGTAATTGGATTGTTTCCGCATACATGTGCATATTATTCTAATTTCAGGATAGACAGAAGCAATGTTATTGCAGTGAATGCATTTCAAGTCAGTATTATCTTTGTTGTCTTATTTGATTTAGAAATTGTTTGACGATTACGCCCACGCATAATGTACCTCCTTGATAGCTAATTTTTACAAACTCAATCTACAGGTCATAGAGCTAAAAGAGGGAAATAAAGTCACTCCTTATAATTTTAGGAAGGTATATTCATAAAGATATTACGATTTCAGATGATAATATTAATATTATATAATGACTCATGAAGATTCTAATTTGGAGCATAAATACGGAAACATTCTAATTTGTGATCTTCCGTCATTAATTACAGCAAAAAGGATTTTATCTATTCTCTCTCAATTATGTCAGTATCAATGTCATCATTCCATTTATTCAGCAGGTTAGGCGGATGCATTAACGATGCGATTGCTATATATTAATGAAGTCTAATTTATTCTGTACAATATTGTAAAATCAGAAAGTTACGCTTAGATAACCATTACGCAACTGTAGATTTAGTTCAGTATTTATATGAGGTATAGATCAATTTCACGTACTAAAGCTTATGAAACTGATTTACTGAGTGTGCGTGTGTGATGGTGCCTATCTGACTTCAGTAAAAAGATTAGGGCCTTTTGCTAAGTATATATGTCATCATTACGAAGCTGTACTGCTTAGCTGCAATTACTCATAGTATAACTATTATCAGTAATTTCTCTAAAGGTATCACCGAATTTTTCGACTGTTATTCTATATTATCCATTAATAATATATAGCTATTCTCTCTCTTTTAGTTATGGCGTGCAGCAACTTTACCTAGAGCTGAACAGGATGCAATGGTAAATTTTTAAGTAACTGTGGCAGTTGAAATAAATATTTCTTATCAAAATCATTTTAGTATATTGACATACTAATCAACAATAATTGTAATTGACTAATTGGGGTGGGGTTACCGAAGTATAATCATAAGTTTATCAGATTAGATTGTATAATTCTGACGTAAAGCACTGAGGAATATAATAATCCACTGTTGATGACATTTTATAGATTAGCGCTATTGTTCATTCGAGATTATCAAGGCTCCAGTTCGACAGAAATTGGTTTGATTATATGAGATATTTACTTCATAGTGCTTTTACTTATAAGTTCTCTAGAGTATTACATTGCATTGATGACCATTCCACAATTCTGTATAGGATGAACGATATATTTGAAAATATAGTGTTGGAAACAACAGGTACAGTCTTTATTTTCGTTACAAGTTAAGAGCAAGTTTTATAGTAGTTAATTGTTTTCATCGCATTGATTAGCTTTCGACAATTATTTCATAACATTATGAAACTTCTTATTGTATAAAATTGATCTTACGCAGTTGAACGTATCAATCCATTAAATTGTACCCCAGGGCGTATTGTTCTATCGCCTGTATTCCTATATTTTCAACCTTTTAATAATATCGATGCCGTAAGTTTTATACCTCAATAGTATTTAACTTATATTAGAGTCATGGTATATATTAATATATCCATAGAGGATGTGTATGCGAATTTATGATTAAAATTTTAGTCTCGTTGATGTAATAACCATTTAAAGATGCTAGAATATCACAAATATATTTGAAAAAGGATATTTCTTCATCTGATGAAAAGGGTTCCGTTTTGAAGTGCAAGTTAAGCAACATTACTAGAATACAAAAGAAGAGATATATGTTAACCCAAGTGGTAATATCTTATTGTCGAGTAGTATTAAGGCTAGTGCACTTACTTTGCTACATCTTTCCTAACGAAAATGATAATTAATTGAATATAGGGTATTGAAATTTATAGTTCTACTGAAGACATGCTTCTATTTTTGGCTTTAAGTTCTGAGCATGAAAGAAATCATTTTTACGATATAATTTGCTCACAAAAGGGTTAAGTATTTCGCCAAGAATTTTTGCGTTAGTATTAGTTGATATATTTTAATCAATAGTATTAATGTGTATTAAATATAGACGTGCAGTTGGAAGATTCCGTAAACGAAAATGCTACCTTAAGATGGCAGAATGGCTTTATGTCAAATTTCGATTATTTAATGCATTTAAACAGGTTTACTAATATCCAATTCCTTGAAATTCGATTATACTCGCATATCTAATTAGTAATATTCATGTACTTTTCATGTTAAGGATTGCTGATAGAAGCTTCAATGATTTAACCCAGTATCCGGTTTTTCCTTGGGTGATTGCTGATTACTATAGTGAAGAATTAGGTATTGCAAATAGTGTCTCGTTGAATGCAGCAATTATTAATAAATTTATATCCAGGGTTGTGCAGCTCAATTTGAATTCTTAATTCAGATTTGGAAGATCCTAAAACTTTTCGTGATTTAAGTAAACCAGTTGGAGCCTTAAATCAAGACAGACTTTCTCAATTAAAGGTCAGTCTTAAATAAGCGAAGGAAGTTTAGGTATGTAATAACGTTTGCAGCTTATAGCTTATTTTTATTTTTCTGTACTTAGGAACGATATGATGATATGCCTGAACCAAAGTTTCTGTATGGTAGTCACTATTCCGCTCCTGGTTATATTTTGTTTTACCTCGTACGAGTCGGTAAATTTATAAGCTTATCGACTACTTCACAATAGTTATTCACGAATTAACAGAAAAATATAAACTCGGAGCGAAGGTAGTTCCGCAGCATGTAGACTAGTAACAATTTTTACTCTTTCCTTCAACAGCTCCTGAATACATGCTTTGTTTGCAAAATGGAAGATTTGATGCTCCCGATAGATCTTTTCATAGGTTTGCCTCAAAATTTGTAGCAAATTTCTCTCATTTGTTCTGTAAAATATTATTCTTATTTTCATGTCTTAAAAGTATTGCTGGAGTTTGGCAAAACGTTTTAAGCGGATTCTCAGACTTTAAGGAAGTAAGTTGTACATTTGATGGAATTAACGATAAAGTGAAAAGTTCTACAGTTCTTAACTCTGGCGGCTGTGAATATTGAACGTTATTTTCCATTCATTTTACAGTTGATACCGGAATTTTACGCATCAGATGGAGAATTTCTTAAGAATTCTGCGGTAATGCGGCATAACTGATACCTGACATCTGATAAAATAGTGTTATATTTACACTTTCGTGCTGTATCTACACGTACGTATAGATGTTACCATTGGGCGTTAGATCGGATAATAGCACTATTGATGACGTCGTTCTGCCTAAGTGGGCTAGAGGTATAGTATAGTGTTACTAACAATTTGTTGATATTTGAACTAACATAGTATATCTTTAAATAGTCGAAATGAAAGAAACATAAGTATACCTACACTACATCACTAGGATAGCACGTAATCGGACTTTATGTTTGTATAGATCATTCAGAATTCACGAAGATTCTGCGAGAGGCTTTGGAATGTGATTACGTTAGCGAGCATCTTCATAGCTGGATTGATCTAATTTTCGGATTTAAACAGACTGGTTATGAAGCAATAAAAGCGAATAATGGTGAATTTATACAGTATTCGAATTTTAAATATGTAAATACACAATTATAATAAACGTAAATACTCATTATTATTACTGTAGTTTTTCATTATTTGACTTATGAAGGCAGTATAGATTTATCAAGGTAAGACGATATTCTCTAATGTAATTATGGTAGTTATAAGTTTTAAATCGCCATTGGCGTAAATAACTGGATAATTCTTATTGTCTTACCAATGGCGTATACGCAATTGTGATAGTGTTAATGATCCAAACGAAAGAGCATCACTAAAGCTACAGATATTAGAGTTTGGTCAAACTCCAAGAAAAATCTTTGATAATCCTCACCCGCAACGGAATATAACTAAGCCATTAGTAAGAGATATATTTATGATTGAGATACTTTTGCGTTCTCGTATAATCTAACATCATATGTTGTACTACTAATGAAGGGACCTGGTAATATTGTAAATATGCCTGCTGTCAGCATACCATCAGAACAAGTAATCGATTTAATCGCGACAGTTACAGATAACAAATCAAAGAGTGATGGTAAAATTAAAGTATTATTTATCATACTAGTTATTAACCCTGTAAGCTTTTAATATTAAATATACTAAATGAATAACTGAAATCCGTTTAAGGTTTCTATTTTCTATTCGATTGATATTTTCTAATTTCATTGTTATTGATTTCCGTGTAGAGAATGACACTAAAATGATGACTTATGAGAATTTGAGTATGGTGCTTTGTCGTAAATTGCATAAAAAGTAAGTCTCTGACTATTTTTAAGAACTGGCTCGTTATTAAATAAGATAATCCGGACTTAAAATTTACTCTATTAGTATTGTGACTGGTATTTGTTTATCTGATAATGGAAACCAAGTATTCTCTGTTTCACAAGGTTTGCTAATTTTTTATTATTAATTCGTAAACCTGTTTACCAAAAATTGTAATTTCCTGCTCTTATGTTTCAGATCAATATTTAAGGGCCTTCTACATAAATGAAAACGAACCTTGTCTCGGTTATAATATATCTGGCATGGTAAGTAAATATTATTCTACAGATCAGATTATACGAGTACGTGTTTCAAGTTCGATTGTGTTTGACAGCCACTATCTTCCTGTGACACGATGGTTGATGGTAAATCTCTCATAGTCGGATCTTACGACAACAATATGTGAGTACAGTGCAGAAGTATTTTATTTATATATATACTTTTTAGAAAGAAATTTATGACTTGAAATAAATCGTACTACAGTTATCGTACTGTACTGTACCCCTATTATGCTGCTAACAGCATTTACATACCTCTATGGCAAATTTTGTTCTTTATTAGCTATTTATATTCTATCGAGTTTGGAAGTGTTTTGGATACGATAGAAGGCCATTGTGATGCAGGTGGGATTGCACTGTCGTTATTATTACAATTACTAGTTACTCATTGAAGATATTTTTTCTAAGTCGTGACATTTGCATCATTTCAGTATCATGTCTTTGTCGAAGAGGTAATGTAATGGTTTCGGGTTCTTGGGATTGCACTGTAAAGGTAACTTTATAATGCTTTAGCTATTTGATCTGTAAATCTGTGAATAGTATAGATTTATCTTATTTTCGGTAAATCTTGCTAGATATGGGAATTATCGGATGAGGGTGGAAGCCAAGAGTGGAATTTGAGTGTAAGTTTTGTTGCTATTTTTTAATAGACATCTTCCTACATTTCGATGATATGATGTCATGTTGGTATCAATTAATTACCTTTTTACATCTTTGTTGACTTATTCAGGATGAATTTGAGGAAGATGTTGAGGTTTATCTGCTTTTTATTATTCCGCTGATATTCTTTTAGAAAAGCTTACTAAAGCTATCTCGATTCATAATTATATAATTTATACATCTTATAGAGAGATTATCGTTCGTACTCTTGAAATTATGTAAATTTTTTGATCGGTACTATACTGTATATCGTATATAACTATGATGCTACAGTACTATTGCAGCGGAAATGAGTATTTTAAGCAAATTTGGTTATTCTTGCATAGATTTGAAATTCTTCTTATTTTATATGTTTTAGGTTTCTTGTATTGACTTATCAGTTAATAAGACTTTATTAGTTTCAGGATCTAAATCTGGTATACTTATTTGACATTTTGTTCAATTTTACTGTCGTATTTTCGTTTAATACTCTAACTGGTTACTTAGGATCTATCTTTATATGGAGTTTAAAAGAGCACACTTTGACGAACGAATTCCGTTGTAAGTTTATATTACTATACGTATTCTTTATTTACAACACGATAAATGTATTAATCTAACTCGTTGATAAATGGATAATCTTGCCTTGTGAATGAAGCCCACGATGGAGCAGTTAATGCAGTAGCTTTTAGTCCAGGTATTGCAGTTGAAAAAGTCTTCGAACTCTTAGTGATTAAATCGTAAAGAGTTCTACACTTATATTCTATGAAAGATAATCATCGCATCCTTTCCAGTGGGGATGATAATTTCCTGAAGGTTCTTGATCTCGATACTGGAATGGAAGTTCTAGCAACCAGATTAAACTATGCTATTCGGTATTTTTATTTCGTTTAGCTGTATGATAAAACATCAATGATAGTAAATGAAGAAAGGTACTAATTACGTCTTACATTATTCATTGCATTTACTGATATATTCACCCTCTTAGCTGTTATCATTGGAATGGCGCATACGCTGTATGCGGAGACGTAAACGGGAATTTAAATATTTGGGATATGTTAACAGGCACGTGCTTACAAACGGTTAAAGGGCATGACGGTAAGCGACCGAGCTACTTTCTTTTTTAATAACGACTTCTGAATAATGTTGTTTTAATTCTTTTGAAGTTGTTGCAACAAGTACTAGTAAATTCTTAAAACATGCAATTTATCACTAAATAGGAGCAATCGAGTGTCTCGACGTTAATGAAGATAACAACGTAATTGTTACCGGAGGCGAAGATAAAGCCATAATTGTTTGGAATTATTTATAATGAATTCAAGCGTTTTTCGCTCGGTTGCTTGTAAAGTATGTTACTCATATATTTTATATATCATCAAATAACATTCGATATAAAGCTTATAATACACACTTTGTTTTGGAGCGTAGATTGTGAATTTATTATAATATCTTGATTTATACAGTCATGTATGGACTAGTGTTGTATGTAATTCTTAAGCGACATCCATAAATTCGTTGCATGAAATATAGCTCTTTCAAAGCAGTTATACCGTACTTTTTCATATCTGACAGTAGCAAACAATTCGTATGGTTCTCATTCTTTAGTTTTACGATCGCTTTTGTTAACGTTTTCTTTACACTTATTCTATAGTTGTTCAATAGTGTGGTACTATGAGACTTTCTTAATTTATTATACTCAATAAGCGAAAACCTAATTCATATTACTTAATTACATAATTTCCTATTTGACATTCGACAAAGCCTGTAAATTTACTGTTCCTTGTCATAAGTTAGATGAATCAATTAGGCAACATACATAAATATCTTACCAAACTACTATGATAATTTGCGTTGAAGAAAAAGATAGCAGTATGAATTATTTACTGCTCTATTTTTTAGAATACATAAATAAGCGCAAATTTGTAAAATACGGAATACAGAAGTATATGTACTAATGTCACTGAAGGATTTACATGAGTTTATTATTGAACATCTTTCACGGTAAATAATAAACAATTGATAATAAAAAATTTAATGTCACTGCACTATTTATAAGTTGTATTGCTGGACCAAGTAGGTACGAATTCTGTGCAATAGTTCCCTTTTTACTTCATCCGGTACCATTGCTGTTAGGGTTAAAGTTAATAAATTACGATTTCAGCATTAGTTTGATGACGGATTTTTACAGATTATTAAATTCGAAATAAATTATACTCGTATATAGCAACCATTGATAGCAAAAAATAATTCTGTTAGAGAAAATGTGATAACTAATTGTTACTTGAATCCTGAAAAGCACTGCTCGCGTACCTCTAGCTCTTGGTGTTATTTTAGTAATTAGATCATCTAATTTAACGGCGTCTGGATCATCACTTCCTTTTATATTATCTGATATTGAAAAAAAAATTTGTAGTTTACTATAACTGAAAAGCCGTAACATAATTGCTAAATGTCAGTCACGAAAGTAACCTTCACTAGTGTTTACGCGTATATCTATTAATAGTTAATTATAATTGATTGAGAAGTACTATACCTCTGCATAATGCCATGACATCACTTTTCCAGCCAGCCTCAACCAGTTTGCCATATAAATATTCTTTTAACCTATTCATAGTCAACAGTAGGGGTTATATCCAGATTTAAGAGGCTTTTATAGTTGTACCAGTAGATATCGTATGCGTATATGTATTTTGTAAGATTTTAAAAATTACTGAAGTGAATGTCAGTAAATCAAGATACTGAAGCTAACGATGGACTGCTACTGTAAATACACCATAAGCGTATATATGAGTATAGTAGTCCGTAACTTAACTTATACTGCAGTAGTACAGTGCATTACTTACTGTAAATGTATAGCATATAAAGATAAGGCAATGCATGCGAATAGTACACTATTTAGACGTCAAGAAAAAGTGTACAGTGACATTAGAGCCGCGAAACGATTTACTAAGATAGTCAGTAGTACCGACTCAGTATAGTTGTACTGCTGATTCTTACTAGAGAAACCAATATAGTATCTAATATTATAGGTACTGTAGATCGATGCTAGATTGTAATCTTTGGCTACAATACTGCAGCATCAATATATAGTTTTATTACAAATATAGTTCGTTCTTAAAATATTTCTATTTGCCTGTTTCTTACCGATCCTTTTCTCCAGATTCAATTAATTGCTTATGCAGAAGCTCCCTTGCAGAATCTTCATTACTATAATATGCACAATTGAACATACATGTATATATAACATCACACTTAGAAACGTAAAATACGATTGCTGTTGATGTATTTCAATAGATAGATTATAAAGGTTAAGTAAAATATTGGTACGGTATTTTACTGCCTTGGTTAAATTAGATTAAACGTTGACGAATAACTCGAATGAATTTCGTATGTATACTAGAAATCCTCAGCGATTTAGTAAGAGGTGTTGTGTCAGTCATGACGGTATACCGGTTTGCAATTTTATTGATATGCCGTACAGTGTGTACAGTAAATTACAACGAGAATTAATAGTCAGTTTGACGAGGGAGAAAGTAACTTATTAAAAGGTAAATTATGCAAGTCAATATTCTTACAAGCTCATTTCTCTAAGGAATGCCTTTCAGTTTTAAGTTCAGATTAAGTTAGAATATTGCTTTACAGAAGCAGCCGTGGTACAGTATACTGGAATTCGTGATGAGAAATGCTATGTGACAGCTATACTGCAGCCTACATCTGAAAACCCTTAGTACTGTGCAAATGGAAAGAAAGAGGGACACCAGGCGGGCCCCGTCAGTACAAAATAGCATTTTTTCGGTCATTCTACTATACGATACCAATGAAACCGTATATCATACTCCAAAAAACCAACTTAGCAGCAAAGCAGCTATTTAGATGTCAACCGCAGTCAGGTACGGTACAATAATAGTCATAGACAACTAGAAGAAGACTTGACCTGGACTAATTACTCTTGGACGGACAGACATCTATCTCGTCAGGCTATTATGTCAAACACCTCGTTATGATAGTACTTTAGTATGGAGACGATCGATATTAAATTACGTGACTTTTTCTAAATCAAGTAATACTGTATTACTGTACATTGAATCTTATTATCTGTTATAAGTTCTGCTTGGAAACAGTTATAGAAGATCGTAGATGTTATTTAAATTAGTACCAGTGATTTAGAAAATAGACACGGAAGGATTACTAAGTAAGCATTTTTTGATGTTTACGGTAAGAAAAGTCCGCCTGTCCGAGGGAGTGATACTGGGTTAGGCAATGTTGGCGCTTCTACTGTATGTTTTTTTCTTAACTCTATGGTCCAATCCTTCTTGTAGTAAGTAGTCCATGCAACAGTACTGTATTGTACAATTTACTGGTATGACCTTGTACAGTACAGCACATGGACAGTACAGTACATTGTACTGTACAGTACTCTACACTCACTGAGTCTACAGCATAATTCATTTTGTTTTCAAGCGTAGAAAAAAGGAAAAAATATTGCTTGAACTAAGGTAAAAATTGCGTATGCAGTAAAAATACTATAATTTGTACCATCATATACAGTACTGTAGATAGAGAGCTAAATAATTTTTTATATACTGTACACTGCACAGTATGTTGATACAACTATTCAGTGTCCACTGTCCGGTGTCATGCAAGAACAGAGTATACTGTACAGTACAGTACTGTACAGTATGAGTACTGTACAGTATAGTACAGTACTGAAATACTGTACAGTAAAGAGAGGGTACCTACCTGAACGGCTGAACCTCACCGAAAAAATCGATACGGGCTCAGTGGTCCTCAAGATCTAGACCCAAAACTGTATACTGTACTTACAGTACATACCATTGTAGGTATAGTACTCACGATGGCACGAGTTCCATCGGCCTATGCACGAGTTCCATCAGCTGAGTGATCAGCCTATGCACGCGTTCCCTCCCTTTCTCACTTTTATAGGTCAAATATCACTCGATGTTGCGCACATGTTTTATAGCTCAAAATTCATATTTCATGTTCACTTCGTCATTAATATAGTAAGTGCCATTTTGCTTTTATAAATTGCTAACGCAATTTAAGCAAGTTATGGCCCTCTTTACGGAAGTATATTGGTTTGCCTTGGTTGGTATTTTGGTTCATGTAGTATATTTGGGATCAATTTTTGAAGTCTATTTTACTTCGCCAATAGTAAGTGGAATGGCCCCGCATTCGGTGAAGCAACCTGCACCTGCAAAGCGTTTGGTATTTATAGTGAGCGATGGCTTAAGGGCTGATAAACTATATGAAATCCCCAACAAAAATACTTCCAGGTCTCCTTATCTCAGGTAAAAATTAGGAAGCATAAAATAATCGATTTATCAAGGTAGCTAAATGGGATCAGATAAGCAACTAAATTGCTTAAGTACTCTACAGAGCTAATTGAAAATCTCAAATTAATTTACTTCACATGCTATTTATTGTTAGAAGTTGGTTGAAAGATCTATTTTACGGGTAGATCTATACAGTACATTTATCGAAATGCAAAAAATTCGCAATTGTAGTTTTAAAAAGTGATCGTTAACTCATGTACTAAAAGTACCTTATATATGAAACGACGTAGAGATATAGTGGAAAATCATGGTAGTTGGGGCGTTCTACACACGAGAGTTCCAACTGAATCAAGACCTGGCCATGTGGCTTTGCTTGCCGGTTTTTATGAAGATGTTAGTGCTGTAACTAAAGGTAAGATAAATTTAGTTATGAAACTTGTAATAAAGTAAATTACTCAATCGATTACTGCATACTCAGGGACTACTCAACAAAAAATTTCCCCAACTGATACCAGTATCCCGCCAAAGTCCCAAACTTTTTATTCAACGAATCTTCCCATATTAAAAGAATTAAAAGAGGCTCTTTTTTTTTATGTAAGAGGAACAATCAGAGTTTTATACGAAGTAAGATTGTATGAGAAAAAACAGGAGTTTCGGTAAGTGAGGGGAAATATTTTGTTGAGTAGTCACTGTCAATATATCCTGTAGTACAATACTAAATCGCAAACAGCTTTCAATAATGAAAAATAGGAAGTCTGCATTTCTACTAGTAAATAGATGTGTAACAAACTTCTATACTGTCGTGGACTACTAGATGGTAAATCTAGTAGAGACAAGTAAAAAAAGTCCCTGACGTTATACATATGAGTTTCTTTCTAGTTTTCGTGATATAAAAAATTTTCCTTTGTAATTGCAACTGCCGTAATAGGTTGGAAGGAGAACCCTGTAGAATTTGATTCACTTTTTAACCAAAGTTACCATACATGGTCATGGGGAAGTCCTGATATCTTGCCAATGTTCAGTAACGGTTCGTAGCATGTAATAATTCATCAGTTAACGAAAATTTCTACATTGTCAGGCTGTGCATTTGATGTACTAAGTCTACAGTAATATAAAGAAGGAAATATGGAAAGTTTACTAAAGATTCATAGTAAAACTTGCATAGTACAGTATTACATGTATATCTGATAGATTCTATGTGTTTTACTATAGTTAGGTGCTTTTAAGTTACACTAATAAGGAACCTAGACATCTGATACGTAGATATTAGGTGTCTAGGCTCCTCAGTAATTCAATCGCTAGTTTTCATCTCCCCTTGCTCTAATATCTTTTTATAAAGTTGAATAAATACATACTACTGTATATTTAGGAGCTAATCCTCATCGTGTCGATACATACATGTACCCACCGGAGTTTGAAGATTTCGCTACTGACGACGCTTCAAGGCTTGATACATGGGTTTTCGATAGAGTTGAGCAATTCTTCATGAAGGCTAAGCTTAACAGTTCTCTGAGCAAAGAAGTTAAAAAAGGCGGAGTTCTGCTGTTTCTACATCTACTTGGAGTAGATACCAATGGTCATGCTCACAAGCCATATTCCAAGTAATAAATATGAACTTAATTTACTCTCTTTACGTGCTATTCTCGTATTTTGGTATACAGTATGCGAATAATACGATATTTATATGTTGAGTTTAGATTTAATAATTCTTTAGTGTCATACTTTCATGCAATAAATGATTGTCAATTTAATTGTGGTCGAAATTCGAATTTGATTGGGATATAGAGAATATCTAGATAACATAGCCGTTGTCGATAAGGGCATTGAAAAAACTGTTCGTGTCATAGAAGACTTTTTTGAACACGATCAAAGGACCTCATACATATTTACCTCTGATCATGGAATGACAGACTGGGGTTATTATAAAATAAACTGACTTTGTGCAGTTACTTTTCATTGTCAAGGATTGTACAATGTTTTCCTAGTTACTAATATTCTGCTTTTACAGGATCACATGGGGCTGGTCTAAACCAAGAAACCGACTGTCCTATAATTGCTTGGGGAGCCGGCATTTCTAAAGCCACTCCTGAAACTAAAAACGAATACCAGGATGGCTATTCGAAGAGTAAGCTTTGATGCAGTAATTAACTTTTAGGTGAAGTAGAAATGCCTTTAACTTATTTTCTTATACAGAATGGCATCTTTCTCATATTAGAAGGTCGGACGTGATGCAAGTAAGCTACATTTCGAATAATTTTTAGAGCTAAATCGCTATACTTATAATTAAATGCTTCATTAGAAATTACCTCTATTCGCTACTAATTGTAGTGTAATTGCGATTGTTAAGGCTGATGTAGCTCCATTAGCAGCATCTTTGCTTGGAATTCCAATTCCTGTGAACTCTGTGGTTATTCTGCTTTTATATTTTTAGAGCTTCCTGTAATTATAATTAATGCACGATTCCTGATTTGGTCTATTCTCTCATGTCGTAAAGGGAATTTTGCCCTCGTCGTTTCTGAATACAAGTGATTCATATACGGCCGAATGCATAATAGTAAATGCTAAGGAAATAGTCGCTCAATTTAAGGTAAAAATTAACGCGAGTAAATCGTTTTTCGTATCATCTATTCATGGAGTTCTCTATTTATTAAGATCAAGAGGAGGCAAAGAAGAACCAATACATTACCAATATTCTACAGGCAGTTTAGGTAAATGTCTTTATTCATGTCTTACAATGAACTTTAACATTAAGGTTTGTTACATACTTTTTATTTATATCCTCTTGTATTTTAATTAATATAAATATAGGCTATTGCAAGGAAAAACAGCGGTAAATGTAGTTTATGTAATCTATACGACTCAAACGTTAGATTCGAATTCTTTGATTTTATAAGCTGCTCTTGTATTGTGACTGTGTTTTTAAGATCGGACGGTATAGGTAGTTGCCTAAGCTTGATAAAAGTTATAGCATAATGAAAGGTATTTCAAGCAGTTATCTTATATTACGAAATTACCCTATAGGATATTTGGGTGGATAATTTAACGCGATTACATAACGAAGGCCGATATGATGTTGTGGTAATTATATAGTTCATAGTATTATATTGAAAATTTGATAAATATTACTATCTTTAATAATGCATCATAACATTTTAGATTTCTTCAGGTAAAACGCTCGCAACTTTGGCTATTGAAGGATTAAATTATTATCATAACTACGATCGACTATTTTTGAGGTCTTTTGCTGATTTTGTAATGGTTAATTCTTGCGTATGTTGTATCTTGATAGAATCATTCATTTTATATATGTTACTGTTATCCAAATTATAGCATTATGATTGCTAGTGGTTTCGTAGGATGGATTTTGTACATAGTACTTTTCTTGATTAAAAAGCATACTAATAACTCGGACATTTTTAAAGTTAAGGTAAGCTATCAATATGTGTTTAAGTTCATGATATTCATTCTAATGCAGATTGTGAGGCTATGGTTAATTGCTTAGCCAACAGGTGCTACTGAGACTATCCCAAAGATTGATTCTGTATTCGTTGTAATTTCTCTAATTGCATTCCTTTTTCTATTCGGTAATTATAATACGCGTAACTATTTAGTTTCATAGTGATTATTTTATAGTAATGTCTAATGCTTACTCCTTAGCTCAAAGGTCGCCTTTCACTCACTATATCTATGTCATGGTACCGAATTTTTTTTGGAGTCAAATACTGAGACAGTATGTTTAAGAAAACGAGACATTAATGATTCATTCAGTTGTTACTATAACGGAACTACGTGTGTTTACCGCTTTTCAACAATTCTTGGTATCATATGTACAGACGTAAAATTTTATCTGAGAGAATCAATGATACACGCATTGGGGATAGTTTTTACATCGTGTTGCTGTTCTTCTGTATAGAGCTGTTGGTATGTTCTTTGTATGACCTATTACGGTTATTTACAATTAATTAAATATAGTAATTGAGAACTTTGTGACTTTTTAGGTAATTAGCTTCTTTTATCGAATTTCGTTGACGATTGCTTTGGTCGGCCTTGGTACGTAATCACTGTAACCCTATTCTAAAATACTCTTGGTTTTCTGTTAAACAAATCTACGGTCAATTCGCGCGTTAAATTATTTAATGAATTTTCAATTTTACAAATTGTAAATGATAGGCGTATGGCCTTTGACAACAACTCTTATGCAAAAAAACAAGGTCATTATACCATTTAATTGAATACAATGCGATATGGAGCTGGTAAAAGAAAGCATTAGTTACGATATTAATTTTTTACTTTACAGTTTATATGCGGGTACTGGTTAATCGCCTGCTTATTAGTCGGAATATTTCCTTCTCTCCCAGCTGTAGGTCGAGCTGCTAATTACACCTATGTGTAAGTAAATATAAATATCTGTAGTTTTTCAGCCTATGTTATTACGAGACTAATTTACGCTTTCTTTACAGAACTATTGCAGGAGTCCTTACAGTTCTCATAGGGCTTTATATAATTACTAGGTACCCTTCATTATTGTGCAATCTTGACTTTACGAGTACAATTTACAAGTTACTGTTAGTTAATATTTCTTCAACTTGGCAATACTGTGAATCGTCTCATTCTGATATTATTGCCTAATAGATTTGCAAGGAAAGTCTCCTCAATCTTCTATGTTCAGGTTAGCAAATTAAGTGAAAATGTAATAAATCATTTTTAAATATTTGTAATATTAGGTACAAATTAATGAACTCTAAAGAAAATAAGTTACATAACATTGACAACTACGTTCCATATGACTTAAACTTTAGTTGGTTGTAGCTAGCCTAGCCGTTATTGTTGTAAATAATACTGCGAGAAGTATCAACAATAAACATGGATTACCATTATTCAATCAGATATACAGTTGGCTAGTGTTATGTAAGTGAAAAAGTTACTATCACAGCTGGGATTTTATCGCATTTATTGTCTTTTTAAAATGAGCTTTTAGTAATAGACAATATTTTAATTTTTTAAAGGCACTAGTTGGATTTTGCCGTTATTTAGCTCCAATTATCTTTTGGATCGCTTGCTGAGCATATTTTTATCATTGATGTCAACATACATTTTGTTCAGTACATCGTATCCTTTTGTAAATGCCAATAAGTGTCCATTTTTAATGCTTTCTTGTTATAAACTAGCCTTCATTTTACCTTAATAACAATCATTTGCTGCTGTAGCTATGAAGCACTATTTTGCCTTTGTTTCTGTAATTTGTTGTCTGTTTGGATCATTATTGAACAGAAGTTATCGAATGTTACTACTGGTCAGGTAGGCATTGCAAAATATATTTTAAAACTTATTGTATTACAGTATAATAACTTAGGCGAATTAGTTCATAAAATTCTCTCTCATTTAATATGACTGCTGCAGTTATTGGAAATATACTTTGAAAATCGTAAACCTAAAACGCAGTATAGTTTGGAGAGTTTCGGTAAGAGTGTACTATTGCCTGGAGTAATCAAATAACATAAACTACTGGTATATGACTTATAACCTCTGTGCAATGCTACGTAGATAATATTGAAAGGAAACCTATTTCTGCAGACTTGCGACTTGCCTACTTTTTTGTAAGTAGCGAAAGAACTCAGATATTTTTACCTTTATTATCGATAGCATACTGCAGTTCTTTAATCCGCAGTTTTGCTGGTTATAATCTTTATTTACACTATTTCGATTGCTTGGCAGGTATTATTCATTGTAGTTGCTTTCTTTGGTACTGGAAATATAGCAAGCATTAACAGGTACAGGATATTGTGCTTGAAGACTAAATGAAAGTTAATGGTGTTGCGTGATGATGAATCATCTTGTTGTTAACTCAACATATGAACTACTATGCTTAAAATGATGCTCGCCGTACTGAGCGCAACTAGTCTTGTAATCATGTAGAAAATTGCAATTATACATTTTGAAAGATGTGCGTGACGTATCTGTATTTAAAAATTCTTCTAGTTTTGATCCGATGACAGTATGCTGCTTTCTGACGGTATTTTCACCTTTTACAATGGGAATACTACTGGTCTGTAAGGTATAATATATTGGGCACTATTTATTATCCATACTCTTAAATATTCTACAGTAGAATTAAGCGTTAAAATTTTTAGAATCGTTTCTATCTTAATAGATACTGATTCCGTTTGCTATGGTGATGGGTGCACTGTACACTCTAAAAGTCTCTCTTCGTATACCGATCACGTTGTAAGTTTAACCTTTTTAAGGTTCTAATGATTCAAATGGAGAATATTTTCAATTTTAATTTCATGAGAGTAATAATGGTATCGTTGTATCTTACAGTTTACTGCTTTTGGTCCTTTCAATGACAGACTTAATGGCAATGGTACGAAATGATAACATGAATTCAATTTTCGTAATGTTGGCGATTACTATTGTTTAGTAACGAATTTTCTAAATTCTCTCCTAGAACTTTTTCTTCATGATACGTGATCAAGGAAGTTGGCTTGACATTGGAACTAGGTCTCAATTTTGCACTATTAAAATTTTCCCTTTTGAATACTACTGTATTCATAGATTTCTTAGATGTTTAGTTATTATAACATTATTGTAACATTAATTTATTTTTCTATTGATAGTATTAGCCATTATGTTATAATGATGCTTGTCATTATCTCTCTGGTTTCATTATTTGGGCTCTCTGGGTGGCTAATTTCTTACTCTCCGATTCAATCGAAATCCAAAAATTATTAATTATAATGGGAACTGTATGCAAGATAGCACGTTACCATGTTTAGAGATATGTGTATTTATAGTTATTCTCTACCGCATCATGACCATCAAGCTATTTACTACCTTCCGTATAATTTCGTCAACTATACGCGTACAATCTTATCACGTTGACGCAAGTTAGCGTGTCAGAGCCATAATTCGAAAGAGCAAGCTTTTATTCTTGTTGTAAATAATCTCAAATCTTTTGATATGTAAAGACTTTATGAAACTTTTACTACTTAATGCTGTTACCTAAACTAAATTTAGGTACAGTCATCGAATATCTATATGAATCCGATCAAGAAAAAATAAAAGGTTATACTTTTAATACACAGTATTATGACAATGATTTCTACTACCTTCGATATTTCCTTAAATTTAATTTGTTTTCATTTTTATACAGCAAAGATACTCTACGATCTGCACGCTATACTAATCAGTCATAACACCAATTTTAACGAGTACAAAACATTACCTATTTCTCTTGGGTGCTTAATCAATTCTTATACGGAAATATAGTCTAGACTTCTGAGTAAGATTCATTGTATAAACTGGAATATACTGTACGGTACAGTATTATTGCGTTAGTTCGGTTAATGGAAAGATTAATTAAATGAAATTTTTAGACGTTTATTAAGGTACAGTACTAATGTATCCCTGGTACGTACCACCATAGATTACTGTGGAAATCATGCACCGTGCACACAGTGGAATGGAGTTACTGTATTAGATTCTCAGAATTCTTGGGATGCGGTACTGTGCGAATAAAGTACAGTGACAGTATAGAAATGAAAATCATATGTCACGTTTTATGTATATATATACTGTACACCATGTATGTTGAAGACTTAAAAGTTTTTTATATTTGCACATTTAAAGATGAACTGATTAGGCACAGTCTAATGTCAACAACGCATACTAGGAAAAGTGACGTCTATTTACAGTACTTACCTAATTTTCAAGCGAAATGTCAAACTTATCATGTGCTGATACAAGTACAGAACTGTTGTACAATAAATCACACGTACGAGGCATACAAGTTTTTTATCAGATGTCTTTACGAGAGTACGAGAGCAGGCCCTCTGAATACTTTCTTATCACCTAACAAAATATAATTTTCTCTCCTCTCCCGCAATCAGAATAAGATGAAGCCTATGAATACTGTAGACTCATGTGCAAAATAGAGCTCCAAAGACCGCTAAGAAAGAGATTTCTCTCCAGTAGTTCTTGAATCATGCGTGTTTTACTATGACTTAGTTTAAACATTGTATATATCGTTGTACAGAACCGTGTAATATGATAAGGTAATAGGTTGTACACTTACTTGTGCATACAACGAAACATTTACATTACTAAACGGGTCAATGAGTCGAAGGTAGTTTCTAGTATCGCGAATCTCTGATACGCGAGTATATATATATCGCGAGATTTAACCTTATTTATCATTTAATATCAGAATTATAACCTATCTCGCTAGAGTAAAATTTACTATTTCCGAAAACTTCCAAATACGATCAAATCCAGTGCTATATACGTACATGTATATGTCCTGTAACACTTAATGCATCATAAAATATAGACATTTCAAATTAGAGTGCTGTATCAGCAGAGATGATACACTTTAGTTTGATCACTACTTCCATGTGGATCTGCTCAAAGCTGGTCTGAAATGGACTAATGGGTTTTTATGTTCAAAAGCGGTATGAATTCTTTTGCTGTATACAGTACTGTACCAAAATATGCACTGATCAAGTGATCATTGCAGCAATGGAAAATTTTAATGGCTGTAGTCTGAGGCTTAAATTTGAATTTTCTTGATTTATGGTAAAGTCAAAAGCCTGCATTCTGCAGAAAGCGAACAGTGCTATCCCGGTATTTTAATATCATAGTACATTTACAGTTCAGACTCAGAAGTGCACGCACACTACAGTGCCATACTTCACTGCATAGTGCATACTCCGCCCTGTATGCTTTATATCATAACATATATACTAGAAGCTAAAATCTGATCATACAAGCTGAATCTTTTCAAATTAGGTTTTACTGTACTGCATTATCGCCAAATGTTCACTTTGGCTGATGAGAAATAGCTAATGCAAAGACACCTAATCTATATTGGATTAATAGACGTAGGAGTTGGCAGAAGCCGAAATATGGTATTGGTACGCACGCGGTGTAATATGCGTACAGCACGTACAGTATCTTATATTTACTGCCTATTAACAGTACAGTACTGTACTTACAGGGCATTGAAAGTCTTCATACGGAAAAATATGACTTAAACTTCAAACTAACGTACTCTATAAATACTGTACTTTACTGTAGTATACCAAAATGTAGCATATGAGCTGAATTTTTTCAGTACTTATCCAGTACATAAAGTATTACAACATAAATGAGATGGATACGAAATATTTATTAAGCCAATGTGATCTTAGCCTTAACATACGAGAAAGTCATATATTCGTATGAAGTGTGTATTTCCAGTTCCGCACCAGTACAGCAATTTTGCCAATATAAAACGACAGTCAACATGTATATAGCTAATTATAAATAAAAGCAAATAGATGGTATCTTGACAGCTCTATGTAATCGACATTTATCTTGCTTTACGTACATCTAAAATAAGCAAGTCAGATACTGTATGCGTGTTAACTACCGCATTTGTTACCTCTGATATTTTTTATCCTCTAATAACTTTTACCATCATTTTACATAGATAATGCTACACAAACGTCACATTCAATAATCTTACTTCTTCTATTATCAAGTTATTAGTTAAGTTAATCACAAGTTAGAACAACATCAATGGCGGACAGATTCTCGTCCTATAGTATATGTCGTACTGTTGTTCTTAGACACAAATTAAAACTAAGAGTCAATGTGCTCAGAGTATGGCAAATTTTCGTATCAACTAACTTTTTTTGCATAGATTTTATAAAATTAGAATCAATATAAATGGACCAATTCTACTTTTAATGTTTCCGAATTAAAAGAACTAGGCATAAGATCTGCTCTGCAACATACACTAAAAAAGCTTTAGTTGAAATCACCAGATTGCTTTTTCAGTTGAAATTCTACAGCTAAAAATGGTATGCTGAAGGTGCCACCAAAAGCCAGTCCCAACGTGAGCATTAAAACCAATTTATTCTTAGTTTGAAAAGGCATCGAAGTACCGGGTCCACCTGGAAAGTCACCACGAATAATGGGGCTCATTGAGCGGCTTTTAACAACGGAGCGACCGAGAAGGCCAATGCGCAACAAACCAGACGACGCCATCTTGGGTTATTTTCACAGCTGTACTGTATTACTACCGCAGTCGCGGAGCGAATGGAAGCTGCGGCTGCTCAGTGCTGTGTACAGTACAGTGTACACTGTACAGTACAGGAATACCTTCCCAGTACCATGATTCCTGACATGCAGTACTGTACACTCAGTGTACAGTACGGTACTGTACGCTGCTATAGTACTGTAATGCGGTTTTCAACTTTTCATTTTAGTATCATGGACTAGTGCATTGTACAGTACTGTAAAGTACGGTTAGTAGTTCATATAGTATTGCACTAGATTGTAACCATCACTGTAATCCGTTCCAAAAAATTACAGACATTGACATTGCAAATCAAATTGGATTCGTCAGGTAAATGAAAAGAGCTAGAGAGTTAAAATCCCCTTCCAATTCTACAGGACATAAAATTAGGCGCCGTTCCCTGTCGATGTCACCTTCACGTAAGCATCGCGAAAAGAAGAGAAAAAAACATTCACATCGTGAATACGATGGAAGTCATAAGACAGCGAAAAAGAAAGATAAGAAATCCAACCGAAAAGCTAAAGAAGACCTATTAGGATATACTAATAACGACAATCCGTTTGGGGATGAAAATTTAACGGATACATTCTTATGGCATAAGAAGTTAGAAAAAGATGGCCTAACGAATCTTGATGCACAGCAGAAAAGGCAATTAGCTGAGAAAAAGTTAAAGGAAAATCGAAGAGAGCTAGAAAAGGTTAAATATAGAAGATTAGAACGGGAAAGAGAACAGGCCATGAGAGAAGAAGAGTTAGACCATCTGAGGCGAGAGAAAGAAGCGGCCCAATTTGCTGGCTGGGAGAAGCAGGAAGATGAATTTCTCCTGAAACAATCTTTACTACGATCAGAAATTCGTCTTAATCATGCTAGAGCTAAGCCAATTGATATCCTGGCTAAATATGTCAATTCATGTCCTGATGATGACACTGGATATGATGTCAATGAACCTTACGCCGTATTAGTAGGATTGAATAGATTAGATCTTGAAGATTTATTAGAAGACATAAAAATATACATTGAAATAGAGCAAGGAAGGAACGGAGAATTTTGGGAGGATATAAAAGTTTTAGCCAAATCAGAGCTAGAAAGGTTATCTAAATTGGAACCAGGTGGTAATAAAGCTGGACAACGACGCGAGGGAATCAATGAATCAGTGAAAGATGAGGTTTCAACTATATTCAAAGGGAAGAGCTTCATGCAGTTATTAGAGTTGCAAAGACAGATCGAGAGTAAGATTAATAGTGGAGAAACACTAGATATTGCCTATTGGGAATCATTGCTTAAGAAATTAAAAATATTTACGGCTAGAGCTCGCTTAAAAGCGAAACACCAAGAAAGGTTGAGGGAAAAACTTAATTATCTTAAGGAAAAGCAACAAGATCAACTAATTTTAGAAAGTGTTGCAACGAAAACTGAAGGAGAGCCACTATTTCCTGTCGAATACGCCGATGACGAAAATGATGCACAATCCAGATCACCTGATGCTGATAATGATGATGATAAACCTGATAGTAGCGAGGCACTCAGAAATACATGTTATAGCTTATACCAAGAGGTTAAATTTTATGCTGATACTTTAATTTACAACTGCTATTAACGCGTTCATAATTATATATTGATGGCTCTTCTTGTATTAATAGAGTAAATTTGTTCTTGCATCTTGTTGATATAGGGAAACTATAGTCCGAAATTGATGCCTTTAAGTGATTTCTCTAGGAACAAATATGATATTATCGATTCTACGGAGGATAACGAAATGTTAGAAAAAGCTCGTAATGTAATAAAAAGGCAAAGGGGAATTGTACCATGGTTAAGCGGTGGTAATCCAGAAATTAATGCAGGAGAAAGAAATTTTCTTAAGGAAGCTAAGAAAGGACAGGAAGATGGAGAAGAAGATTTTAACGTTGATGTTAATCTTAAAGAACAGATTTATCAATGGCAAGATAAATACAGACCGCGTAAGCCCAGGTTCTTCAATCGTGTTCATACTGGCTACGAATGGAATAAATATAATCAAACACATTATGATACAGATAATCCACCGCCTAAAATTGTTCAGGGATATAAGTTTAATATATTTTATCCTGATCTTATTGATAAAATTCAAACGCCGCAATACTATCTCGAGCCATGTTCTGATTCAAAGGATTTTGTTATCCTGAGATTTCATGCCGGTCCGCCGTATGAAGATATTGCATTTAAAATTGTTAATCGTGAATGGGAATATAGCCATAAGAAAGGATTTCGTAGCCAATTTCATAAAAATATTTTTCAGTTATGGTTCCATTTTAGGCGATACAGATATCGCCGTTGAGATGCCTGCTATTCCTGTTGTGATAATAATGTATTAATTATAAATTTGATACTATTGTATTAATTTCTATCGAGTTAGGTTACAAATATCATCTGTAATAATGTAGTCCCAATCCATGAACGAAGGACAGGTTACATTTTTGGTATTGCGATCGGACGTTCCAAAAATGAGATGGCTTTCTACTATATTAGAACTTAATTCTGTAAAGTAATAAGCTATCTGATTCCTGTGTAATAATAATTATATAATATAAACGAATCATAATTAAAAGTTTTTATTAGTTCTTGAACTCTAGGTCCGGATAATGCAAATACACGTGCATATTGTAGTTATTAATTTTTCATTGTATTTCGAGTATACTGTACTATGCAATGTTGTATATACTGTATGTAATACTTACAGAATCCAACATAATTTTGTCATCTAATTTTGAAATAGAGTGAAGTCCTGTACTTACCTACAGTTACAGTATTTAATAGACGTCTATTACATGAGATCCATAGATTATTATATGTACGAGGTTAAAATAGTTCTACTTAATTGCTTTAAACAACACTAAATGATAAGTTTCTTTACTGTAGAAGCAATTTCGCAAACTTCGTACAATAAGTAATTGTTGATGATGACAATAATTAAGATCTCAAATCGTCGGCGAAGTTTTTCTATTAAAAATACGATGTACGCGTAATTCAGTTTGAAAGGCTTACAAATTATCCGGATCATATCTTTGTTTTTATTTTTACTAGTGAGTTACGTGCATACAGTAATCTTCGTAATTCCTTATTTGTAAGCTAATACTGTATAGGTTTCAGGTCGTACATGGTACCTAGAAGTAATATTGCTAGTATAAAATAAAATTTAAATTTACCCTAAATAAAAGTCGCAATTGTGAAATACTGATGTTCTGTGGATGGGTAGTACCATTGCTGTTTGTGACTGCTATACTTATTATGATAAAAATGACACAATAGAGTAAGTGCTGTTTAAGATAAATTAGGGCTAGTATTTTCATATTAGCGAATTAATATACTGTATACTGTAATTATGATCGTTATTGACACTTCAAAATATGTGCTCACTGTGAAGTGCGTATAGCATACGCGTTATGTACAGTACATAGCAAAGATTCTCTCTAGACGATGTGTAAAGACTTTTGAAAATTTTTTGCCCAACTTGTACTACAGTATACTGTACACTGTACAGTACAGTAAGAATACTCAGTACTGTACTGTACAGTACAGTACCACCTTGAACGTGAGTGACACGTGAATGATACTGTACAGTATTGGAAGTTTTAAAAGTCATACAGTACGGTACGTAGTACGTAATGTACTGTACAGTACAGTACATCTGTCCGGTGTTACTGTCTGTCTGTTACACAGCTTTTCTGTTTAACAAACTAACTTGACGAAATTTCGTATCAGTTTGCCAGTTATCAAAAAGCTTCGGAAGTCTTTCATTGCAAGATCTTCGACCATATGTTATGCTTCGTCGCAATAAGTGCATAGAATGAAGCAATGGAAATTATTCGTTTATTATTTTACTTAATCTTCTTGCTGCATGCAATTGATCACGCATTATGTTCGGATTCTACTGGGCATTGGTATCAGGATATACTGAGGCCTTACCAAAAAGGCCATCATGGACCCACTCACTCACATCACGTCATTCGGTCCCTGCAAAATAAATCCTCCTTCGGCCATGATATATTTGAATCTACACGTACAGAAACAAATCTTGCTAAACCACAGATTAAAGTTCACGAGTTCATCGATGATTTTTATTCTTTCTTTTTTTTCGAAAATGTACATATTTACGGCCGACTGACAGTTGTTGAAGATCCGTTGAGAACTATTTCCGTGCTTGAGCCACAAAACACAGGGGGTTGCAACATGTCCAAATTATCGACGGTAGCAGATACCGCTCGAAAAGCTCATTGTTATGTAGCTGAGAATGCCGGCTTTTTCAATACGGAAACTGGAGGATGCTATGGTAACATTATCTCTAATGGCAGACTGGTTAGGCTAACTAATGTTCAGAATGTTAATTTTGGTATTCGTAAAAACGGATCCATTATTGTTGGCTATTTAACGGAAGAAGAAATTCTTGATAAAGAAAATCCATTCGTTCAGTTAGTTTCTGGTGAGGATTAAACATGAAAACTATACATATACGTGATAATAATTCTATGCAATAGATCTGTGTACATAATGAGCCATTTAAATAAATAATATCTATAAAGATAGTAATGTTGTACAGTATCACGTACGTTGAACACACGGAATTACGATAGCGTAGGCTTTGGATGGTCTATTACTTAATATAGGCTGGTAAAGTAGCGTTTCAAATAAACATGCCTACTAATACAGTAATATTGTAATTTATTCGTGGATTAGTACAGTACAGAATACTTATCTACAAATTTTAAGTTGCATCTACGGTAATTAATATGCCTTCCATAGGTGTTATATGGTTAGTTAGAAATGGAAAATCGTATGTTAAGGAGAGCATGAAAATGGAGAGTAATAAGCATGAGGAAACTGGAACATTAAAGCAGTTTATTGAAGTCAAATCAGCTAGGACCGCTATTGGCCATGATAGAAATGGGAATGTTATGCTAATGCAAATAGAAGGACAGACAAATGCAAGGGGGTAAGTTTGAAACCTTGTTGTCCTTGTAATAAGCAAATGTAAAGCGTACGTACATTTAGTAAGATTTTTGAAATGTGCTTTAGTACTGTCTTCTTGGATTGCTATAAAACATTCTAAAAGTAAAATCACACTATAAAGGAACGTAGTTCTTATTATTACCTGAATGATTGCATTTTTTCAACATTATTTTCTCACTACACCCAAGATTACAATCATAAGATTATGTACTATGTAAAATACGCGTATAGTAGATCTTTAAAATTATGTTAATACTCCTTGAACAGGAATAAGCAGATCATACCCTGAGATATGGATACATTCATGGATATGAATAGAAATATATATATATACGTAACATAAAATACTTCGCTGTTACAAGGGTTTTATTATTTATACACTTCAGATTGAACTTGTATGACTTCGCAAAGAAACTAATCAAATCCGGATTTGTGAATGCCATCAATTTGGATGGTGGAGGATCATCAACAACTGCGATAGATGGTATCGCAGTCGGATACCCATCTGACCACTGGTAAGGATTATAAAATTTGGATTAATATATATAATTGATCACCGGAGTCTTGTAATTCCCTTGAGTTTTACAGTTCTTTAAAATGTACATATTTGCAGCTGTACGAAAAACTGTAGCTCGTACTTCGTGATGATACAGTAAATATCAAAAAATTTGAGAAATGTCTTCCATAGCGTCTAACGTAATTTTATTCATATCTTAAAGTTAGCTTACTACTATCAGATATAAATGCCCATTGTAGCTGATGTAGCCATGCTCTTGATTTAAATTTATTTTGGTAGTGCATCAAATCCGGCCTTTCGATGTGCTCGACCAGTATCTACAGTTATATGCGCTCACCATTTATATTGCTTACCTCAAGACTGTAATAACCATGGCAAATGTGTAAACGGCAAATGCCTTTGTAACGATAAATGGATCGGAGAAGCTTGCGATACTGTTAACTGTAAACATCTGCATAATTGCTCAGGAAATGGTGTATGTACTCTAGGTTTGTTTTGAATAAATGTGTACAGTATATGGATTGAAAGATTCTATCCTATTTATTTGCGCCATTTCTTTACACGATAAAGATTTCTTAATGGAGCAAGATTTACTTTGTTTACTACTGCTAGGATTGCACATTTTATATTTAATTTATTGTGATTACAGATATTTTAAATATTAATTTAAAGTTTGTTTTGCTCTATTTAGATGGTTGTAACTGTAACCCAGGATGGACAGGCTTATATTGTGAACAAGGTAAGTATCTCATTGACAATCCCCGTACAATTTTGTACTTAATATCGTCAAGATCAGCGCTTCTCTTATTACAACAACGCTCTTATTAGTATTTTATATTGCTGTACTATTCATAACTATTATATTACCGATCCTACTAAATTGAATATTTGCTTAATGCTGTCTAGCCTGTCCTCATATGAGCTTTGGATTGGGATGCAATCAGACGTGTAAATGCCAGAATGGAGCAAAATGTGATCCAATTACTGGAGATTGTTCCTGTGTGCAGGGTTGGACAGGCAGCATTTGTGACAGAGGTGAACAATTGCATAGCATTAGCATCGATTATATGATATCTAAGATTGTACTCCATGCCTGATCAAAAGTAATGTCAAGCTGAAGATCTCGAATTAGAGAGTTACATCTTTTCTGTAATACGTTTACTTCTTTGTTTAGAGTGTCCATTGGGCTTCTACGGTAGACTTTGTGTCAATAAATGTAGTTGCGATTTACCATGCATGTGCAATCCAGTGACTGGTGAATGTATAAAGCAAAGTGAGCGTTGTAATCGCCTTGAAATTCAGTGTCATACGGTGACGGGAATGCTGCAATGCAGGTATAAATAAATAATGCTTGTTTTTACCGTGGCCTTATAATAGTATAGCCAGAAAGCTATTTTAAGCCGCAAAATCGGAAATATTAAGTCAGATAATTAAGGAAATTACATTTGATGCACAGTTATATCTAGCATAAATCTGGTATACTCTAATCCAAAATTATAAAATTATGTTCTAATTACGCATGTACTCGTGTCCTTAATAGTGTATGGAAGCTGGGTTTCTTTGCACTTCTTGGTGCTTTTATTGCAAGTATCTTATCAGTGCTGTATTTATTCCTACTAATTAAACGGCAACCGCGAACAAAAAGCTTACGTCGCTTCAAAATTAATCGAACCGATAGCGAAGATGAAGATGAATCATTTTTAATGGCTCAAAAATCGCATCCTGATAATACTGATGATGAAAGAAAAAGCTTTTAAAGAGTATATTGAATCCACTTGAAGCCTAATGAAGACTTGCAATGCTTACTTATTTTATTAAAAAAATTACGATCTGCCCTCCGTTGTATGAAAATCCTTAACTTGAATTTTATAAATTTGCGTACACATTCAATCATAATTAATATATTATTATTTTATGCGTATTGTCAACGCAATACGTTATTGCAATTTGCTCATTACAACAGAAGTAGAAAATTTTATCAACTACGAGTAAAATTTCTAAAATCAGTAGCGAAAGTCAGAATATATTATACTTTTGGGTTGAATAATTTGAATACTCCTATGCTACTAAAAGTTTTTCTTGAACACAATTTTTTGATTCTGTACATTTTATTTTAATACGTTTATAACACGATTAACTGACTGACGGTATATTGCACGAACGCGTAACAGCTGCTAGCACTAGCGTGTGTGCAATGATATTTCAGAGAGTGGTACGGTCTTTTAAAATAGGTCAGATTAATCTATTCTTCATGCTCGTATTGGCCAACCACATCTTTATACTTATAATTTCAACAACGTATACATTGGTGTAAGATTCGCGGTAATCATACCTGTACAATGTATAGTCTTTTTCACTTAGACATTTAAGGATAAATCTGAAGCATACGATATAACGATTATGTTGTCACAGTTTTGGCCATTATTTACGGTTATATGTATGTACCTAGATATTTCTTCGACCTGATAGCATAATTTAACTACGGATAAGAACTAACTTACATACGCTAATTAATATGCAGCTATCGATTACAAAGCCTTAAATTTTACTACAATATAACACTGCAGTAGCCCTAGAGTTATTTAATCCGGTTTTCAGTGACAGATAAATTTTTATTAATCAAATTAATTAAGACGCGTATTTCACTCGTTAGCATCACTAAATAACAAGTTATTTTATGTTATAAATTTTATTTGCGACTGAATAAGGGCAGCTTTTAATTGCGCTGTGATAAGTTTTCCGAATATTAAATGTATGTATAACAGCAACGTTTTATAACAATTCCATCTATAAATTTATTTTAAGATCAATCTTATAGTGTGGATAAGAAATATTCATGTATGTTACGGCTAAAGCCCGGATTCCGATTATGCAATATCAAAATTTAAAATTATGGATCTTTTTAGATATACTAGTGATATAGAGTCTTCGCTAGCTAAAAAGAATGATATTAAATAGCAATGCTTTTTAATTATGTTATAGCCTTTTCTGTTGTTTTCACTTCTATTTGTTATTATTGCAATTTATCTTGAACTCTTGGCCGTTATGTAAATTTATGAGACTAATATTCGTATAGTTTATAACTCAAGTAAGTTTTAACGTAAGCACAGTATATAATATATACGCATACATATATTATTTTTAATACAGTATTTGATTTAATTCATATGTTTAAGGCCGAACCTAATTCTTAGTGACAGTTCGTATAGTGAGTATACGAATAAGTCAAGTTGCATGGTTACGATGCTACAGTAGTTAGAAAGGTCTGCAGGAATTGCAGCACTGAAGCCCGCTAGCTGAAAAATGATCTAAATGTTTCAGGATACCGTACCAGCGGTATACTGCCAAGGACTTCTCCAATTTTTCACCCAGGTAAAAAAATCGAGAAAGTCCCTGTCTAATGCTGTATGTGCAACATTGAGGTAGTTATTATAGAGGTATAGACTTTCTGGGTATATTTAGCACTAAGTAAAATGGGAGAGTGCAATTCGATGCGTTGGACTGTAGTTACTATATCACATTTTGCAAATATATAAAAAGTATATATTACGCATACATAGCAGTGTATTACTGTACAACAAAATTTTTTAGACACCAGTTCATAAAGTAGGAACTTCTACGCATTAGTCTACCTAGTGATGGTAAATTGCCTATTACATGATATAAGGTTAATTTACATCTATCCGCAGTAACATCAAGAGTTGAAACAATATACGTATAAAACGTTAGATAAGCCGTATGATAAATTTATTTTATTTAATCGTAATACGAGTCAGATGGGAATTCCTCCCTCCTTTTACAGAGGTATATAATCACAACTAAACAGAAATCATGATGAAATCGTCACGTTATTTTTTTAGTTTCAACTCTGCCTCTGCCTTCTCTTTACGTCTCTTTTGTCTGATACCAACTAATCTTGCATTAGCACGGGCGACTCTCATTGCTCTAAAGACACTAATTTTTTTCTCTTCCTCTGTAATAGCACGAGCTTTACTAACAGGCTTCGTTTGCTGGACCGGCATGACCGGGCCAGTTAACTGTGTAGCAAGAGATAGCTCAGCAGCCTGAGAGAATGGAAGAATCAAATTAATAACCTTATCAGATAAATTACCAAATCGGTCAAAATAATTACATATAATTACCTCGCTATCTCCTTTTTTAGGTTTACTAGCTTTCTTAGGAAATATAATCAATTTCGAAGTGTATTCCTTCAGTCTCTGTACATTTGCTTGCAAAGATTCCGATGAACGGTTTCGGCGTCGATAATCGACAGCGATACCGAGGGTCATGGCAACCTTTGGGTGTATACCAGCAGTCTTCACAAAAGTATAACGTACAACATTAGCTACTATAGAACAATTTCTAAATCAAAAATCAGACTTCAAATGAAATCACTGTAATTAACTTGATAACTGTGTCAAGTGAATTGTAATCATTATAATTATTAAGACGAAATACGCATGAATAGTGATTACATTTATAGACACCGGTGCAAATACTGGTAAAACCTTACTGCAGAAACATCCTTATCTATGGAGGTACGAGTATAGAGATTGTGTTGAAAATTATTGAATTTTATACACATAGTAGCTGATATTCGCTGAATATAGGACAACTTGTACACGTCTTCTATGTTTACATACTGCACATTAACTATCAAAATATTCCTAAGGTTATAATATTGGATGACAAGTGTACGGTATAGATCCGTACCTTTAATTCTTCAAGAGTAAATCCTCGTCCAGCCCGCACTGTAGTATTATATTTAAAAGTTGGACAACGGACTACGGGGCGTAGAGAGCCTTCTACAGGCCTTGGGGCGATTTTTGCAGCCTTTTTTTGACGGGCTAGTCGTCTACGATTTTTGCGACCAGCTTGGTCAAACCAACAGCGAACACGTCTTTGCCAGTCCTTGCGAAAATGAGCATTCCCGATGATTTTATTTCGATAGTGACCCATTTTGCCTAATTTGTAATACCGTATACAATTTTAGCTGAACAAGCCTTAGAAAGTACAGTGTAAAAATTAGTTTGTTAAGTCATGGATCACTCAAAAGGGAACTTATAGTCTGTATATAAGCGAAGAACCAGATAACATGATTTTATTCAGTCACGAATTAATCGGAGTTAACTACAAAAGTAATTGTATCCATAACCGATGTAGAGTAATCATTCGAACACATTGTACTTACGAATACATACAGTATAACATATACAATAAAATGTTTCTAGCTATTCCTTGTACTGTAATATGGACAATTTGATAAGGCATGAAATAATGGTTTTCCTAAGGATTTATTAACTAAAGAGAACGTATACAGGCACTACTACTGCATTAAATTAAAATAATCAAATATTAAAACTAGGATGGCTGCCTATTCGCACGATTAAATCACGATAGCGTTCATCATTTCGTTATGTTTCTTACCTCATCCACGATTTCTTAGAAGAAAGAATTATTCAGTTACCTACCGCAGATGAAGTGATTGCTGAAGGCTGGAGCAGTGTATGCCGGGTAATAATTACAATTACAGTACTGTACAGTACAGTACAATGTACACAGAGTGTAAAGGTATACAGTAGTGTACAGTAGAATACTGTACTGTACTGTACTGTACACTGTTATCACTAGTACTGTACTAGACGAGCAACACGTGTAGCGCAGTACAGTACTGTACAATGTACAAGCGCTACAGTGTACAGTGTAATCATAGCATGTTACAATACTGTACTGTATGAGGTCTACTGTACTGTATCACTCGCTCACCCACTCTACTGTGATATCTTATTATTATTTATTTACTCCGCTGCTTCTGTACTGCCATAGTGTACTGTACAGTACTGCACAGTATTTTACTGTACGTACAGTACTACATTTTGTACTAGTTTTACTTGTAACTTATTTCTGCTGGCGTTTAGCACTGCGAGTTACTGTAGAAGTCATAAATTGCTTAGTGAATCCCTATTAATTAATTAATGAAGCAGACTACTCGCTAATTTTACTCTAAAATAAATTCTATATTTTACGGGCAAAAATTCGCGAGTATTCTTGGGAGCACTCTGTATGATTCTGTACTCGGTACAGTAGTACAGAATTGGGTGGTGCGTTATCTAAATCACCTCAGCAACAATTGGCATACACTACAGTACAGTATGTTGTAATACTGTACAGTACAGTACAGTATAATGTAACTAATCAGAGCACTTACAGTACTGTACAGTACAGTACAGTAATTTTTGTAGTACAGTACAATGTACTGTACAGTACTGTACTCAGCAGTTTGACATTCTACAGTACTGTACAGTATAACATTGCACAGTGAGTACTGTACACAGTCGGACTCCAGTCCGGCCGAACTACAGTTATGGTGATTGTGACAGCTAATTACGATTATGATGAGCTAGACCGAAATTTGCATTGAATGTGTTATGTAGACATAAAATTGGAGTCGAAATAGCATTTCGTTTGACTAGAAAGCGTAATCATATCTGAAAATTTCAAATGGCTGTCAATAAGAGCTCTAGTATTTCTGAAATTGTATCCTTGATGGAAGCTTACACGGATATGTCAAAAGTATCTAATGAATCTTTAAAAAATGTAACTGGTGGAATATTAGAAGTTTTTACCTGCAAGATAAATATTTTAATACAAAATTTACATAGAGAGCTAAATGAGCATAGTCGCTTGAATGATACAGTCAAGATCAGAGAAAAATTTAAACTAGGCCAAGATCATTTACGATCGCATTCAGACATTATCTGGTACTACGTACTACATGCACTATACTTATTACAGACTTTAAAGGATGAACTTAACAAAGCTTATACTAACGACTGCAATGCTGACAGCAATTGCAAAATCAAAGCCGATAGCACAAAATTAAGGCAAGCAAGTGTCCATGCAAAACCATCGATTGAAACTCCGGTTTCACCTTCAGATATTTTGAGCGTTAAAGAACAAAAAGTAATCCAAACCTTAACTCAAATTATTACATGTCTCGGTATTTATCCATATCTTGAGTCAGGGGTTGGCTTACCATTGTACATGCGCTCTGTTTTCAGTAATATTCTTGAAGAGATAATTCAGAACACTGATTTCAATAATCATCAATTTTATGAACGTCGCTTGTATCTAGCAACTCAAGTTCTATTCTCTTGTCTAAATCAGAAATCACTGAAAGTTGTTTTGATATCACGACATCTAATAGATATTGTATCAGCTTTATGTCAATTGGGTTATTCTAAGCTTCAAGTAAAGGATATCTATTTACATCATGATGAAGACAATGAAAGCAATGACTTACAACAGATATCAAATTATGATCTGATTGATATTTCTGATTCTGAAGCAAGTCGAAAAAATTTTTCTCTTTCTACCAAAGAGAGAAATAGCTGTGCTGGACTTTTAAGTCAAATCCTGAACTCCACCTATCGCCCTATGGTAGTCCAGATGTTATTTACACTACAAAATCCCTCAAGAAGCACCAAAGAGACTTCTGAAACACGGAAAGGTATTCCAGAAAGGGCATTGATTCGATGTGAACAGTGAATGCTAGTTAACATTATACTATACATTCTATCTTTCTATGTCAACAGACGTAGTTCAATTGTAGTTGAACATAGTAAACTGTATACAGTACAGTGAATTATTACTATCAATCATAAACTTCTCTCATAGGAGTAGTTTTAGGGTATTGTTTACCATAAACTAAAATAAAGATGGTTTAAAAGAGTTTTTTTATTCGACTTAGTTACTAACATAGTAAAGCAAAGACTAACACCAGCGTGGCTTAAAGCAATTTGTGGGCATCTGCTATCAGATATCATGTTGAAAAGCAATGGTATAATTAGCATACTTCAAGTTACAGTGGATGGAAGTATCGTAGCAAATCAAGGTAATCCTCACGATTGGAGACGTTATGAAGCTTTGACAAAATTAATTTCCACATGTCCGATGCAAGTAAAGTCAGCAGATGAATATTGCAGGAATATCTGTACTCAGGTAAGAAAAGATCGTTTACGGTTCTAGAGTTAACCAATAGGCTGTTAGTCCTAGCCAAGGTTTAATATCATTATAACGTTGTTTTAACATTTTGTAGATTCGGCAAATGTTACATTATAAAAAAACTAATATTCCAATTTTATACCTCCGGATATCGTTACAAAGCATTATTTTAATATCACAAAAGTATCCTAAATTGACGAAAAAATACTTCTTTCAACCCATTTTGAGACCATTTATATTATGTCTCCGCAAATATGGTAGTTTAATAAATTTTTTGAATTCATATATTGCGGTAGACTAGGCAAGTTACTACTATAACGTAATATCTAATTAAATTTTGTCGTCTGTTTAGAACAACATTCTTCGGAGGACATTCCAACTATTTTTTCTGAAAAATCAATTACCACATCTGTTGTAGATATCCATAAGGTAAGATGAGTCCATTCAGTAAAACACTGATACGCAATAAATGAGGCATGCTTTTCTACTTACTAAAATCTATCAGGTATTGCTGAACTCGAATGACATTCCCTTTTTATCGAAGCATCTATTTCCGATTATTCATCCGTTATTTATATGCTATTCCTTTTCGAAAAATACAATATCTCATCTATCGTAAGAAAAGTTCTTGTATTGCCTTTATTTTTATAGTAAAGAAATATCAAAGCCAATTTATCTTTATACAATCGTGTAAATCTTTAAATTTATCAAGCTTTCATTTGCGATAGGCCCATACTTTCCGAAATCTTTGTAACCATTTTAAATGAAATTGAAACCCGTGAACTATTAAGCTACATAGTGAGAATTGCATATGGTGAAGCAGCAATTAACGAACCCAATTCTGGAGACTATTCTATAAGTGATAGGATACAATTTGCATTAGGGACGGAAGGAGGCATCCAAGTTAAGGTTGCTAAAGTTAACGAGAACCTTACTGAAGATGAATTTGTGGATTCTGCTATAAACTATCGCCAGCAAATGTTTTGCTTCTTAGAACTTCTTACAATTTTAAAAAGAAATGATATCATAGGGGATCTAATAGTGAAATTATTATCTAATTTACTATACATCACAAATAGACTCCAAAGTTGTACTGAATCAGTTAAGTTAGAATCAGATATTAGCGTTGACGTAAACTTTAATAGATTTTTGAGATTTAAAGCGGCAACCTTATACTTGCTCGGTGCAATTTGTGGTACCGTGGATACTTCAACTTTGCTCAAAAATAAAGATCAAATATTGGATTTTGTAATGTCGACCGTTGAAAGAGCTACAAATGGTTTAGAAGATGAAAGAAAAGAAGATTATTCGTCTAATGGGTCCCGTCTATTTGAAGAAACAATTAATATATCTATGCTATTATTGTCCATAATTATTGGTGATAAGAAAATGGTAATTATATTACAAACTAAAAATTACATTTCTGAATATGTCTTTCAGTCATAAAACTGTAAACGTTTAAATTATATAGATATCAGAAAATGATTGGGAAAGATTACAGCGGCTACTGCCTTCACTAGAGCAACTAACACGATTGTTAACCAGCAGTTACATATCACAAACGGCGAACAATCTGCGAATATGCTTAGCTACTAGAAGTGAATTTCGCTCTTGGTCAGAACTTCAAAAAGGAGAAGCTGATCCACCGCTAGATTTGAACCACAGTTGTGATCCTGATCACAGTAAAGTTTATTGTTCTCACGCTACTGATAAAAACACCAGAGAATCTGAAAATGATGAAGAAAGTAATAGAGAACAGGAGCGTAGTAATTTTAAGTCAATAATGGCTGAGCTAGAGGATCCTTTAATACCAATAAGAGGAGCTGGATTAGTACATCTAGCTAAATTAATAACGAAGAAAGATCCTGAAGTTACTGAGAATATAACGCAGATAGAAACAATTATTCGAACTAATTTAGAAGATTCGGATAGCTACGTGTATCTTGCTGCAATTAATGCCCTCGTAGCGTTAACAGATATAGAACCGGATCTGGTATTACCCCGTCTTTGTAAGGAGTTTATCAACGCCAGCGAAAATTCTGAAGATGGTACTAAATAATTCTTCCATTTCACATGATGTTATCACTTTCTTATACTGGTGTATGTCTTGCTATAGGTAATCCTTCAGCTAAATATGAATTTCGAATGAAGCTTGGAGAATCTCTCCAATTAGCAATAAAACACACTGGAGAACTATTACCTCGGTATGCCCACCATATAATACCAGCTGTACTTACGGGTGTGAATGACAAAGACAGTGACATTCGTTGTAGCAGCTTATCTCAGCTAGCTGAACTGTGCATGTTGCTCCGTCATTCGATTAATCCATTATTGCACGAGGTAACATTGATGTATATAATTAATAATCGTGGCTCTCCGAAATTCGTATACTGATCTACTGTTAGATCATGTTGACCTTAATTTTATGAACTCTAATTAATATTATAGGTTACAAGCTGCATTAGCAGTTTGGCGAAATTCGATAAAATTAATGAAGTTCGAAGGGGTGCTGTCAATGTTATTCGTTCTTTATTGAAGGGTTTACAAAGTGATATCATAGAGGTGATTTGAAACTAATATATTAAATAAGTAAATGACAATAAGATAAAACAAGAAATTTTTTAAAAATTATTTTCAGTTAACGCCTACTGGATTGAAAGAGCTATATCGTCTTTTGAAGCATTTATACAGTACGGATCCAGATGAAGTCGTCAAACTCCATTCGCAGCTTGCACTTGAAGAACTCGAAATAATTATGAGAAATTATTTATTTCCAGAAGTAACTTTACAAAAATGTTTAAAAATTACTAGTAGATAACATTTATACTATGACGATACTGTATTAGTCACGATTAGAATTCGTCTAAAGTGTAGTATCGATTGGATACATTATACAATTTCCCATGTATATTTTTTTATTTATTTATACGCGTATATTACTTATAAAAGCAAATTTATGAAAAGTATTTTAAAATTCAAACCTAAATACATCTTTGCTAAGATGATGCTTTATCTTCATTCAATAATTTATTTTTTTAATTTTTGTATCGTGTTACGTCTGGTGTATGTTCGCGTGTGTACCTTACTCTTTGAAAAGTATTCGATTCAAGAATTTACTAGATCTTTGGCGTTATATTGCCGCTATGTTACTTGTAGCTGTAAAAATAACTTACATCACTCGATCACTACTAACCAGCTTAAACGGCTGTGTTAGATATAGTCACCAACGCTAATCCATTGTGAATATCAAGTTATGTTAGGGCTTAGAATTACTACGAACGTCACTACACGATATTGAGGGAAGTCCACCTCGCGCGTAAAAGGATACAGAACCTGCATAGTCTTGCATTACAGAGTTCTGTTTCACAATATAAATAGCTGTACTTCTAGTTTAAAATTTGAAAACAGTATGTGACAGGTAATGTATTTCTTTATTACGATTATCAATTGTAGAAATTATTTTACAGTTAAGTAAATCCATGACTTAGTAGCGTACATCATTGTAATATAAAATTCGTGCTTTATCAACTGATTCTATCGAATTGCAGCTATAGCAAGGAATAATAAAACTCCATCATGACGACGTCGTCAATAAATTGCTGATAGTGATTAAAGAATATTATTCATTTTAGATGATTATAATCAACTTTCAATACAGTTAACTACTTACATTTCTGGTTAGCTATACAATTTACAAAATTATCAGTTATGTTACTAAAACATGATTCAAAAAGAACTGAAATGCTGTAATCGATTGTCAACCTTACGATAATGCCATAAATTATATATTATTAACTGCAAAGACACCAAGGTAGAGAGCTATTAACATTACGACAACTGTAGATTAGCATTGATCTTGCATAAGTGACAGTGCTTCCAAGAATGTTAAATTTCATATCTTCAGTCTCGACGCAGATAGGAATAAGTATTTGCAAACCGTCGCATACCATTAGCAAAGTCAAATTCCTGCAGACACCGGAGATCTTTCTTATTCCGATTCAAGGTTAATATTATTTCCGAATTTTGCATACAGTGCTACTTTTAAGGCTTCCATAGATTTCTTAGCCTGATCCATTTTTTCGGTTAAATTTTTGATATTATCGCCGATTTTCGATTTCATTTCTTCTAGAAATTCTTGAGCTTCGTTGCTTTGTAATGATACGAATACTTCACCAAATTTATATTTAAATAATGTTAAGGGCATTCGAAAAGGCAAAATACATGAAGGTATGCTATTTGAACGAAATGATACTTGAAGAATGTAACAAATTAAACAAAATTCCTTATTTAATAATCGCATTAGGTAAGATATAGCACAGGTTGCGAGTCGTCTTCTTCGGAAAGCATCAATTCATCACTAGCATCTTCAATACTTTGCAGCTCTTTCTAATAAATTATTTGGAAAGTAATTTCCTTAGCATCAAGGTCTCCATTACAATATAAATGTCAGATTAAATATTATAAATACAGTAGTGCACGACAGACTTTTATATCTGGCTTTGTTTAGTTAAATTATCCGGACATGTTAATAGACGACAGTGAGATCCTTTACGCTAAAGGGTATTTAAAAGGTTGTTTCTTAATCCCACTCCCCAATCTAAAGTTTAAAATATTGATTTTCATATACAGGCAGGTAAAGTTTCTAGCAGTCCAAGATACAGTAGCTTTTTCTTTACCTGTGAGAAGCACCATCATACTGGACATTAGGCCGGATCAGGATGCACAAAACTAAAGAAGGTCACGCTTAGACAATTTCATATGACTTGTCTAAGAATGGCTTTTTAAGTTTGTGTATACTAGTCATGCCTAGTGTGCAGTACAAACTTTGCTTTGTACTTTTCTTTAAATCATACGCTGTACAAGTAAGGGCTACAATACTGACCATAAATATAGTATATGCGTATCTAAAGTTGTTGATAATTCTGGCACACTATACTCCACCTAGCCCATGATTAATTTATTTATTTACTACTTTAACTGCACGGACTATTTTAGACCGTGATATACGAAAAGCATATTCGTACCCATACCATTTACGAGCAGTGCAATTTATAGTAGGCAACTAGGCAAGATTATTGATTAAATGATACAATACAACAAGTGCAAATTGTAACCTTTTTATCTTCAACTTCCTGCTTCAATTCCGTCAATTGAGCATTTCTACATGCAAATAAATTGATTTTCTCTTGATCTTCATAGCTCATCACAGAGTCACCCCTATCCTATATAATATAATTAATTAATTAAAAAGAAATAATGCAATAAGCACTTCTCGGATTGGTACCGCGTGAAGCACTATAGCAGTACCCTCCGAAGCTGACTTTACAAACTATTTTCTAAGAACGATAGTTATATAATTAATCTAATCGCATCAGCTAGAATATGGTCATTTCATTGGTACGGCAGGAGTAGTCGCATAGCGTCTGAAACGTAAAATTACCAATGTTCTATTTAATTAAATAAAACATAAAATACCCCAGCACTTACAACTCCATTTTTTATCACAGAACTAGCAGTAGCCATTGTTAATTATTGTCAACCAGAGTAAATGCCGCAGTTTTGTTGTAGGATTTCGTGAATCTCAGCCTTTGCAATTGTAACGTTTCACCAAAAATTCATTTAACAAAGACTGTTCATATGGACAATCTACTGTTCAACCTGAATTTGTTCAATCACGCGCTCCTGCGATTGATAGATTGATGTCGATCAATCGGACCAGACACCAGACAGCCAGACACCATATGAAGCAGTACAGTATTTACGAATATACTGTACTGTAAGTAACTACCGCACAAAGTGCGTACTGTACTGTACTGTACAGTATAGTGTACACTACTGTAGGCCATGGATAGCTAGGTGCACTGGACTTCTAGAAATACTAGTAGACCATCGCTCGTTACATTGCGCGTACTATACTGTACCGTGTACAATAGTGTACAGTACAGTACCTGTACAACCTCCCTGATTGAGCAATTAATTATTGGCAGTAATTCGAAGTATCCTGATCAGGTTTTGAAACCTTTCACGATTTTAAATCAAGCATTGTAAATTTCAAATCAAACTAAACCAAACCAGAAATCATGAAGTACAGTACATTATAAAATATGATATCTGTCAGTGAAGCGACAGGGCGTTAATCTAGTGTTTTTACCTAGGATACTGACAAATACTGTGCTGTGCCATAGTCTACTAAAATGAGACCCAGTATGGCGGTGTCGACCTACCGTACTGTACTGTATTTGTACAAATTTTGTATGAAAAAAGAATGGTACAGGTTTAGTGTTGCGGCTGTAGTCCGAGTAGACTCAGTATAAAAGGGGCAAAGTCTTTGTTTACCAAAAGCATGGACTGCGTAGTCCATGCTTGAAGTTTTTGAAGCATTTCTCTATAGATGCTAGTGTATTGCATCGGAGTCAATGACTCAGCTTTTAGACAGCGGGTTAATCATACAGTACGACGAGGTCGTCATTGTAGACTTTTATTACTGTACTGTACAGTACAGTACTCTGCGAAAGCAGGCCGAAACACTTTAAATACTGCTATGGTACGGTACAGTATTGCGGTGGTCTGGCGTGGGACACGTTATGTACTGTACAGTACTCTACTCTACTAGACATATTGATAATACTCTAACTGTACTGTACAGGATACTACTGTTACTAACTGCAAATTAAAATTAACTGAGTCACCTAGATATCGGCTTCCTTTCGTCACATTTTGCTAATCCGCATCACTAATTTTATTATAATATACGAACAACTTAATCGAAAATCACGAAAGTAAAAGTCCTTCAAGATGTTCATGACACGCTCGGAATATGACAGGTATGAAATTTAGCAAATTAAATATCCTGTGTACTGTTCTTTACAAGAAGTTATCTTTTATATGATTTGCACGTCGTACTGCACGCTTTAGCAAATGAACATTTACATACACGTAGATCATTTAAATTCACTTCTTAATTTCTGTCTATCAAGGGGTGTTAACACCTTTTCTCCAGAAGGTCGATTATTTCAAGTTGAATATGCTATCGAAGCTATAAAGGTAGCTATGAAGTCTTGATATATACTAAAATATTTTTTCCGTTTCAATAGCCGGTTAGAATTATTGCTTGGCTTCTCTAAATGACCTATTAGTAAGCATATATTTTCCTTAAATTAACAATTGTAATTCTTCGGTAGCTTGGCTCTACTGCCATTGGTATAAAGACCTCCGAAGGCATTGTTTTAGCTGTCGAAAGAAGAATAACTTCTCCACTGACTGAGCCAGAGAGTATGGAAAAAATTTTAAAAATCGATAATCATATTGGTTGCGCAATGAGTGGCTTAATTGCTGATTCTCGTACTCTGGTGGATACTGCTCGGGTTGAATCCCAGGTTAAAATATTACTATTATAGCCAGATGAACATGCTAGAATTCTTTCATTGCTCTATTAATTATCGCAGTTATCAGCAATGTTGCGGACTTTTGGACTTATCGTAATCTAGAGGTCCGCAATAACGTGTGCTATGCTAAGTAGAGGATGCTTTAGTCGAGTAATACGTGTATATGTCTACTGTATAATGCATACATTGCAAGTAAGAATATCATTAACCGAGCTACTGTACACATACTAATAAACTGTCAGTTCGTTTATACCTAAATATATTCTGTTGTATTAATACGCATATGCGCTACACACTTTCTATTAATTTTCAGAGTCATTGGTTTACATATAACGAGACAATGACAGTGGAGAGTGTTACTCATACTGTTTCTAAGTTAACACTACAGTTTGGAGATGACGACGCCGGTGCTGGAGCTATGGTGAGCGTTTTAACTATTATTTTTGGTCATTCAATATTGTAAAGATTGTATTTAGAATTAAGTATAAATAGATTCTAAATTTGCTTTCGAAAATCCTTAGAGTCGGCCATTTGGCGTAGCTTTACTATTTGCTGGAATAGATGAAAAAGGTCCACAGCTATTTCACCTTGATCCCTCTGGCACTTATTTTGAATGCGAAGCCAAAGCTATCGGTATAAAAGCTTATTTGTAGTTTACTTTTATGGTACTCTATTTTATCGTAACTTTATGTAATTACCCAATATAAGGTTCTGGCTCAGAAGGGGCACAATCACAATTACATGAATTATATCACCAAGTATGTCATTGAAGAGAATTATATTATTAACACTTGTCATATGAAGCAAAAAGCTATAATCAGCCTATTTGAATTTATTTACCGCATCTATAAATATATCATGGATACTTTTGTATATACATCTTAAGATAGCATGGTATTATTAACGTTGTTTTATAGAATATGAATATGAAGGAAGCTTTAATCACGGTTTTAACCATACTTAAACAAGTAATGGAAGAAAAAATTGACTCAAATAATGTTGAGGTAATGCTTATTGCTAATGTTCAACGGGGTAATTTTCTGCACTAATAGATTTGTTCCGCACTAATGTAAACGTATATTCTATTGATTTCGGGTATCAAATTTCGTATGTTACATAGGTGGCCACCGTAACCACGGATAAAAAATTTTTCAAACTAGATAAGAATGAAATTAAATCAGCCATTGAAGAAATTAAAAGTTGAGTACTCTAGAATTTAAAACACTATAATCTAAAGTACCTACTCGTACTGTGTCATGAATATATCGTAATACGTATATAAATATATTAACGAAACAAGTTCAGTGTTGGGGTAGATATTTACAAGTAACTATTCATGTTGTAACTATTGCTTATCTAAGAAATTTTTATACATTGTACAATTTGTACAGTAATTAATATTTATGTAAATTAATATTAGTTCTTTTAGTAAGCCTGTTTTCGTATTGTATTGCGTCTTTATGTTGTCGAGGTTACTTCACGGTTTAGAAGTTAGTTATGAATAATGGATTTCCTTTTGGGCTGAAATATTATAGCAATAATGTTCACATGCCCAAATTGTGTTTATTTCGATTTTTGTACTGTAGGAATTAAGTAATCTTTTAAGTAACATCAGCAATAAAGATATTTAAAGAAATTTCACATAACCTGACTTCTGTCTAGTGCAGGGTGTATGAATTTGGGATTGCCTGCAGTCAGGAACACTGCTATTGCATGCAGTACCGATAGCGAGCATAGTGATGCACTGATAATTAAATTACATTTTTATTAAATGAAATTGTTATTGATGTATCCTGATATCATCATGAATATTGCACAATTGCTTTCATAATAAAAGAATAAGTATGTGCATATAGCAAAAGGAAATACTATCCGTTCTTATGTTATCAGAGTGATTGTAATTTGATTCTATCCATTTTACAACGCATACAGTATTACGAAGCCAATCTACTTTCATATAAAATAACCCCAAAATAGTCCTGCCTGCACGCATTGAATTACTGTACTGTACCGTGCCGTACTTGGATAAAAGTTAGCCCAGAGTGACTTCTCGGTACGATGACAGTACTGTAACCACCAGTAACGACAACGTCTTAGTACAGTACTGTACACCAGGTATAGTAAGGTAATAAAGAAAGAAAACCAACAGCCTGATTGATACACTGAAACTGATAAAACTTGGAAAGATCATAACTGTATATGAACAGTACTGCAATAAGAGGAATTTTCTCTTAAAAGGCCTTAACACTGACAATATTTCTAATCTTTCTGCTAACTCTGCTGTCGTTAAGTTTTCCGTTAGCATTAAATACAGTATATATGTTACATACAGTTTCGAATAATTAATTATTATAATTACGGTTACATAAATACAGTTTACATATAACAAATACTGGTTCGGATTAGTCATGCAGATTCGTAATCTATGGAAACTCGTAGGTGGTGTAGCATTCGCTTCTGTAGCGGTCAGTGGATTAATAGTAAGTCAGAAACTATTAAGAAACGATGAAGTTTTTTATCGAACCTTTGCTTTACCTTTGCTGCATCGACTTGACCCAGAAACTGCTCATAGATTGGCTATCAAATGTGCATCATTAGGTTTAGTGCCACGCCAATCCACAGAAGATCCGGCAGAACTAGTAAGAAACAACTACTTTTAGATTTCGATCGTTCTTTCTAGTTTCCGTAACCCTCTATATCGTACAGTATTTTATACTCATTGAAATCTAACTAAGAAAGTAACTACTTCTTTACTTATGAATTTTGCATTATTAAAGCTACTGTATGATTGTTACCTATGCAAAGTGTAGAATAGTACTACAGTTGTACATTTGCAGACATAGCATCAAAAATTAGCCTTAAGCACTGCGTAAAAATTTAGGATCAAGTCCAATAGATCTATTAGACTTGATCCAAATTTTGAAACATTTACAAAATTATAAATGACTTCAAATTAATAGGGATAATTGTAGACAGCTATCCCTTTAAAATCGAAGTCATTCATAATTTTATTAATGCCCCCCCCCCCAAAAAAAGTTTTAGACTTGTAGTCAGCTATAAACGGGTGCAAGAGCCTACTAAATATTATTACAATAAGGTTTATACGTCATAGCTTACCAGCAGTTAATGTGTTCGCACCGTAAGTTAAATAGATTTAGAAGAAATATAATTTAAATCATTGAATATGCATGAAATTAAAATAATTAGACATAATTATTTATTATACATTTATTACAACCTACAAACTTCGTATGCTTACAGTAATTAATTAATAATGAGAATTATACCATACGAAAGAGTACCCTGTAGTCTGGTATTGTACAGTACAGTACATACTGTGTTGATACGATTACATATATATCAACAAACCTTGAGAACAATAATTGTCCGTAGACTAATTCAAATATTACTTATACGCGGACATTTAGGTGACTACAGTTTTTAAACAAAAATTTTCTAACCCTATCGGGTTAGCAGCAGGTTTTGATAAACATGCTGAAGCAATCAACGACCTACTGCAGATGGGATTTGGGTTTATAGAAATAGGAAGTGTAACTCCTTTACCTCAGGCTGGCAATCCTAAGCCACGTATTTTTAGATTAATAGAAGATCGAGCCATCATCAATAGGTCTGTGATATAAAAGACGCTTAAGATTAGCTCAGTAGACGCAAGAATACTTTAAAAGACAATATTTTTCGATGTACTAATTTAATTTAATTATTAGCTTAAGTTACTGAGGTCTGAGCGATTAAGAAGTTATTTAATAGCAACAACTCTCACATCGAAGGATTTCTTTACTGCAGATATGGTTTCAATAGCGATGGACATGAAATCGTCGCGCAAAAACTTGAAAAGTGGCATAAAAATAGAGGTCGTGAGAATTCGTGCGATCGCATTTACCAACATTTTCTGAGTTTTCAGACGATTAGATCATTACTGAAATCTGTTTTCCCGTCGTTTATCTTAAATTAGGGAAAAGTTCAGGAATTGTTGGTATAAATTTGGGTAAAAATAAACTCTCAGATAGTGCCGTCGAAGATTATGTCAAGGGTATTCAAGCTATTGGAAAATATGCAGATTATCTAGTTATTAATGTATCTTCTCCAAATACACCTGGGCTGAGAGCATTGCAAAAAAAGGAAGAACTGCAAACAATTATTACGCAGGTTACTAATAAACTTAGACATTCATATACAATCCTGTACGTCAGTTATCAAATGTTCCGTAGCTCTATCTATAATAAATACCATATCATGATACCGCATCTTAAGAATATTGTATGCTTAATTAATACTTGCCTAGGTTCACCGTACACTACCAAAATAAATGAACTTTTTACATACTCGTATGCTATTAGATTTTATTAAAGAAATACTAATTTTATTAATAAGATATCTATTGAAAGAGAAAAGCTAAAGAACAAACCAGCTTTATTAATTAAGCTCGCGCCAGACCTTACCGTACAGGATAAGAAAGACATTGCTGATGTCATTTTGAAAGAAAGGGTATTACTCGTATTTCGCTAATAGTATATCTATTATTATATCTCTTACTCTTTAGTTACATGTAGCTCTTTATTCTTACAGAGAAATGTAGATGGCTTAGTTATTAGTAATACTACTGTACGCAGACCTAATTGCCTTACCAGCGTTTCCAAGAGTGAAGCTGGTGGCCTAAGTGGCCCTCCACTTCGAGAGATGGCTACTAAAACTATATATGATATGTATCGTTTAACAGAGGGTATGCAACCTGTCCTTATTGATGAAACTACTTATTTTGCCTCTATGTTTCTTACAGCTCACTGAACTATATTTTGACAGGCAAAATACCCATAATTGGTGTTGGCGGAGTACAATCTGGTGAAGACGCTTACGAGAAAATTCGTGCCGGAGCATCGTTAATACAAGTATTAACAGCTCTAACATATAATGGACCATCTATTATACAGAAAATTAAGGCTGATCTCGTTACACTGTTAAGGTTTATTCGATATTAATTGGAAATTATTCTTGCCGTACTATAGTTAACTTCTTTTAAGACACTAATACTCTGTCACATACTCTTAGGCAAGACGGATTTAAATCCGTAGAAGAAGCAGTTGGCATCGACCATAGAAGACAATAGAAAATAGAAAAATAATATGAATAATATTGAATAAAACTGTTTTTTTATTAAGTTCATAGTAGAATTATGGAAATACGTTCCTTTAAAAGTTAATGAAATTCTATTGCAATCTCAAACGTTCAACATTCTATCGATTTTGTTAAATTGGTATTCTTAACGAGTAGCAGTTATGAAAAAGTTTTACGTATTTATTGTAAATTTTCATCACAGTACGTAATTTAAGGGTTTTAAGCTAATTTCAATATCACGTACAGTTTACAAAAAATTGGCCCAGGAGCCGATGTCTTTACACTCTATTTTAGTGAATACCGTACTGAACTAGTAATTATCACCATCAATTAACAGCTTATTCTATTACACTGTCTACTTTGATGTAATAGAGCAAAATATAGATAGAGGTACTTGCTGCATATGCCTAGATCCATCGAATATAATTTATTCAGTACAACGTAAAATAGCAAGACTGAGATTAAGTTAAAATACGTACTGAAGCGATAATCGCAATTTCTGAAGAAATTGGTTTACTTATACAATAACTTATAAAGAATTTCCAGTGTTTTCTATTTGATCCACTACAGCAATGAAAATTATCCATTCACTTCTCTGGAAGGTCAACTTCTGCACCAGACTGGGTAATTAAATCACCTATATTCTTTTCCAGTTCATCTATCCGGTTGCCCATTTCATCAAGTGATGCTTAGTTAAAGTTATAACGTCACAATAAGTGCTGAATCTTAATTGAAATGAAAATACCTTACACTATCATCAACTGAATCAATCACGGAAACTAGATCATAATTACATCTATCATTTAGTAAATATCAGAATACAATAGATTTCGCAACTTAATTAGCTACTAGCCATAAGCATTAATTTAGTTACAGATTATGCTATGAAAGGATATTTCTTTGAATAATCTGGTCCGATACATTTTGAAATTTATCTTGCTGATGAAGTTTAATATAAGTCATAAAATATACACGTAGTTAACTAAAATTTCTATCACATTTAATAAAGTTCGTCATAGATGCACAGAATACTTCTATTCCATAATAAGAAATACGCATAAAACCTAAACAAGTACTGTACTTCAAGAATTCAGATATGACATGACTGCTAAAATTATATTCTACAAAATACGAAACAAATCATGATTCTGCATAATTATCTTAACGAAATAGTATCGAATGTAAGTGCTAGTGATTCAGGAACCTACCATTTGTCGTAATAGACCTTCAATCTGAAAAATTGAAGAAAATGAAAAGAAATGCAGATGTGGCTTGTCATTTAAACATTGAGTAAAATACCGATATACGTATAGATAACTTTTTAAAAATCGTATTATGATAGCAGATTTCATCAAGGAATTACTATTGTGGAATAGAAAGCATTTCTTGCTGGTTAAAATGTCACGTAGTGCAGAATAGTCACTTTGCAACTATGTCTACAGTAAAATACAGTTAGAGCCTTAAATAAAACTTAAATTTCATAAATGTGATCTGAGCGTCTTTATACATTAAATTAAATTTTTAATTTTAATTTAAAATGCATGCATACACTGACTGTACTATCTATGATAATTCTTTATTTACCGTATTATTACTAGTGTTAATTAATTTATATTTTAGCCAAACAAAATGAAATAACTTTAAAATCTCTGTAATATTTATCAGCTTAAGTGGTATATAATTATATATTTATACATTTTGCCGTGACCATATACTGTATAGTGTATTTCTAGATAGAAAATGTAGCCGATTAACGGTGAGTTTACTAGCACTGATGCTAGTTACAACTATTTCTGTAAATTATTTTATTATAATTATTTATCAGTTAATATCTTTGTTACTAAGTAACTACTGTAAGGTATTTCCGCGCTAGTTAACTGTGTCCAGTAAACCGCCTGTTAATGTACGCTTACTATATACCAGAACAGGATATTTTTATCAGCATACGAATATGTACAGGAAACGTAACAAACGTGCGCAAATATCTCAGTGACTACATAAGAAATACAGTACTATACAGCATTACAATATTAATGCGATTTGAAACTTTTGGTACGAAGCCTGTTAACTCTTTGATATTTCTTGGATTCTCATCATTCCAATTCGTTGCTTCTGACATCTTTTCGTGTAATACTCAAAAGGACGCTAAGTTTTCGTCTACGGGTGCTACAGCAACAGCAACTGTATTTTAAGTGCAAAGGACGCTAGTGCAGATTTACAGTATTTATTTAAATGAGCTTCCTGTACGCGTGCGTATCGTACAATACTGCACTGTACCGTACTGTACAGTACAGTACAGTGTGCGTTTGTGCGTGAAAACTTTGAGTACTGTACAGTACTATGTACTGTACTGTACTGTACTGTACTGTACAGTACTGCAGATTGTCGTACAGTACATGTACTGTAAATCTTACTAAATCTTAAAATTTAAATTAATTGTACTGTACTGTACAGTGTACAGTACTGTACCGTCGAAAAGCTTTAAAAGCACTATGATAGCGTAAAGTCACGTGCCACGGACTCTGGTTCTTCTTCTTACTTCTATGGTAGCGGTACCGGTTATCGGTAGGGGTGTCGCCAACCGTACTGTAAAAAGGGAAACACGCAATAACCAAACTTACAGTGCACGTACAGTACAGTACAGTACAGTACAGTATTCCGATACAGTACTTAGTACTCAGTATTGTACAGTACAGTACAGTACTGTATTGTATTGTACTGTATTGTACTGTACTGTATTGTACTGTACTGTCTGTACAGTACTGCAAAAAGGGAAACACGCAATAATAAACTTTATTTCGACACAGTTACTTGACACTTGACAGCGCAATGGGAGAAGATTTTGCCACAGATCTTGACGGTTTAATACAGCAATTAAGACGTATTTTTGATGAGGATCAAGTAGATGTTGATCAAGTAATAAAATTATTAGGATCTTACAAATCCAACCCCGAAGATTGGATGAAATTTACAAAGTTCGATCCTTACAGGCTAGTATTTTTAACGAATGATAATTTTACTGTGCTACTTTATCGTGTGTCCGTGCCAGCACTATCAACACAAGTTACACATATCTTGAGTAATATTTCAAAACAAGAATCGAAAACATCCAAAAAATCTATAGAATTAGCTATTCTTTTTGTATTAATATTAACTGAACTGAGAGAATATTGTATCGATAAAATGAGAATCTCAACAATCGTTATCACTGAGCTAGTCTTCATTTTTAAGTGTTACAACTTTAGACCACCACTGTTTTTTAAGCGATAGGTTGCTTGATTTACAGTATAGTACAGTACAGTACGTATGGTTCTGCTACACTTTACTGTATGCGTATGTTTATAGCCAGTGAATTCGAATTTACTGCTTTGTAGTACTACGCGTACGGACAGTAGCTTCTATAATATACAAGAGCGCACTATAGTAAATTAGTAATGTTATACAGTGAAGTAAGTTTTATGATTGATTTTTTTTTTATTCGCTTTAGTACTATAAAAGCTTATTACGTGCTTAACGGCCGATAGTGCAGTATATTTCATATATCACCAGTCCGCGGTCTCTTCGTACGTTATTGTAAAAATAAGAGGGTGCAAATCTTCCTGATTAACGTAGATCTTACATTTCATTATAGATACACAAGAAATCTGGTTGATAGAGGCAACGGAAAATACAATCTTATGATGTTATGTTGGGGTGAAGGCCAAGGGAGGTAAGATCGAGATATGTTACTTCATTTTTAATTCTATAATTTGTTTTAAATATTCTATATTCACAATAGTTATCATAACTATAAATACTGTAGTTGCTACATGATATAATCCCGATTTTTGAGTCGTCCTGATTACGGACTGTACCTGCTCTAGAGTAAACAAAGTAATTCAGCTCCAGCGAAGTTAGTCGTGATGATGCCACGATATATTTACACATAGTCGGTTAGCTCATCAACTTTAGCGATAGCCATTTATGTAGTCTCCCGATTTAAAAGATGTTATAGATGGTTCTTTATCGAACAAGTTCTATGTAAAAGAAAATCCTTTTATACTATAAAAAAGAAAAATCAAAGCTGAAAGGAATTATCAACCAAAAAATTACTCTAATGTGTGTGTAACCAATGTGGAAGGTTGTCGTCGACTTTAGAACTACCAAAGTCTCGATATTAAAAAGTAATTCCATGAAAACCCCTAAACTCTATAGTCAAGCAGTAGATACCCTGCCATATTGTTTGTGAGTACGCAGTGTATGATTATTCCAAGTGATAGTGATGTAAAGCAAAATGCGCAAGTAAGGTACGCGAACTATCACAAACGGAAATTATTTCTCAGAAATATTACAAAGCAGCAGAGTAGCGTACATAGTTATGATTATAATAAATTGTGTACTCTTCAGAATCAACTTTTTATATGATAATTATAATCAATTAACACCACTCAGATCGATCTTATTACTGCCGATAACAATGTAAAATCACTACTGTATTAGCAGTAGCATATTGCAACTATTTATAAATATCCTATTTAATCCTTGCCAGTGGTATTCATGATCATGCAAATAGCCACTGTTTCGTGAAAATGTTGGATGGAGGCTTGAAAGAAGTTATGCTAGAATGGCCTGAGGGAGAAATAGAACAACCCATGACAGTTAAAGATGTTAATATATATAAGAAGGACCAAGTTGCCTACATTAACGGTAGGTAACGAATTTATAGCGAATAGCTTGTTTATAACTAAATATTATGATGCCTTCTTGTGGATTTCTTTAGCTTTCTAAGTTGCAAGCGCACCTGAGTTCTCTAGATATACCCGATGACACTTAATCGAATTAGCTATTTTAACAGTTTGCAGTATGGCATACAGTGCATGATACTTATGCGTTTTAAAAATTTATATTACCACGACAATTGTTTAGACTCGATGGGTTTACATCGTATGGAAAATGAGAGCCATAGTAAACATGCGGTGTCGCTTCATCTATATTGCCCACCATTTGGGGAGTGTTATAACTTTGACGAAAGAACTGGACATAAAAGGAAATGTTGTGTAGTTTTTCACAGCTGCCATGATAAATAGCAATCCCCCAGTAAGTACAGAGTGTTATCTAGTATTTAACTACAAACGTAAAATGTTTTACTAGTATACTAATTAAAGGTATTTTTTTTCAATCATAATAGATTTTGACATATAATCATGATAATATCATAACAGCATCGCCGCTATACGTATAATGTGAAAAATGTAAATGCCGATGCATGTGTTCATGTTACAACAGTTAATCAACGCTCAAGAAGGAATACTACCTAATCGGTTTTGGTAGTCACTACGCAAATGCTTTATAATTTAATTTGAAATGCGGCGATAAGAACTGTATTATTTACGAATTTAAACTCAAAAAATATACTAAACTGTAACAATAATCCTAATACTGTAATACTGGCCATTTTGATGATTACTAGCTGCATCTAAATGTCGTCGCTGATAAATGGAAGCTGAATTCAGAGTACCTTATAATTGCAGTGTAGCAAATCGGGTTACGGGACTACGTGCCGTTCGAGTTGAATTTATTTTTATTAAATAACAATAAATTTCGCAGCTTACGTATACAATAATTTCGTTGTCCTAGATGAAAACGATTTTGTTATCAGTAACTTATAAGTACATCTTCGGCGGTCGCTACTATACTGAGTGATTTTATAAACGAATTTCGAGCGATAGTAACTCGCTGACTAGTACTGCACTACTGTCACGTTGATCCAGTATACGTACACTATGCCAAGGCCCAGTACCATATAATACAAGCAGTGTTCTGTGTGTAATTCGTAACTTTAAATACTTAGGACTCTGCTCTTGAGTCTTAATAGTGAATATAGTTATTTGCTGATCGTAGTACATATAATCAGAAGTTAATCACAGTCTTAATAATAATTAACATCAAAAAGTTTCTAACGCAGATTTCCAGCTAAATTACTCTGTGAAATGTTAAGAGTTCAGATGCCTTTATTTCATGGACGAATCGTTAAAATAAAATATGCCGGTGTTTAATTAATGAAATATTATATGGCAGATATGTTTCATGACTGTAAATTTTTAAAGCTATCTGACTGAAGATAAAACTATCTTCTAGTAAAGCTTCCTAAAAATACGAATTCTATAGTTATGCTTTAAATATCTGAGCTATCATATATACAAAAATTCAATGTGAATGCCTTGGCCTCAAATAGGTATATTATTCATTATTGGCACCATTTCAACTCTAGCAGATATGCATAACATGGAATACAATATCATGTTAGTATCAGCAAATCAAACATCCTTTACTAATAAACACCTCTGAGCCGTTGAATGAGAAGTTGAACTGGAAGTAGTGGGGCTCTTTCTTGCAGATTAGGATGAAATACGTCAAAATCCACAAATTGCAAATCTCGTAGATACTTTTGGCATATAACCTAAAGATACCATAGATGATACTGTATTAAATTTTTTAGATCTACAATTTTGATTAATAATTATCTCTACGCGTATGTCCTTTAATGTTTTCTAACCGAACATAAAAAACCTGCCACGGCCTTCCTGGATACGTCTTTTTTAATCGATCTCGCCTGAAATGAGAACAATTTTTCACTACTCGTATTTTCTAAATATATGCTGCAGAATGCTCTCGAAACTTTTGCACTAAAATACGCACACTACAGCATATCAACTGAGCATATAAATAAATCCTTACTATCTCAAGGTGGGTGTTAGATAGACTTGCTATTTCATATATAGCGTCCTTTACTGGCTGACTACTTCTGCCCCGAATGATGTCCTCATGAGATACTCCATGCTGATAGAATTCGGCAATAGAAATGATTAACAATATTATTTTGCACAGCACTATTTAAGAGCGTTAACAGGTACAAATAATATCTACCTTAATCAAAATATCACTTGGTAAGTAAACTTTTCCCTTCTTTGCATGGAAAGGAACAGCGCGCAATAAGATAACTATTCCATACGCTTTTCCGATATGACTCGCTGCATGATCTGAATGGGAACAACGAATACCTATATGTGAAAGAGAGAAATCGAATATATTTACAATATTTGTTTCTAACAATGTATCAGAGTAACTTGTACAACTATCTCTTCCTGCCAGACGTGGATATGAACACAAAGGTAATAGATCAGTATACAGTCTATCTATTCATTAACAGCTGTTACATACTGAAAATACGTCATGGTTACTACATCTAACCTAGAGATTCAAGAATTAAATACAGTATAGAGGAGACAGTATTTTCACAATAAGCTTCTAACTCTTCCAAATTACGATATGGTGAATCATCTAAACGCCTTTTCTGAAATTACATTAAATGATGTTGAGATAAGTTTATAAGTGTTGCTATGATTGCATATAACAATAATATGGTATCTTTACGATTACCCTCTCCTTAACCAACCGGTTGAACCACATCTTTGATAAGTGATTTTTATCCTTAGCCTACAAATCAAAGGCATGAACCTAACATTAGAATCAATTGAACATAAAAAATTAAAGTAAAAAAATTCTCTTAAGTCATTTAGAAATGTATACAACCCAATAGTGAATGTCAAATAAATACTTGACGCTAAAACGCACAAGCAGAAATGTAGCAACTTCACAAATTCACTAACCTTCATTAGCTCCATAGCTATTGGGTGCTGTGGTGGCTCATTCTGTCAAAAGTGGTACAATGTGAGTGCACTATTTATTTTATTTATTCGATTTCGTGACAAATAAGTAAATGCATGACATCGGACCTCTTGTTCGTTGATATCGTCTATACCTTATATATCGATTCAATCGCACTAGCCCAAAATTTTATTCGCATTTCTCCAGTTCCAGGCTGTGAAATGATATCTTTAATCTATAAAAAAAGTAAGTAATTAATTTTATTCGGTACAGTCTATCACAAAATCACTACTGCATGAATTAATTATACTGTATTATGGGTAATAGCGAATAGAAATAACATAGCTAACGCTGACGAAAGATTTCTAGTATGCATCTACAACTTGTACAAATATAATGATATTCTAAAAGATATTATAATATCGCATATTAACACATTATCACTAAACTTACAACTCTCATAACTCTAAAGTTTATTAATGAATCATTAACTGCCATTGAAGTAAATCAGAACGAAAGCTACTCTTTTGCTTACCTTAATGGTTTCCAAGTTAAACGCTCTGATAGCGAAGACGCTATTCCTAGAATCCTTAGGCAATAGTAAGGTTGTTAGGTAATTTTCGAAGTCATGTTTCCTAGAGATTGATTAATAAGATAAAAAGGAGAATAATGGTATATTTCATTTTATTAAAATAAAATAAAATTAACAAGCCTCCGTAGCAACATTAACTGCATAACATGTTAGCGTATCCTCTACATTGTCCAACAGGTTTCGGTATCTTATTAATTCTCATTTTCTGGCTATGCAATCAGTTCTTCCTCTAGAGTACAAATATGCAGACTACATGTGCAGTATCTACGTACTAAGCGCAATAAAGCATTATTCTGTGATCTTAAATTAATTTACAGTTAGTTACTCTCAACCTGAAGATATAAAGAATCAACGAGGAAAGACGCTCTTCTAAACTGATCACTACTACGACCGTTCTTAAAGACTTTGTAAATCCCGAAAAAACTGTATTTCTAAAAGGCTACTTTACACTGAGAAACAGTACATCATACAGTAAGTAAGATTTCTATCAAATCCGCATAACATTGCAATTAACACACTTCAATTTTATTTTACTAAAACTTAAAATAAATTTATTATAAAGCTTATCGCATTACCTTACTAAATTCATACAATACGAGACATTGCTACCATCATCTCGGCGTTCATTCGATGTGAATTGTCTTGCATTGATTAAATAGCCTCTTACACGAGGAATGCTTACACATACTGAATTAGCACAAAGTAGACTTTTTCGTATAACTACAGGCTTCTTATAAATATCGTGGATCAGAAATCGTTTCATCGCTCATTATATTATTATTATTAATTTTATTTTAATTGTTATTTATTACCATACATACAGCGTATGGTTACAAGAACCAAGAACCTACAAATTGCGAAAGATCTTCTTAACTCAGTCTACAGTACAGTACCTTTCAGTACTACAGTCAGAGTCAATCTAATAAATACAGTACTGTACTGTACAGTACAGTACTGTACACTGTACAGTATAGCGTAGCGTAGTAAAGTACTATACAGTACTGTACAGTTCTTTATGACGGTGCATGGTCGGTCTGGTACTGATTAATCACTAGTATGCAGACTACTGTACTGTACTGTACAGTGTACAGTGACTATCTGATATCCCGGCAGCGTGTTAAGTACGGTGGACTGTACACTGTACACTGTACAGTACCATGATGATTACTATTATAGTACAGTGTTCATTTTTACAGGAATTTTTTTGTTTATTTTATTTATTTTATTAACTGTACCACAGGAGCACAGGATAGTTTACTCATTTAGTGTTCATTACCAGACAATACTGCACACATGCAGAGTGTACTGCAAAATGGCTGACGATATTGATGATTTGTTGGATGAAGTTGACCAAAAATTTATACAGAGAAAACCAGTAAAATTCCAGCCAAATAATGAAAATGCCGGTGAGAACAGAAAAAGATTCAATAATAACCGATCAGTATCTTCAACATCGAGGTAAAATATTTTCGTCATTACATACTGTACACTGTACAGTACAGTATACAGTACGTAATGCAGATACAATACACTGTCTGTACAGTACTGTAACTTTTGATTGCCAGCTTTTTCGAATTTGCTATGGGTCTTTGATTAATCTTAAGCTCATTTACCTTAAAATAATCGGATAATCCCTTGACTCTGATCTATCTTGATCAAAGAAATTGATCATTATTTTACACTATACAGGTCATGCAGTATACTCGCACAGTAGATTAAATTTATTTATTTTTTGTAACCATTAATCTTACTGTACACTCTCACAGCGGTGTTCATCTTCACTGACATTTAGTTTAGTAAAATACAATAAACAACGATAGTTTAATGAAGTCTGCAGTACAGTACAGTACTAGCAGTAGTGTACTGTACTAGATGTAATCTGTGCACATTTGTACATAATATATAATTTGCCTATTGGCAAGAACAAAATCTGTTGTAAATATGTTTTTCAACTGTTAAATTAACTGTAAACTAAATTAAGTCATTTTTGATTTATTTGTGGTCATTTACACCAATTTCTAAGAAAAAATGAGTTTAAAGGCAGTTTTGATTCAAATTCGTCTGTCTGACGTGATCTAACCGTAATCTCTCGTTCAGTCTACAAACATATATTTATATTGATTCATGTACAGAGTATGAGCTGATCCTGCCAGTTTGTGTGAATATATATATATATATACATGTTTTAACTTTAAAGATAAAGACTAGTTTATACCCTCTCTTTGAGCGGAAGGACAATCCAGTATACAGTACAGTACAATATTAGGGATACTGCACTACTGTATACAGTACTGTGCCATGGACTACTAAATACTACGGTAATGTGAATCATATGGAATTGATCAGAATTGAAAATGCTTTGTACACGAAACTGATAGATTAATCAAATGATTGGAAAATGTTTGCCAGGGTATAGTTAATAACATCATCATCACTACTAATAACTTATCAAGGAAAAGTTAGTTACTATGGGAAATCGATTATTGCTAATCTATAACAGCTTTTCTTTTTAACCGTTTGATTATATAAAATTTTATCTGATGCTATATATTTTTTATAAACGAAATTCTTTAGATCACCTGCGACCCAAATCATTCATTTTCAAGCTTAAGTCTTGACGATATTCTCGAACATTTCTTTTTATACCGGCTCACTTATTAAAAATTAACTCATAGAACCGTTATGTTCCCTCGGGCGACGCTAGACGTTACTAGTCCATCATACATAACGCAAACCTCGACATTTAAGCCATGAGTTTAGGATAATACCTTCGTAAAATTGCAATAATACCACGAATAGTATAGCTGAAACGTAATTCTTTACAACTAAATGTCAAGATCTAACGGAAAACAAGAAGTAGATAGTGAATTTAATAATGTATCACACAGACAATTATGGTGGAACATACAATAGTATCTTATATTATATTTGATTTAACGTATCACTTTACTGTATATATATATATATATATCAAAAACAGAAACTGATATTTCATTATAAGAAATTTGTAACTAGATTTAGTCATCAAGCAACAATATCAAGACTTTTAGACTGCGTTATCACAATTCACATTTTAATAAAATAGCTTTTTATTTCTTTGATCTGTAACAGGGCTACGATTAATAATAATACAGTGAATTTTTTTTCTCCTTTTCAGTCGATTACGCGACGACGATGAGCTAAGTAGAATGATAGAAGATATTTGCAGTGTTGAGGATGAAAGTGATATAGAAAAAAGAAGACGAGAAGTTAATAAGGTTAGTGATTTAGTTTTAATAATGCAATTTCTGTTAAGCCAACATTCGATCACATTAAACCAATCTCTGATATTTTCTGCTAAGTTAAGCGGAATCAGACTCAAACACTCTCTTTATACTGTGAGTAGTAGTTCTTTTTTACTTTCTTTTGAGCAAACTCTCGCATAATAAGAATGACAAATCCGTATATTATTGTACGTATATATTTATAGCTGCCTATAAAACTTCAAAAATTATAAATTAATGTCAAATTTTGTAAGTTGTAATCATAATTATAATTATAATTATTGCAGTGGTGAATAAATTACGAAGTACTTAAAAGTTTATTATGGTAGTGCCGTCAATAGATCGTCGTTTACGGCGCTAATAAATTATATAATTATCCGAATGAATAATTTTATTTTAAAAGAAATGTGTCCTTTATTTATCAAAGGTAAATTTAAGTTCTGAACGATTTCTACCCTTCTGATTCATTTATTATAGATAGCCGAAAAGAAATCTGTTACAAAGCAACAATCTCTCGATTGCTCAAAACGGTACTTGTTATACTTGTAGCAATTTAATTTGAAGTATATAAAGTTCATTTCATGATTTCATTTGCGTATCTTGAATTAAATACTAATGCTAATCTTAGCTGTCTAATATTAGAGTTCTGAAGGATCATATTTGTTTCGTAAAGCATGTCCAGTACACTGTCTATAACTTCAGTCGGAGGATTACTATTTTATGATAGTTTTGTATATGTATTTGGCCCAATTTTCAAGATCTAGACGATATTATTACTTACTTATAATACTATACTTAACAGAATGAATGATCTAAGTATTATCACTAACAAACGGAATTTTTCGAATTTCTAAATATATAATAAGGTGTTATCAGGTTTACCTGGGTGGCAGTAAAAGTTTGATCGGTTTAGCCACTATTTCATCTCAAAGGTAATATTCAGTCAGTCCTATAGATACAATAAAACTCCATCGAGACATTGGCGAGCGTATTTGTCATAGAACACACATTTTATAATCTAAAATCTGTTAGTTTCCTTTTCGTGACTAGTAAACTTGTCTATTTGTACTTTATGTCAGCAATGTTATTGTCAACTATCCAATAAATGTAACATCACAAATATAGAAAAAGAACAAGCTACATTTAGTTAACCACCTGCTATCAAAAGTAAATTGTAGCATAAACTCAATTACGAATATTTATTGAATTCTCTTCGTATCGCAAAAAGAAAACTACATTGCGCCAGCAAGTTATACAAACTGTTCTTATCCAAACAGACTTATTCGCGCTTTATTCTCTTTAGAGCTTGCAACCAACTCCGCTGTACGGCCTGTGACTTTCGAGTCAGCTACTATGATGATTATGAATGGCATCAACGATCAAATTACATCTTTTTTCGAAATAACATGCCAGATTTTGAAAAAATTCGGGTTAATTTATTACGTAAATTAGGTATGATCTGCATTATCTTAGAGCAACAATCAGTTACCGGCACTCAGCTGAAGTAGCTACCATTCTAATGCCATCTTATATAATAAAAATAATCTTATCGTTATCGGTACATGCTGTTGTAACCAGTTCGATACTCGAATATTTCATACCAAGGTTTAGCTGCTAATTCTCGAAATTAGTGCTATACTCTGATACTTAGTGACTAATAACCGAAACTTAGAATAATGCGTATATTATGGTTTACTGCTCATTTACCATTTTATAAGATACACTTACTTCTATGCCTTAAATACTCATTGAAACAAACGCTTAATCACCTTTTCATATTACTATACAATTCTGATTTACACCAACTAATTGCTGTGGTAATACGTAGTTTCTTTCAGTTTATGATATACGGATATAAGCTAAGCTAAGCTATTGATTGAACAATGAGACTCTCATAAAATCTACTAGATTGCTGATCTGATGACTTTACCCAAGACAAACTGTAATGAAGTGTAGTAAGCGTTCTCAACTAAGTCGGATACATTGAAAGTAAATTGATTACTGTTTCTAGGCACCCGAGCTTACGCATGCCAATGTTCCTGGAAGTCTATTGCCGACGTAGTTCCTGTAGATAATTACACCGACTTAAAATGGGTTTGTGGAAGACACCTTAAACTATAAATATAACATAATTTTCATAATGTATTATCTACTGTAAAATTAGTCTTTAGTACGTATACGATATTCCATCTGCCTAACACCGACTGATATTACAATATCATAAGAAATCAATTAATATTATAATAAACTCCTTTGAAAATATTTGTTGCGACAGCCTTTGCTAACTCTGACGAATTACTCGTACTCGAATGTGTGTATTGTGATTGTTATTTATGATTATTTAAAAGTATTAAAATGTTTAATTATTATCAGACTTTATCTTTTAACCCAATTCTGCAAATTGTATGTAGGGCTTTATTATACCTATTATTTCCAAGAGTAAAACACCGGCTAACGTAACGTTGGCCAATTTATCAGAATCTAATAAATTCAATAGACAAGTTTTCACTGAATAAATTATGACGCGATGATTAAAACTGTAGCTGCTAAAACTTATGAATCTTGACTGTAAATGCTAAATATTGAAACATTTCGAGCGTCCTACATACATACATACCTACCTAGGACCTTATTTAAATTATCTCTTATCATCTTTTTACTGCATGTTAATCTTGCTATTAGCAAATGCATCAGCACTATCTCATGTTAACGCATAGAAAACGAAAATACTTCATAGCATTAAGTATTCTGCATTTTTCAGTGTCATTGCAAACGTTAATCATAGTTACAATATCCCAGGTTATGGTTGTATTCGCAATATTAACTAAACATTTCGATCAGTGTTCGTCTAGATTGTCTGTATAACATGTTTGGCTAACAACTTCCAGGATTTATATTTCGAATTTTCGGAACGTAGAGTCCATTCTCGATATGTAATAATACTTTCGATCGATCTAAGCCAACCTACGGGAACAGTTAAGATATAATTAAATATTGCTGTCAAATTTCATTCATATGCAAAGCTGATACGCGTAAGTAGATCACTGTATCACTACTTATACAGTTATACTGTAGTATTAATTCACAACGTATCAATCTTCGACATACGAGTAGTTTATCGTTTTTTTAGCATATTCTATACAAATTAAGTTCGGAAATCGAAAAGAGTTACCACGAATCGAATGACTACCGGTATTAAAATTACTCGGTATGCTAACGCACAACTTAACATTAATCTAATTAATTAGTTAATTTTTAAAATTATAATAAAGAAGCTTGGCATCTGTTTAAACAGTTCCACGTGCAATAGCTGAATCCGAGCTCCTACTTACGTGTCCACTAATGTATCTCGTAAGTGTCCCGTAATTGCCGAAGGCTGAGCACCAGATATTTTAAAGATACTCTCAATAACCGATAACTCCGTTGAAGTAGTATCCATACCACAAAATGCACACCAATCGTTTACTACTAAACCAGCACCAATTGCATCACTACCCCTATTTACCGTACCAGCCTGTAAAAAAGAGAGCAAGGTAATTAATAAATATTAAAAGCGACATATACAAAACTACATGACTATATTTAATGAACAACTAAATAGGAGAGCTATTTAGGCTTCAGTGAAGTATCGTTAAAATCTTTCTATTTAATGACGACGAAGTAATTATGATTCTAATCCACTGTATCTATCAAAGCCGGAACAGTGCTTTACAATTTTGACTATGTGATTATCTTGCCTAAAAAGCAACCCAAACTAGGCTAAACAACATACCCAATATACAGTACACTAAGCAAATCTGACATAATTCCATTTCGTAGTCGAACTTTCAATAGTAAATAAAACCACTTATTTAAGGCGTAATCTTTAAATGTAGCTGACACAGAGATGATTTCAAAAGTGCAAATGAAAAATGTATGTAATATAATATACACGGTTATGACATTTTACGATCTAAATCGATCTTGTTCAAGAATAATGCAGCACCTGAACATCATTTACTACCTTTGCATCAATATCGAGAAATGTACATCAAATTGTTTATAAAGACCTTAATGTTACGGTATGGTCTGTATACTAATCAATTTTCACATCATACATCCTTGTACAGGATGTCTGATATACGTCAGTGATACATGTACGTTATAAGAAGTCGTATTGTAATGAAGATTACCGATTGAAATCTGTTTAAATAACTCAAAATATATACAACATACTACGTGTGTTTGATAAACATCATTACAGCTAGTTTACTGTGGCTTAATTCAGTGTTGAAAATACGATATCAATTACAAGTATTACGTCGGAATTCAAGCCGCTATAAAACAACATGAGCAAGGATTTATCAGTAATTTAAATAAGTACAATTGTATAATATTACCGCTAACGGAACTTGTAAAAGAGATGATAGCTCATCTAGGTCATTCGTATTTGTACGAGGATGAACCTAATAACATCATACGTCACATCTTTCAGATACAGATAGTAAATTTTAATCAAGCAACGAATTAAACTACAACATTCTAGATCAGAACAAATATAAACACAAAACAAGACCATAATACTGTTTTTAGCGTTTATTACAGCTTTACACGTGTTACTCCATTAGCGATCTTACCAATCCTCCAGCATTATTAAATGCACAATAATTCCCAACAATCACATTTCCAGCTATGGTCTGACGGAATACCTCCACTCGTAATGTATCCGCGATAATCTCTTCAGTTTCAACATCCAGATCAGGATGAACTAATGCTACATAATCGTTACAAGCTACTACGTTGCCTAACGCTGATAATCTCTCCTCTACACGTTGAACCTTAACAGCGTCTGGCAAACAATTTCGAATATGTTGTAATTCCTTATTGATAAATTACATTAAAGTTAATATCGTCATTTCATACTGTACGGAATTTAGTAAAAAGCTTACTGAATTCTACTTCTGCATAATACCGAACACGTACCTGGTCAGTGGCAGAGCTTGGCACAATTAGTCCATGACGATTGCCTTGATAGATTTAAAATAGGCATAATATGTATTAAAATAGCTCTACTAACCAGAGTGTGATATAAGGCGCTGAATGCGGCACTTTAAGCAAGTTTCAACAGAATATGCTACAGAGTAAGACAAGTGTCACACTAATGACGCAGCTATCAGTACAGTAATTTATATATATACGAGTACATTACATTTAAAGCACATTAACTAGTTATTATTAATTGTTGCAATGCGTATTTACTAACCCACGCACAGCGTCCCTATGATCCTGCATCCAGCTAAAGATGTGTGTATTACCGGAATGGTTTCAGCCAATTCAGACTCGAAAACACTAAAAGTATCAACAGTATGTACATACGATAAATTAAATAGCAGTATTTGTATTTGTCACACATTGCTTACATAAAATTCTATGATATAACTACTGTAATCGTAAAGTACTGTAAATAGATTCGTAAAAAGGAATATAAATGTTGTTCATCACGTACTTCAGACGTTGATAGCTAATTAAGTAATGCATACAGTATATGAATTAATAAATTACTGTATGAAGCAAACTGTTTAAAATTACTTCTAGTAAAAATAACCTCGTGTGAATACATCTAAGTACTTCTACAGCACAAATTTATATATTCAAATCGCTACGGCAATAACAAGCGATGTCGAGATCTCTAGTGAAGTTTTCTCAGCATGACCTAAAGTGATTACCACACATCATATAGCAAATTACTGTATCGTATTTGAAGCTATTGAAGTGAAATGTCGGTATATTTGCTTTCCATTGCATTTCTGATGTATACAGTAAGCTAGCTAAATGAACGTAAAATAATCATTATAAAAGCTGTTTCGAGTCAAAAAATTACTTTTTACTAATAAAATCTTGTGACGTTATAATACAGTAGCCAAAATAGGTCGTTCAGTGAGAAACTACGCGTGAATAGTGAAGTTGATATTTTTAGTGTACTTGTATGCAACAGATATTCAACGTTTAAATTCTGCATTCTGCGTACATAGTACCTGTAAAAATTTTCTGAAGCACCAATTGCTGTCAAACAGTATGTATTTGTTAATTTAGAAAATACTCCAATCTCGCAACTCTTTTCAAAGTGTGCTCTCGTAGCCATTTTCAAGAGTTATTTTGTAAATTGTTGTTCGCTTCAGACTCTACTTCCCTCACTCTTGGTTCTTGCTTCGTACTGACTGCTGACCGTGCTAAAACGTAGCGAGTATTTATTGTACTGTAGTGTAAACGCCGCTGCGGGACTGCACCGTCAGCATAATATTAATGCTGTAGTACTGTACACTGTGTACAGTTATGGAAATTAAATACGCGTACAGTACTGTACAGAACACCTTAATGATGTAATAGTAGTCCATGGTGCTTGCTTTTAATTAATTAAGCTTTGAACTACAGTACTGTACAGTACAGTACTGTATAGTGTACTGTAGTCACATGGCGAACTTGTACTGTTCAGTACAGTACACTGTACAAGTGAAGTGTACTGTAAATTTCGGATTTCCCACATCCTCCCAGTCATCTAAAATTAGCTGCTTTTAAGCTTACTGTAAATGTGCTCTACATACTGTACACTAGTGTACAGTACCGTGATCTCTGACTTACGAATACGTTACGATAGTATAAACTGCAATGGCTGCAAACAATCCCTGTATCTTAAGCTATTACGACAGCATAATTAGGGAAGATGATCTTCAAATCTTAAATGGCATTGGCTGGATAAGTGACCGAATAATCGGTTTTGTATTGGAGTATGTATAGTATACTTACTGCTGTACAATGTTATGACTTTTATGCATCTCATGTACAATTGCATGACGCTCGTGATACACATTCACTTACGTTACTACGAAACGTGTGATGTGATTTAGTTTTTGGAGCATAGGGGTAAGAAAAGGACCTAGAGCTGAAGAGAAAATTCTCTTAAAAATCCCTGACTATTCCTTATTCCATCGTCGGTTAAGTAAACGTCAATAAAATGCTATTAGAAGTGGGATTTTAGTGTATTTCAGAGAATTCATACACTTTACAACTCCTTAAGTAGTTAACAGATATCAAGATCATATTCGTATTCTACGCTCGATTCATAGTACGTATAAGAATTAAGGAATTGATCAAACATGCTTTTCTTGAGTCCCTTTAACCAAATTATTTCTCACTGTCCCATGCTAACTTTTCATATGTTCCCTACGAGTATACCAGTATGCGAAGTATCGCGAGCAGAAGGTTCTACTCGTCTTTAACTAATCCTTATGTTTTACCTAAGCACTGTACAGTGTAGCATAAAGTACTCATACTTCTGGAATTAACGCTAAAAATTTTATAGCTACAGTATTGGATTTCATATAATCATGTACCATTATTTCAATGCGTAGGTACTTTGAGCGAGAATTATTCGCTAGCTTACATGACGTGGTAGCATTCGTCCAACCTGAAATTAGTCAATTTATTAAGCTTTGTGACGGTGATGATCTAGTACACATTAAAATTGTCACCTTTACACGTAGCATTATGCTTACCAGTGTCGGAATTCATCTAAATGTTCTCTTTTAACTATAAAATTGTATCACAGCTACCGTCCTCGATAGCGAATTTGTGTTGGATAGCTTAAATTTATCCAAAAAAGAGCTAATCTTTCTGCCGGTTAACGACCATAATAAAGTAACTGAAGCTGGAGGATCACATTGGTATCACTTTCATTTATTAAGTCGTAACTTAGTTAATAATATGCAACGCTGTTACAGTTCAGCATATTGAAACTTTTACACTCTATATCGAATAGCCACATCTGAATCTCTCGCTTTTTATATTTTTAAATTACAGGACACTACTCATCTATATTAGGCCCAGTAATTGCTATTTGCATATGGATTCTCTTTGCACATCTTCAAATCTTCAGTCAGCTAAAATAACTGCCTATAAACTTGATCAAGTGCTGAAATGTTAGTACTAGGAGTATTTTTCGTTAAGCAAGCAAAATGTAGCTTTTCGAGTCCGCCATCAAATAATATCACGCTATCTATTTCTATTATGATATAGAATAATTATTTTCGTCTTAATTTATAGATTCATCAAATACCAACTTTACTGAAATTAAGAATGGGCCTAGACAAGTTAATGGTAATGTAACATATATAGAGCTCAATAAAGTGTATAATTAATGCACTAATTTCTTTAGATTCATTCAAGCAATTGATTATCCATTGTAAATAAAATTAATGTGTTGATACTGCTAACAATCTGTTAGTCGTTCCTTTCTAAAGGTACAGTACAACGTTAAACACTATTACTGTTAAATAACTTGTTGCTAAAAGCTGTGATTTTTGCCAGTGTGAAGAGTAATTATTTGATACTACCAAACTGTCAGTTCATATGACTAACCGTAAAATCTGCAGTAACCCTTAAATCCAATAAGAGTATGCACCTACCGGCTAGAGTAACTTAGATACCTGCAGTATTTAATTTTTTCATAAATCCATTGCTTTAAAATGTCGAAATTCTACAATTCGTAACGGTAACTTCTGTTACTACTTTTTGCCCGTGTAATTTTAACCTCAGAATTTTTTACTTCAGGTTATGATTGTGGGATGTATGTTATATGTGAAATTGAAAGCATCTGCAAAAAGTATAAGAGCGAAAACGATATTGGATCTATTACGGATCAATTTGGCATTATCTGCAGATCCTTGACCCCTGAAATGATCCACCAGAAAAGATTAGAACTGAGTTCTCTAATTATATCATTAAGATTAAAATCTGCTTAGCGCAGAAATAGTATAGTAGGACTGTATTCCGAAACATTATACGTGGCTATGTACTGTATATGTAATTATAATATCTATATCCAATACTTGAGAGAAGTTATGTATTAATTTGTTTAAAAGGACTAATATGCCTTTTATCGTTCTCTTATACTGTAAATTGATCAAAAATTACCCTACATATTAACTAACACCTGATATGATATCCGTACAATATAGCCTGAAATTAAATATTAACAAAATTTTTAAAATTACATTTCTAACAGCCATTTTGGATTAACAGAAATCCTTTAGACGTTTTAAGAAAAAATTTTAAATTAGTGCATACCTTTTCGATATAAAATAGAGTAACTGACGGTACTAATTGAGATAATACAAAACTTATCGTGCACTTATACTCTAACGCATCTCACTAATAAAACTATATTATTCATTTCGACAAACGGAAGCTTTAACGGAATAATGTTAATCAGTACATTATATATGCATGGACTGTTGAAGTGCGGACAGCAGTATTACTGGCATTTTACTGCATGTATAAGGTGGGCAACAGAGTAAGTAATTTCTTGTTGTCGTTTGCCTGAAGTGTATCTAATAAAATAAATAAAAATACTTCGCTGTCAGTGCTACATTTTATGATTATACTCGTGTAAGTGTGGTAAAGGAACCAGACCCTCGTACTACAATGAGAAGATATACCCAAATGTTATGATTGATATCAAGTTACACCGAAATCTTTCTGAAGAACTAAAAATGTCAACGTAGATTCTCGATCGAATTATAACGTTAATAGAATATCTACCATGAATAAGCATACATGCTATTAGTCGTATGATGATATAACCTGTAATTACATATCATCCATATACAATACATACTTGCATTTGTACCCCATCGGGCTATTAAATTCTGTATTTGTATACGAAAATTTGAAAATTTAAACTAAAATAAAACAGAAATACGTAAAACACTTTTACAATCTATACAGAAGTAACCACATTAAATTATTAAAATCTATCTATTATAAGCTTTCATTCTCTGTGAGATAAGTAAAAATTTTATAATCAATCACAACAATTCAAAATTACGGGTAGTTTTGAATTATAAACAACAATCTTCATAATACATTCCATAAGTTCAGGAAGCAAATTTCTAGTTTTAAACGTTTTCGCATTGACTACAATATATATATATATATATATATTGATACATTTACAATATATGACAAAAAGCTAATAAAAAATACGAAGCAAATAGTTATATCTTTCTGTTGGATGGCAACTTTAAGGCGTTATCCTACTTTGCAAAATTGTTACATTCTACGAATCTATCAGACTGAAGAGTGAATCTTATAATACAATCATGCCCAAATGGGAAGACGATCAATTAATATATACGTATAATAATATAAACGAGTGGGATTTTGACGGAAACATTTCGCAGGTTAAGGATATAAGTACTTTCGCTCTGATCGGATATTTCTTGAAATAAAAATTGAAAAATGAACTATAAAAATCAGTTCGAATGAGTAAATATTAACAATTTAATGCTATTTAGCACTCAAAAATTAAACAGTCAATACAGTAGTATTCATATTGAATCATAAATAGCTTTAAGTCTATTAATTATATCATCATGTACTGTAGATATTATATGATACTCAAATTAATTATATCGATTTTATTTGGAGTAAAATACTTTCACGAAATAGTGTAAAATATCTTCATAAATCATTTCGAGATCTGTCTCCCATTGATAATAAGTAAATAACAAAGCCCAGTGAAGGTACAGTATATACTATATATGTATAATTTATGAACTGTGAATACAGTATGTGATAAATCCAAATACTTCTAATTAATCTAGCTACTAAACGAAATGCTATCAAAATAGCTTCAACATTGCTCTAACTTGGAGTCCTACAGTAAACTAAAAGCAATCACCCCTCGTAAATCACACGTTGTAGCACTTTATCATTAGTAAAACTGTAAATCCCGCTGTTGTGCAATAATACGAACTAAGAATCGATGTGCAAAGTACGGTATTCGCCCCACACAATACATAGATAGGAAATAAATTAAGCATCACTTTCCATAGCTAGGAAACGTTAGTATTTCATTCTCTTCCATAAAGCAGAATTTGGGGACTACGCAAATTTGTAAACTACAATAGAGTATATGCTGATACTTTCAAGGTATGGTTGCAACTTACAACCATTTCGCGTTATACCGGTCTCAAATGCATGCAATTAATATATATTCAATGTTCATTACCTTGATAAATAACTGTGCATGCTATAGTAAAGCTCTATCAATTTAACATCTTTCATAAGTTACAAGGCTCAAATGTACTATAAACTATATTAATTATTAAATAATTATGAATGATAATCGATCGATCTAAATCACCAATATTTGGTGAATCAAACCAACCGTAAGGGGTAAATCGTGCAATATAGACATGTATATGAAATAGGAAATCTGAAAATTCTAACCCACTACTGAAATTTAAAACATAATACATGCTATTAAATTTCAAACAAGACAACTTACCATCACCGGACTAAATACTAATGCTTTTATCATCGTGTGAAAGCGACATCTCCTTATCCAAAGTAATATCACAACTTTCAGAATTCGTTGAAGAGGCCTCCGTATTTATATCATGTTTCGGTGATAGAGAACCTGAAATATTACTAATATCATGGAGATCTGCGGTTGGTAATTTAACATTATCGAAATGCCTAGATTGAAGTACGTTTTCTGTAGTATTTGCCTCAGCCGATTCTACATCGTGATCTTTCTGTAGCGAAGAATTGTTAGCAATGCTCAAAGTAGATTCATCACATTCTGAAGAACTACTGATACTTTCGCTAAGTTTTACTGTTGAAGTTATTTCTTTGCTATTCATCGTTGAGCCATTATAAGCTGCTTTATCATCACCCTTTAAAAAGATATTATAATTTTTCTGAATGTATTGTACATTAATAAAAACACAATACTAATTACAGTCAAAAAGAAACCAAAACAACCGCGAGCATAGTCAGTGCACTCCTTACCAAAGAATACGAGACCAATTGTGTAGCTTCAGCGCTGCCAATGACTGATGTATTATCTGTGTTCCTGCTTAAATAATTTTTTCCAGCCTTCTGAGCCTCTATCTCAGCTAATTCAAGGTATCAAAAGACATCAGATATCGATTAAAAGTTTAAAGTTTAATTTACACTTTCAGTCTTGCATCGAAAAACATATTCAAAGACGAATCAAAGTATCTACAATACATTAAGTACTATGTACCACTATCATTACCTAATCTTTCCTTCTCGACCGCTTCGACCTACAAAAGAATGAAGTAAACATATATGATATATCCTATATAAGAGTGAGATAATTCTGTATAAAATTGTACCTCACAAAGCGCTAATTTTAAATTTTTAACGAAATTCCTTCTTTCCGACTCGTTGCTTGCATTCAATGTAAGAACGATCTACAAAATGAACATTTTTATTCATTAAGTACTATAATCGTAAATTTTATAGATAATATTAAGTTTTAACACTTACCTTGCTGTCCAATTGCTTATATAACTGGAGCGGAAATTTATAGTCTAAGAATCGATCGTAAGAAAGAATAGCTTCTATATTAAGCAGGAAGAAATCATTTATCAAGTATGTTTACTTGATCATTTCCTAAAATTTATTTAGACAAGTTACATACAACTGTGTTTGATGACTCGCACTTGCAAACCCCATAGAGTATAATGAGACTTATAGTTGTAAGTAGATCCACCCACTGTAGGTACTTTTAGCGGCGCAGACTGTCTGCCCTTTTTTATTTGCATCTTTGTTAACTATACCATTAAAAAATGCTCCTTTCAATTATAACCAATATTTCTAAAAGCTATTTTCTTTTAAACTATGTTTGCTTACCAGTATCATATCGTTAAACAGAAATACAATTCTTGGATGCAATCCTGGCTTTTCTTTTTTGTTTGGATCTACAACGCAAAAGCTGGCTATATGAATCAGCTGTCGATGCGGAAGTGATAACTCCTGATATCGACAAACCGACGTATTTCAGAAATTATATAACTTTTAGTTGAAGAACACGCTATTATCAGAAATGAGGCAATAAGAATCTATCCTAACCGGGCACTTTCCGTTAATAGAATTTTCAATATTTCTAACTTTCGTTGTATGATCAACTCCAGATTGAAATGGGTTCTAGTTACGCAAAGGATATCAAAAAGAATATCATTACTTTACAAGAAGACCCATCGTTTTAGGTGCATTACCTTACATACCTGCTTAATTCTGTGATATATACCAGCTAAAAATTGATCAGGTAAGTCATTGCCGTCGTTGATACCTTCAACCAATCATGATTTAAAAAATTACTTATAGGAATAATTGAAAAATTCAATACATATACAAAATTTTAAATTACACATAATTACTATTATATAGTACTAATCTATAAATGAAATTGTTGCTGTACCTCTATTGTTACGTATAAAGTCTTGTTCTTTCATCCTTCTTTCATTCTTTATGTTAGGATTATGTAAATCAGTATTGAGCATTATCATTGAAAAAGAAAGTATGAACATCGTGTCTTCAGAGAAGGGACAATCTTCGTTGCATTCGCAATATCGATGAGCAAAAACCTACAATTTATGATATATTGCAAATAATTTGTCTTTTAAGACTAAGAATTTCAACAAGACCTATTAACAATCTCATTACAAACAAAACTACTAACTTGCATTATCTTCTCGATTTTTTGAGCTTCTCCCTGTTAAAATTGATTATTACAATCTTGTTACCCAAAGTATTTTAACTCATAAATATCTAGGCATAGAGCAAGTCTGCTGGACCAGGCAACTGAAAGTTTATAATAGGAATATAAAGTTCTCACATACCGGTAATAAAAAGGTTTTCAACATCCTTCTCAGCGCTTCATCAACAGTAATTTTTGTAAAATCCAGAAAATTAATATACCAGCTATACGCATTAAATGCAATATAAATATTAATACAAGTTTTCGACGAAAAAGAATAGAATAATGTTTTCTAAAGCATTATTATATGCTAATCATATGCTGAACTCGACTCCAGACCAAATTTTGTACTTACTCTAGCACAGCCACATTAAAAGATTCCGAGATGCAGCCTAAATATTCTCCCAAAAATTTCTTACTTACACCAATTTGCTCGAACAAGAATCTAGCTACAAACTCGGGATCTCGTTTTAAAATGCCTTTCCTAATAAGATATTCGATTCCTCTTTGAGGTTTTCTATGTAACAAACGTGGTAAAAATATAAGAACTAACATTGCAAACACCGTTGATTATATGATACATGCTCAGTCTGAACGATAACTATAATTACTAGAAATAATTCCACAAATTTTGACCTATTAAAATAGTGTAAGCCAGTCCTTAAATTCAGTCCACGATTAGAATATATTGCATATTACCTATATAAAAATTATATATATATCATAATTACTTCCAAATTTAGTGATCAGGTATGTCTTCAGTTGAAAATGGGACTTCGAATGAAGGAACTGTACTATAATATTTAACAATTACATCACAATCCGATATTTGTAGTGTTACATAATCGATAAACGTACATTATATTATACACTAGTAGATAATATGTAATAGCAAATAATATGTAATATGTGACTATAAAAGGAGGTTAAAGGTGAATCAGTATTCCTAAATTTTTCTAGAATAACTCGGAGGCTACAACATGTATTTGATTGTATGATTATGCGAATGTGCGTAAATAATACTCATATACAACGTATATAGCATTTCCCTATAACTGTACTAATTGATATTGCAGTGTAATCTAAATTTAATAGTAATACATATATACGCATTTTATTTCACTATAAAATTCTCGTCCTTTCTCCTGTCTCCTCGCCATTATAATTTAATCATCATAATCGTCTGCAACTTTTAAATTATAACTGCTTCGATCTATCCTGCAACTTACTTAGAGCTATATATTTATTTCATCATGCAGATCAGCAGTACATTTTATCAACCTATGCTCTGACTTAACAAGCATGGGATTCGGAATAATATCATAAGCAACTTTCGATGTCAAAAAGTCTACAGCAAAGATACGTTATATCTAATTACTAGTATTACCTATACCATTTTCCTTATATTCGCCAGAAGCCGCTACTTGCTTTTTTAACTTACTCTCCATTAAGAATCTACCTTCTTCATTAGTTGATGTGGCTTTAGCACTTTGAACAAAATTGGCTGTATTTTGCAAGGTATTCGAACTATCACTATTTTGAAGTAGCCCGAGCGAAGTTTCGTTCATATCGGTTAGTGAATGATCTTTTAGCAATATATCTCTATTACTTTGGTCAGATAAGTATTTATCAAAGGTTGCTTCACTTTGTGATAATTCAGCATCATTAACATTAATAGCTCTATAATTTTGAGTTGCTTCTATGGCTGAATGATGCGCACGATCTCCTGATTGACTTTGAAATTTATTTGCATCCTCATGTTTCAAACGACTATAATTAAATTTAAAGAGCTGACTTAAATTTATTGCCAGACATGTACGTTCATCTAGAAACTTACATTATTAACTAAGATCACCTGTTGAAAGAGTTTCGAGATTCAGATCTTTGAGCGAGATATTCTTCATACGGCAGAGCAGTTCCAATTCCAGCGAAGCTTCGTGGGCGCCGGCCGCCCATACGATAAGTAAAATCGGCATCCGATCGGCTACGATATACCCGCGAGTGATTTGTTGACGCTTTACGCCACTTATCAAATCTTTTATTCATCTGATATTTACGAAAATGTACCTGAATAACACTAGCAGCACGATTTGCCTTTTGACCACCGCCATATTTTCTTTCAACCATTTTCAGATGATACTGCCGTAGTTCAGGAGATAAATCAACGTTATGGCTTTTATGTTGCAAATTTAACGTTTTTTCACCGTTATCGTACCGCCATTTCGTGGATTTCAAAAGATTTAATATTTGCATTCTGTTTTCATCGGCACTAGTCATAAGTTGAAAACGGAAATTCAAAATCTAAAGACCGTGTAGTTGTATATTTTCTCACCCATTGCAAAGTATTACGATTTAGGTAGGAAGAATCACTGTGCATTCTTGGATTATTAAATATAGTGTACAAGTTAAATAGCCCAGAATAAAGGATTTTAACTACACTGAATATAAATAAATAAAACTTTTGCCTCTAATAAGATCGAAATTTTATCTAGTCATTTCGTGTCATTACTATTACGAAATGATGGCGATATACTGAGTACCGAGTCAACAATATTTTAATAAAAATAGGTAAATTAATTAATTAAACCAGGAATCGGTAGTCTGTAATCCATTTAATTAATTACTGGTAATTATGCATCGTAATCGATAACCTCACGGCTGAAATAAAACCGATGTCAATCACTGATAGTTGTAATTAACTATGCATCGTAATCGATAACCTCACAGCTAAAATAAAATCGATGTCAATATTTTGCCGAACGGCTAATCTTTTGAATGACTTCAATTTAATAGTAAAGAAATACCCTTTACTATTTATGTAGTACATTACAATAACTGATATAATTAATCCTCTTTTAGTTCGTATAATCAATTCGTATTGTTCTTTCATTTAACGCGGATAATGTAAAATTTTTAGAAGACATATACCGTATATTCGAAGTTGCAATAAACGTTCGAATGCTGTACTCATCTTTCAAGTGAAATTAAAATACCTTATATACGCGTAATTCTATTATTATTTATATTATCAGTTAACAATTATTATCTAGGCTATATTTACGACAACATTAACAATATAATAATTATTATTATCTAATACGTACGAATACTGCAGCAATGAAATAACTAAGCGCGACATATCAGTTGTGGCACAAATTTATAATTAGAGTTTACGATTAGGTATAATACAGTAATTGTATTTATAATAATTATAACTGTATAGCCGTGTACTGCATTTCCACAACATTTTTCGTCAGTATTAGAGAGTATACTGTATAGTGTATAGTATGATTAAATATACGTATGCATACAGTAGTTGGAACTCTTATCTGGTACAGTAAAACAAGACACTGCCTAATAGATTCTATTCTAATTGCTTGTAGGCGTACATGTACAAGCAATTAGAATCTAACATTCCAAACAACATTAAAAGGACATCCTATACACCATTAATGTAGCTCTGTATAATATAATCAATGCCATTAATTAATCAATAATTAGCTAACTGCAATCATTAAAGATTATTATTATAAAAATAATAATTATACACGAAATATCTCATACCTAAATAGCTTTTCGCCATGTGATAGGTCATCTTCGAATTCAAAATCATTTGCTCGGCCATGTATTGTTAAAAGTGCTAGCTCTAAATCTCGATTGTACGCCTCCAATATATCAATTTTCTTCTTTAATTCGTCAATATAATGGGCCTGGTAATTAATTTTTTTATGTAATTCTATTATAGATTCTTCACTGATGACTTCCATAATTAGCTAGAGTTCTTCCTTAGTATACTGTACAGTATTATTGCAACGATGTGAATAAAAATTTATGAATATCTCCGGTTACAAGAAAGCTGCAATTCTGCCAATCACTGCTATCAGCAATAAGGAGACAAATAGGTATAAGTAATTAGGTAACGGTCGTTAAAATATATGGAAGACATTCATGTTACTCACGATAAAAACCCATGACTGAGAGACTATTTTTTATAGGTACACTATGCTGTACTAACGATCGTATTCGTACAGTATAACAATATTTAAAGATTGCTAGCTGATATAAAGCAATTTCATGATTTATTGTTGCATTACTGTACAGTACTGTACTGTACAGTACACTGTAGTCGGAGTCCTGTTCTGCAATTTACAGAATATCGTACTGTACAGTACAGTACTGCACCGTGCTGTACACTGTACAGTACTGTACAGTATTAGTCTTAGAAGTCCCTGACTGTACAGTACTGTAGTTGTCGGTATCGCCGCCTCCAGACCAGTTTACATGTTGTTAAGATTCAAAATGTCATCTTTACACGTTCCATAGTACTGTACAGTACTGTACAGTACAGTACAGTACAGTACATTTCTGTACAGTACTGTAGTGGGTAAGTTAGCACTCTGCTAAAAATGTACTGTACTGTACACTGTACAGTACAGTACAATACGGTAAAAAATGAAGACCGTACAGAAAATCCTACAGTACTAGCAGCTTTATAATTAATTTAATTTAATTTTGTTTTTAATGTCAATCGCGCAGCGCAGTACAGTACAGTACAGTACAATACTGTACTGTACAGTACGCACTACAGTACAGTACTGTACAGTGCAGTACTGTACTGTACAGTTACTCGAGTGCCGCCCAATTCAAAAAAAAAATGGATCCGCATCCGTTAACTAGCGATCCAGACTACAACAAGACCAACGAAATCATACCCTCAGTAAACGAGCGTTTAGGCCAGCTAAGACCAAGCAAGGAACTGCTAGAATATTACAGAAGGAAGATTACTGAATATGATAGTGAACAAGAGGAACTGGCCAAGAAATTAAATTCCTTTAAAAATTTGTTTGAAGAACAAGTAAGTGTAACTTTACTATGTACTTATATACTTATGATATAATTACTGCATTAGCTGCGTACTGTATAATAGTGTATATGCAACATGTTCTTGAACATGCATATTGTACTATAGACCACCCTAAAATATTAAAACTACTTACAGTATTTCATTACTCCATCGCTGCCGACACTTAAACTATCATACAATAATATCCAATTGAAATAAAATCGATCTGACTTCATTTACTATTATTTTAATTGGATATCATAGTGTAATTGTTGAAGTATCAGCAGCAACGGGATAACGAAATATTGTAAGTAGTTTTGACACTTTAGGATGGACTAATGCACAACCAGCGACTTTGAAGTCCATAAATAATAAATGCAGATGCAGATACGAGTCATGCGACTGTTTCCGGTATAGTACAGTACTGTACGGTAGATACGAAATTTGTAAAGCACTAATTTGCAATTATTGAATCAGAGATACACTATTAATAGATACCAACGAATTAAGTGTGTACAGTGTGTTCCTTAACGAATAAGATAAGCACCTCAGAACGTCGCTTCGCGACAATGTACCGTATTACAGTATTATTATTCTTTGGTAAACAGCATAAACTTCAATCAGAACTACGCCAACGAGAAGAAGAAATCACTGAGTTGCAACAAGCACTAAGCGACATGCAAGTATATTTATTCCGAGAAAGAGAACATGTACTGCAAATATATTCTGAAAATAGCCGCCTTAAATTGCAAGAAATGGCTGATAGAAAAAAAATTCAGGAACTTCTTGCTCTAGTCAATTCTTCAGACAACTTGGAATCAACTTATTTTTATAAAACATTACCAGATAATATCGTAATTCGAAAAACTAATAGCCCAACAGAATTAAATCTCGATAAATCGGTATCAGGTAACCGCTATATAATTGTAGGGTTGTACATTGTGTGAATAAGGTTTCGCGCTGAGTCAGGATCCTCATCCACTGTTTATAGATCATCGAGATAGACAGTCCTTAAATATTAGACCGATATCAAATCGCAAGTACAGTGATAAAGGAAGGGATAGTATAGCTAAGGAGGAATCAACCAGTTGCGCGGATGTCGAAACACTATTTCTGCAGGTGAGAGTACGCTTTCTAAGTGAATCATCAGTATAAACATTATTGCAGAAATAACCATATAAGCGAATTTCTAGATAGAATCATTGCAAGCGGAATTAGAGGAATATAAAAAGCTGTCGAAAGATCGAATAACTGTATTACTGGAGGATAGAAACGTCCGAGTAGAAGAACAAAAGGCAACTCAAAAGCGTGCCTCGGACAATATTCAATTATTATCAGATAAATTGCAGAAAACGCAAAGCTTGTTATACGAAAGTACTAAGGTACACTCATTATAGTAATGTATATTAATCAGTCTGCCCTTGTTGTGATTCAGAAGGGTTATTACAACTAGTGAAATAGCATCGCAAATCTTATTACATAATTTTAAAATATCCTTATTGTTAAAGGATTTTTTAGAATTGAAATATACAACGAAACTGAAAGAAAGAGAATGGATGTTCAATAAAGACAATATGCTTCAAGAATTGGAGTTACTGCGTTTTGAAATACAAAATAAGACTACCTCACCGATGTCTACAGTCTTAACCGCAAATCCGAAAGTTACAGAATCAGACACCGCCAGGCAGCATTTATTAGCAACTCACTTCTTACGAGAACAATTAACACAGGTGCAGAAGTTAGCTGACATGTACCGCGAGCAATGTATCAACTTTGAAGATGAACTTTGTAAATTGCGAGAACAAGAAGATGCTTCACAGCAAGCATTCCACGAAAGAACAGAAAAATTACGTAAAAGACTAGCCCTAATGAACCAAAGATACTTAGCCCTGGAACAAAGACGAGTGCTAGAAGTTGAAGGTTTTAAAAATGACATCAAGGCATTAAGAAATCGCCTTCAGGATGTAGAGAAGCAAATACTCAAAGTTAATAGAAATCAATAAACTATCAATTAACATATTTTCAGATTCTATCATTAGGGAAACTTAGGAATATAATATATATCCTTTATTCATTCACATGTAGGTCACCGCTGGTACTGCAGACGATAGAGAATTTCGATTCTTGAAGGATATTCAACTTAATGCTGGAAAATCCAAAATGATTCTAGAGACACTAAAGGAATTAAAAGTCAAAATGTATTCATTGGAAAGTGAATTAAGAAAGACCTAAAATGTAAAATAATTAAATAATTAACTACGTTGCATCGAGCGGTTATGTTATTGCATATACTGTTTATGCTGGCCCACTGTTTACGCTTTATCTATAGGGATAGAAAGCTACCCTATTACTGACTCACTATTTGAATCTAAATAATGATATATCTAATTCTTTATAAACTATCGCCATGATTAAATATTTCGACACTGCATACACCGTCAATCGAGCACGCAGAAAATATCGCTTCCATTTTTGTCAATTGTCAATATAACTACACTTAGTTGAAATCATGTTTCTTTATTTATTAAGTTTCGTGACTACAAAGTCAGTGCTGCAGTGTGTAAAGTAACCAAACCTACAAGAGTATAGTTAAGATGACATCATCCCTTTCTTATTAAAATACAAAAAATTTGAAAATATAATATTGAATAAAATTCTTTGATAATATCCTAAGCGCATCTAGCAATAAGTGTATTAAATGTAAGATATCCTTTTATGAAACCACAAATCTAATCCATCATGGTTGACAATAAACAAAATACGTACATAATACAGTTTACTTTTTTGACAGCAACGGCTAAGTGTGCAAGGTTGGCTAGTACATACTGATTTACAGTAATAATGAAGACACATAATGATTAATTATATATGATAATTATATAATTACAGTACCGCTGGAAACTTGGCTTCCAAAATATTAAATGTTCTTCTAGCTAGAGACTACCAAATTTTTAAAATGATTTAAAAATTTAGTAGTAATAACTCCATAAGGTTTTTGGTTCAAAAATACCTTACATTTTAAAATAATAATATCATGAACAATCACTATATAGGCCATGATATAGTACAGTACAGTATACTATATACTAGTACATAAATTAATCGAGAAGAAAGTAATGACTCACCCATCATCAAACAAGCATATATAAATTATATTATTAGTTAGTTCGATAAGGTTTTTAATCCACTACTGAGTACAGTATGTAATCAATATTATGCGTTCCACCAGAAGAGATTTACTGAGAGTACAGTACTATCAGGGACCACGGTACAAAAGAAAGAAAAAGAGGGACGTGAAGCAATCGTTGACAATACTAATAATATGGAAGTCGATTACTTTCTTGGTCATTTCAAGTGTATCGCATGTCTGTAAAGGCACACTGCTCTGTCTGCGGCTGACATCTAAATTAGCTTCTAATATCCTGCTAGGTTGGTTCTGTGCAGTATGATATACGGTTTCATTGGTACCATATAGTAGAATGACCGAGAAAATAATAGACCTCTACATTATTTTACGCCCTGACTGTACCATAGTGTACTGTAGCGTAGACTACTAAATCTTACTGGTAATAGTGTATTTAGTAGTCCATGACTGCACAGTAGAGTACAGTACAGTATACAGTACACTAGAGTTTTGAGAAATAGAGTTCTATACCAGTAGTACAGTACAGTGTACAATACAGTGCAGTATATTGGCGTTGCCATGACACCGATGCCGCATCACCAAGAATTCGACGTGTTACCTTCCCAGACATCGTAGTCTATTCAGATACTGTAACATTTACGATTATTAGGAATGGCCTGGTATAACCTTCTCAGTCTAGTAATTTAAAACGTGAAACTCTCTTACATTAACTCTATTGAATCTCTTACCGTTCAGCAAATAATCTGTAAACTTGCTCACGTTTATTTCTTAATGCTATAGTTACCTAGTTGTACTGACCGCTAATTATAATCAGTCAATTCAATTTAGGTCTTAGCATTTAATGAAAGCTGATATAACGCCATAAACTTTATTCAAAAAATTAAAAAATACCAGCATTATCAACATTACTATTGCTAGTGGACCTGTCTTGGCTAAAGATTTTCTAACTAATATTAAAACGTAATGAATTCTACTCTACCTTCCATTCTTAACGATTACCTATCACCAAAAGAAAAGCTTGATCAAGACTATTCAAGGTATAACTTTTTCTCCATAAATTGCATAATATTTTAAGATTAAATGTCTAATCTGATTTTAATCATTACTATAATTACCGATTATTACGATAGAAAATACTTAGTGCAAACCTTAAGTTTTTATTATCCTACTTATGGGCCATGTAGTTAAAAAGCTACATGGGTGACTCTTAATCCTATGTAATAATTTACTTTGTTTTCATTACTTATTGTTCGTTGGATCAATACGTACGTAGTACCGTAAATAACTTGTTTATGAAAATTTTATAGCGCTAAGCCTTACTATCTAACCCATTTTTGCTACAAGTGATCAGAAATTTCATCAGTCAACCACAGAAAATCATGAGCACCATCAGGCAGCAAGCGACAGTGATCGCTATCATAGTAAACTACAACCTAAAGTAAGAAAAAAGACAGATGAAGGAACCCGAAAACGCAATAAAACGATAGTAAGTTATCAGTACTTAAGCTATCATAAACGATAGATATTACGAAATTAAATAAGAAGTAACAGTAAAATTTAAGAAATTCTCGAATTGTGAAATCCAGTCATAACATTTCTAAAAATATGATATGGCGTACTAGTATAAGTAACGAAGCATTTTTTAAACTCACACTTAGAAATATGAAAGAATGTATGAACTTTGGGAAACAGTTAAAAAAAGATATAGAGACCAGCAAATTAAGATGTATCAAAATAAGATTCTTTTACAACAGCAACTTATTAAGCGCCAGGCGGAAATCTTGCAAGAGAGGCGAAGTAGAAATGAGGCTGAAAGGCGTCAGGTTCGAATAATCTGATTTAGATAGCAATTATGTAAGCGTTTACTAGTGATTATAATCTACAGTATAATTTATACCTTTCGCGTGTTGTTGGATAATTTTACATAATTTCATCGCTTCTATATGTTTTCTGATTTCTAAAATGAAACTTCAAAGTATTAACCTTAACATTATTATTTATAAAATATTTTATAGTTTGATATAAACCCAAATTAGTTATATTTCGTATTGTTGACACGTATCATTGTGGTTATGGCCAATCTTATTATTGATTTGATCGAAATAATGTTTTATGCTAACCTATCCTAGAATACTATTGAAACTGCTCAATTGGAAAAGAACAACATTGACAAGCTAAGAAATATCTGTAGCGAATCGTTAGGTAGTTATAGCTATATAAAACTATTGTTGTGTTATATATCTTTTTATATTCTTATTTCCGAGTATTTCATACTTCTACTCCCGTAATAAGAAAACCCCTATTAATATCAATTACTATAAATATTTATATTGTTCATTGTAAAAGTAGCTAAATCGACTTTATTGCTTACAATTCATTATGGCAGTTCGAGATAAGTTATTGAAAAGGTCGGGAATTTCGCGAAATTTATCAATAAATAAGCCAAGCAGGACATTAAAATCCAATAATAACAACGATGAAACAGCCCAAGTTAGTATTATGGTTGAGAAAGAGAAGCATGATATCTCAAAAGACTGCCTTATTGATATTGCAGAAAATCACAACAATAGTGCCACGATTGTAAGTACCTCTTCCAAATAATATCCTTGTACCATATGCTGCCTACTTGAAAGATCAAATGATTAATATTAGATATGATTACCAACTGATACATTCATACGATTTTTTAAAATCATAAAACTCGAATTATTTGATACCTCATATTTAGAGTTCAATAATTGATCAAGATAGTCCAGAATATCAACTACAATTGGTTGAATTGTTCGGCGAATCGGATGCAAAGTCAATCCTCTTTCCTAGTTTCAAACCAATTGTCAAAAAAGGAGACAACTTATTACTACAAAAATTTAAAGGTACGCGAATGAAAGTACTATCCAGTTATTGATTATTTAGTATTGATTTTTGCTGTTAAATAAAGAATGTAACATTAAGTCGTATCGAATGGATTAATACAAATCGAAACATCAGAATCAGTAGTAACAGAATCATTTATCCTCAATTAATTCATGAATTTCATATTCATAAAAATTCATGTAATGAAAGCAGCTTGCAAAGTATTGTATTGCTAGGTATAGGTAGTTTCTTTCTTTTAGAGATATTATATAACCTTAATTGGTTAACCTGCCAACTCTACAATGCCTAAATTGCAAATTGTATTATTGTCACGTAGAAGCATCAGCTAGTATATCGGACATTTGGTACACTCTTCGAGGAGAATCGATTAGCGATAAGACAGTTAAGAAATTTCAATCGCTGCCAACATCTAAGGTAACACAGTTTCCGATTTCTAAAAATTCTATCTTGCATATTGGAATGCGCAAGCACACAGTAATTTCATCTTGGGCTCAAATATTTAGTACTGCTATTGAAAAGTCTTATCTTATGATAACTCTCACATACAGCTATATTGAACCAAAAATTATTCCTATAAAATTTATTTTAGATGAGTTTTATGCACTTTAAAAGTAAATTATGCTATTTAATAACTTGGTTAACAATCCAAGAATTAATGCTGATTGAAAAAGCTTGCATTACCTACTCATCCAATCCATCTATTTACATTTATATGATAGGAAATGCCTGCTGCAAACTTTGCCACCTATAAGAAAGTAGATCTTTCTGAAAGTAGTCGAAACATTAAGAATAAGGTTAATCTAATGTATCGCGTTGCCAAACAAAATGAAGACCTAACATCGATCATGATGCACAACAATCAAACGGCTGAATTTTTAGAAGATGGAATTACTGCTGACGACTGGTTTACCCGATATCAAGATAATGGTTATCACTATAATAGTAGTAATCAGCCTGATCCCAAAATACGAACATCTGATACTTACAATAATGATATAAATCTTACACGTACTGGGATATCATCTACGAAATTAAAATCTAACATTACAAAGCAACAAAATAGTGATAAAATTTCTATTATCGACAATAAAAAATTAGTCTTCGTTTCCCCCAAATTAAGTGACTTCTTAGATAAAAGCTTCAAGGCTAGTAGGGCTGTAGTAAATGATGTAAATAGAAAAGTAACGAAAATGGAATATGAAACCAATTCACGCCCGTTAATCCCGATAAAGGCTAAATCTGGTAATGCATCTAAATGGAAGTCAAGCAGTTGGGAGCCGCTAAGCCCGAACGCTTTAGCTGAGTACAGTGTCAGTCGAGATGCTCCTGGTAAAGGTCATTTTTCTCACGGTCGTCATTCCATGTGGAGTTTATCATAGTGGTGTAAACGTTTCTTGTACCTCATATCTATGAGCTGTAAACTTAAATAATTTCCCTTAACCAATTAAAAAGTTCCTATACCAGACATTAAGATTCTTCAGATATTTTATTAGCTTAGCCATAAAAGATTATTGCGATGACGTTATTTTTTTATTTTCTATATCTTTTCTTTGGATCGAAGTATCTTAGTTAAAATAGAAAAGTAACCCGAATGTTAGAGCTTAATTCGCTTTTAATATCAATTTATCTACATTATCAAACTAAAAGCATTTCCAAAGTTTTCTTAAAATCAATTTAAGGCAGAGTGTTTGCATTAGTCGTAACATAAACTGCAAAAATATCTGCTACTGTATTATCAAAGACTGTAACTGTATAACTATCATGATTTAGTTTTTTTAGTATTAAGAATAAGTGCGTACGACATACGTGTAGTATTTGAAGTCGTTTGATAAATATATTCCTTCACTGGTAATATGCAATATTATATGTACATACTCTTTGAGATAAAGCATAAACAAGATCTGTATATAGTTTGATCGCTATAAAGGTGATTGATTAAAATAAATAAATAAATTAATGAATATTGTTAATAAGGATAAATGAATTTGAGGTTTATTTTTGATAATACTGATGATATTGGGTTCAATATAAGAATCTATAGGTCGATTATCTTTAGATCAGCATATCAACAATCTATGTTGCTTAATATTAATTTATAGGTAGTACCAAAGTAATTTTCAGATTTTTAGAAGAGAGTAATATATATCTCACCTAAATCTTATTTTATTTTATGAATATTTGCAATAATTTACATTCAGCACTTAAGTAGTACTGTAGTGTACAAAAATATCGCCTGCTATCTGCGGCATATTTGAAAGATACAATTTCAACTTTCGTCAACATAGTCAAAAATAATAGAACAAACGATCAAATTTTTGTCAAAAGCTACTTTAATTAAAGTACAGAATATGATTAAGTGATGAATCATTGCAAGTAAAGCAATATTGATGCTGTAAGTACTTAACTAGGCTACTATAATAACACTCAATAATTTTGCTGTAACTTTTTGGCCATGTATACTAGTTATAAAAGTAAAGCAGTAGAATAAAGAATACTGTACCGGTTAAATAATGTTGTGCCTTACGAGGATTAAAGGATCTAACATTACATATTTAAAATCTTCTATTGGAACTCTACTAAAAATTTTGTGTCAATCGGTTAAGAAAGCTCTTACGCAACCAACATGTCTCAAGGTTTCTTTGCATAATATCTATTATTCGATTTAGGAACTCTAAAATTAGTCCGCTTTGAAGGATTTCGCGATACTCTGCTTATTTAATTTATTCACAATTTTAAAAATTTTAATAAATTATTAAATTGAAATTATGTATCATTTAACACTTAAAGTCAATATATGCAACACCTCTTAGTTAATTTATTGATATTTAAGGAGAAATTTCCAGAAGTCAATGATCAGTTATATATTTCTATGAAAGAAGAAATGCTTTTATGGACTTTTAATTTTGAAAATTTAATATAATAGGTGTGCTATCATAAAACGTAAGATTTTCTTAGTTCTAATCCACCATACTGTATATAACTGAAATTTTTCCCCGTAACATGTTCATGTTGCTGCAGATCATGTCTCCGATGATTTGATTTTATCCCTGAACCAATGCTGGAGTTATTGTTAATGACGGCAAACAAACCATTATTCGAAGACTTTGACAAATTATTTATATCAAGGTAAAGACGCACTTTGCTAACAATTTGTCCCGGCCAAAATGAATCATGCCGTGGCCGATCGACAAGAAATTTGTTTATGGGAATGTCACTATTCGAAAATATTAAATAGATTGTGTCACGTAGTTAGTATTAGTGAAAACTTAAGTACAAAGTAATTTTACTAATCGCATCTAAGATAACCAAAGTTGTACGGTATCATACTTCACTGATTACGGTATTAGTTAATTAAATAAGTTCAATAATTTTATAAAGTAGCGTATAACTTGTAACAGAGGTAAGCTCCTTACCGTATAATTTTTTCAAACTCTTCAAATGTCATCCAGCAATCGGTCTTACACTGAATTTCAGCTAAACCAGTAGACAGCTTCATAGAATCTTTTGACGGGGTTACGTAACGTTTTGGTGGATAAATACGTTCAATGCCAGACAACTTCGGCTTAGTGACTTTCTTAGCCTTCTTCTTTATTCCCATTAATTGATTATACGATATTAAATCTGTACCACCTTGCCTTATATCCCCTTTACACGTGGCTACAGGTTTATCAAACGGTTCTAGCAATACTGAGAACAGAAGCCTACTATTATTTTTTTATTCGTATAAATAGAGTTAAGCCCACAGCATTACTTTAACATCAATGTTGTATTAAATAATATTCTTAACCTCTTTTTAAGAGTTCCTTTGAAAACAAGACGTTTCCTTGTCGGCATAATTCTATTGCTTTGTTATACTCTTCCAATAATTGTTTCTTTTTTAAGTAAACTGCTTCTTTAACTTCTCCAGTGATTGTTGTACGTGTAGCTTTTTGATATAATTCCTTATAGTTTTCTTCTTCTATAACTCTGAGCTTTGCTTCCTTTCTTGATCGCTTATCTTTCAATTGTTTTTCTTCTGCAACAGTACAAAGTAAACATGTTTCTTTATCAGTTTTTTCCGATTTTGTTTTGCTGCAAGAGTATTCTTATTGACAAAAATTTAAGTTGCGACTAAATTAGTGGGCAAGAACTCTGAATAGTTTTAAACTTGCCTTAGATATTTAAGTACATTTTAACTTACCTGGAGTGTTATCTAAAATTATAGATATATGACGATCAGACGGCGAAGGTAATGTAAGCTTTTGGGAGCCATCTTGATTGCTACTGGTTTCAAAAATTTCATTTGCAGTTTTATCACCTTCTTCTGATAATAGTGATAACAGAGATGTAGTAGTTGACCTACTCCGTTCTCTAGCTTCGTTTTGAAATTGTTTCAATCCATTTATGAATTCTCTATAATCTATCTCTCCATCCCCATTTACATCCAAAGCTTTCAAAAGAAAATCAACTTCTTCATTTAATATTGGAAATTTATATTTTCTTACGACATTTCTCATTTCATCAGCACTGATTTGCCAGTTCTTATCTTTGTCTACAGAAGCGAACAACTCTAAAGGTCGGAGTTTCGTGCGACGAAGATACGAGGCAATACGTTGTAATATCGGAAACAGAGCATCTGCCTCAGAGTCATCTGGTAGACTTGGTGGATTGGATGTCTAGGAGAACGAATACGTACCTTCTGATTAAATCTAGTATAACAAACTTTTAATACAGATAATCTCCTAAGCTAAAAATTGTGATAACATGGATAGAATACCTTTTCACTAGAAATCAGAAATGATTCCGTATTTGCAATTTTTTGTTTCCTTGTCTTTCTTAGTACTCTTGTCTCAAGTTCGGTTTTGTGTTTACTAGAAAGCCAGCTTTCATTGAGACCCATGTTATTTAAATTAGTTCTCATAGTCATTCTGTTTTGTAACCATGATGTGTAACTTGTGGTCGGTGAAGTTAATTTTGTGATTGGATTTGTAAGATAAGTTTCATTGTTAGCGCTTTTAAGTCCTCTTGATTGATCGTATGTAACATGTGGAGGAATATTGCCTACAGACTGCTGACTCTTTTTAATATCATATGGAGCATTCAGTATTCTAGTTCGTGATTGAGATCCCCAAATAGCGTTACCAATTCGAAATAGCTTCGAATCTATCATATTTCGTTGCTTATAGTAACGAGTTTGTTCGGAAATTGGTAATTTGTCTATTGGAGTGCGGTACAGCCGTTTTAATCCCAAATCTTCGTTACTTGGGGGCCTAAAACTTGTGTACGACATGTCGCTATATGTTTTAATACGGATATACAGTATATTTTATAGTGAGTATCCTGAGGTAGATTGTGTCTAGATGTAAAAGAATATGGATTACTATTATATTATAATCGTTATGATGTTCTGTAATACGAGTAATAAATATTACCATGCAGTGTAAGTTGGGTCGAGTATGCTAGGTTCTATGATTCCTGTAAGCCACGATATAGGTGCATAATACCATATTCTAGGGTTTCCATCTTGGGACGCTTTTCACAATTTGTGTATAATTGATTAGAATCCAAATTTTCAAGAACGTTGCCTTAAATTATCACCACAAAAGAATTTATAATTATAAACTATTACCGATCGATTTTGGACTACCGTAAATAATATAAATCTAAGTTCCACCTTAATGTTGTGAAATAAAAGTTACTCTATATTTAATGAACTATCCGACCGTAGTACAAAAAAGTTAGAAGATATACGAAGCGTATGGCAGGTAATACGGCCTATAGTTTAACAAATGTTCTGTTACCATGGCAACTGTTTTAAAATTAGTTCTATAGGTTACACAGCAGGTTTAGGCTTTATTTATTGATATGCATTTGATGGCTATAATACTGTATTATTTACGATTAACTCGTAATTTTCATTGTAGTATCGGGAAATAACAAGCCCTAATTACGGTGCTTCATTTAGGATCTATTAACACAGCGAATTTGTAAATAATACCCGTATATCAAGCGTTGATTAGTGTGGAGTAAAGAGATTTAATATCACTAGTGTTTCACCCTTAAAAGTGGATTGCATTTCATTTCAACACGGAATAATATATATATTATGAACGTACCAGAACATACTCTTCATACCAAATGTTGCAGTGTAAGCTGTTGTAATACTTTAAGACTAAAGGAGTAAGCTTAGATGCACGATAACTAAAGTACACTGAGGAATGAGAAACAATTTATCGAGAGAGCAACCGAGATCCTGAATATTATACGCAAAGCAAAAATTCAATTTAAATGTTAGATATTGGTATCAGGTACTGTATTTGTACGTTAGTTTAAGTTATAACTTTTCATTTTTAAATATTTGAACAGAAAATAACAACCCTATTTACGTAAGACAACATCTTGTAGTTCAGTGATATAATAGAAAGAGTAGAATGTAGAAAGTACAAAGTACATTTAAAGTCTAAGAGCGATAACCGAAATGAGAGGGAACAGAGTCTACATTATATACATTAGTTATATGTAGCAGAATATATAACCTTAACTGAACATAGCAAAGGAATTAAATTTGTTCATGACATGTTCAGTATGAAATATCAATGACGTACATCTAAAACAGGCTTCATTTAATACGTATATTGAATATTCAAGCTGAAATACCACGCCAACGTGATATCATTCCGAGTATATGCGCACTGTATCTAGAAATATGATATTGACGCATACCTTCAAATTAAGATCCATTTTAGCCCTCATAAAATACTTGACAGGTATTCCTGATCTTTATTAACAATTTAATATTTTACATTACATCAACTATTAAATGTGGAGACAGCTTGATAACATTAATTATGAATCGCCACAATCTTAAGTGTTTATAATAATATGAAACATATTATTATTGCAATAATATTAACGTAAAAGAGAAAACTTCGATTAAAATTATAATAATTTTGTATATTTAGGGAATATTTCATAATATAAAAATCGTTTCACTAACAGTTAATGGTAAATGATTATTTCTTCACTGCATAATTTCAAAGAATTTGATGATAACAAAGATACCGAGTTAGGTTAATAGTTATAATAATTCAACTTTAGAAAATGATACTTTTATAGTCTAAATTCAGATATTTGTACTACTATTAAATTTACGATTCTGATCGTTGTGAAAGAAAATGATAACCCTGCTTAAATATTATCTTGATTCTGTACACCAACTGATGGAATGCTTCAAAGGAAAAATACAGTTCACCATTAAATATCCGTATTTGATAATTACTTCTTCGTTATATTTTCATAACCTTCTATTAAACTGAGGTTCCTCTTCCTCCTACAATAGATACTACACTGGAGCTTAATTGATCAAATATGTAACCAGAAACTGATGATTGTCTTCTATACGTAATAGTAGATTTATAAGCGTCTATAAATAATTTCCTGACTTTATCTAGTCGCTCTCTCCTTATAGACCTATCCATGAAAACAAATTAATTTGTTAATTCTTAAGCGAGCGTTTGTGTACACATTCGAATGATTGTAATTATTAGCCAATTGCCACATTAGAGAGATTCTAACTACTATACTTACAGATTCGCTACGAATCCTCCAAATTCATTTAAAGGCTGTGGGCTCACGGCTGCTGCCGAGGTACTTAAATTACTGGTCTCCGGTATAAATTGCCAACTGTAATTAATAGATAATATGAGCCTCGTAAGCAGGAATTATTGCAGTAGTTATGAGTTACATCACTTATATTGAGTATAAAATTCTACAGTCTGTTGCAGTTATAACAGTACTATACCTATCACAGGAGGATGACAGCTGATTTGTGAAAGAAAGTAAAAGTAAATTTTAAGAGACTGAATAACGATATTACTTTCGATAGACAATTAATCTTAGATGCTACGTTAAGTAAAACCTCTTTATAACAATTATAGGGGTTACTTCCGCTAGCAATATAAACAGGATCGCTGGATTCATGTCCTTTCAAATCTCTAAAATTTTATTTTCCAACGGGGAACGTAAATTAAACGGAATTGATCTGCAATAATTCTAGGGCTTCTTTTTGTATTGAAAAGCCGATAATGTTAAATACGTATTTGATATCATTGTATAGGAATAACTACCTGGATAATAAATTTTGTGAGTAGCCGCAGTGCTTGACACCACCTCGATCGTTCGCAAACCTAGCGTCAGAACCTACACCGATGTAACAGGAGTTCATATGATATTCATGATTTTTTGGAAAGAGTTTACGGTTATTGTAAGTTATAGATCACATAAGTAAGGAACAAAGACGATGACCTCTTCAACACAATTATAATAATATGTAACTTAATGCTCACATCTGATATCGGTATTTGAGCGAATAGGAGAACCTGGCGGTAATCTATTACAAGGGTTTGTATTTTAATTAGTCAATCAATTCTCTATGTATGCCATTAACATTTAGATATGTTATGAAATACTTTGCAGCACAAGGCTTCGAGAACTCTTCAGTGGTAATATATTGCAAAAAGTCGAAGCAGAAATAAAAGATCTATGTACAAAAAAGTTTAGTTCAAGAAACGATTAATGCACACTTGCAGCTTATTCTATTAGACGAAAAAAACTCACATCTTCGCCTTTATCAAGCCTTTCAGGTAATTGATGCCTATAGAAAGTTAATTTAATCAGAAAAATAAATATTTAGTCTGTGGCTTGAATTAAGGTTAAATTCTAAGAAATGTACAAGGTAAAGTTGAAATCGAAAAAGACGCAAGGGTATTAATAAAACTAATATTTAATTACCCAAATAAGAGCCAATCGTATGCAACCGTGATATATAGAATCTCAAGACAGCTTAGGCTTTGGTGTATCTTACCATCCTAAAAGGTGTAAAACATTATTGTGTATTAGAGAGAAAATATTCTATAATCAACGATATACTTACGGCCCAAAGTGATAGCCTCACAAGAGAAATAAACAATGGTGTTCGATCCCATCCAGATATGCAGTGAATTAGAACTCCAGAATCATCTAAAAAATGAAACTGTCTTAATAGATACTACAAATATAATGAATTCGCTGATTAGAAGCTAACAATTGCAAGTTGTAACGATATGTACTTCCATATTGCCTACTTACCTTGCTCGATACAGGCAAGTATCAATTTCAGGTAGTTCTTTGTTAGAGTTAGTAGATCCCAGGACTGTATTTCGTAGATAGTCATTAGTTAACAGTATTTAAACACAAATATATTATTACTTTGCAGTTTTTTACCTTATACGTGCTCCAATCAATATCAAATGCTGAAAGAAATTCTTTTGGTATGTCCATTATTGCATCAGCGTTAGACTAAATTAAACAGTGGAAATTGTCTATTTTAGTTTCAGAAATATTTGATGGGGGATAACGGATTCCAAATACTTGATTCCAATCAAAGAATAAGTTCTTAGAGTTGTAGCTTCGCTCTTTGTACTCGCGAAAGAATTCGCATCCAGGGTACGGTAATGGAATAATCGAAAACTTATCGTAGCGATGTTCTTTATCCACTTTTTCCGAAGAAGTAACTCTGTTAATTATTTGAGAGTTATATGGCTTATATTAGTATTGCTACCATTAGTTGATATTTAAAAAATCTGAAATTACAACGCACTGAATCCCAAATTTGACTTTCTTATTTTCGATCATTAAATCAAATATTCTGTTGACGGACAGCTTCTCTAACAATTTTATATCAAAACCACGAATACGATCACAGAAATCACCATTCCTGTCGTAATGGCAATAAAGAAGAATTCCAATAAATATAGCAAAATGTGGTAAGAAAGGTATGATCAGGAACACAAATTTGTGTTGCTCAAGATCAAAAGATTACATATAGGTATTCAGCACGTAATAATAACACGTAATAATGTGCTACTATACATAGCCAAATACTGATATCCTAAATAGTAAGTCTTAGATCAACTAAAGAATTTCCAGTTGGTAAGATAGGTATAACATTGATCGCTAGTAAGGAAGTAAAGAGCCTACTAAACAAGGAAATCACTAATAAGAGAAGTACCAGAGAGTAATGAATGTAGAACTAAACTGTTTAATTTGAAACACTTTGGGACATTTCTGGGGGAAGAAGAAACACAGAATAAGTAAAATTATCAAAATTTGTTGTCTACAAAAAAAATTCTACTTGGTAACTCGCAAAGAAGTGCAGTAGTAGACCCAATTGATTATTTACGCGGAGAGTAAAAAATATGAACGATAAGATTTAGTATAATAGTGATAGAAAATTTGTCAGTATTGTTTAGCGTGTTGTTGGGTTACTTTTAAACTATAAAATGCTCACATTTGGAAAAAAGTCTACTGTACGATATCAATAGAATAAAACTGACATCTTTAATGTACGTAGAACATTACAACGTCGATACTGGTGAATAGTAGAGATCTTACAGAAGTGTAGAAAGCCTCCCTAAAGAAGGCGTTCAATTATGCATCTATGCAGTATCATTTTGAGCTTGTCATTAAATTAGGTAGTGAAAAATATTGCACATAACTGATATACAGACATACAGATTATTGTACGTAGGATATCGATACTACTGAGAAAACGACATTTTACAAATTAAAATAAAACGTGTAATTAGTTGTAAAGGCTCATCGGAATAGCCTCAGATAATGTAAGAGGATAACTGTATGTATTTAGAGGTTCACTATATGTAGGTAGTAATTATAACGAAGAAAACTTAGTATCTATAACAATCCGTCTACTACGTATCTATTGAAAGTTAAGAAAAAGTCTATCAGTTTGAAACTTCTCAATAGAATTTACACAGTATTATAACGTAATTAGTATCGTTTGGTTTCTAGTAACACAACTTCCTACAGACATATATCGATCATTTTCAGAATCAGTTAATATTTACATTACTGCAAATGATCGAATGGTAGGTAATACGTGAGGTAGACCAAAAGATTTATCTTATGACTTAATTAAGAGTAAGAAGATGAAACACATACCGAACTGATGATGTCATCGATCGAAGTGGGCTTGGACCTTGGTATTCTCCACCTGTGTTACAAATTTAGTATGTTACATTAATTAAGGGTTTGCATTAATGTGCCTTGGATGAATTCGTATGCAATGAGTGGTTTTATTAAAGTTCAGGGGTGCTTAGAAGGTCATGGCTAAGTGCATTACGTGCTGTAAGTCTAGCTATACATGTACTGTACCACATTGTGGATGTAATATTAAAGCAAGAGTCTTAGCATATATGAACAGTATTGCATTGGTGTCGCAAGATTTTATTGGCTTTATATCAAGAAAATTGAGGACTAATATTATTGTACATGATACAAGTGCAAAGCGAGTAGGTTTGGATTGCATAAATTGTGCAGAATCCGCAGAATTTTTTCGTAAAGTATCATAGTTTAACATCGTAGAAGCACCTAAAATTCACAGTACAGGAGAATATCATTATTCGCGAATACGATAGCTTGTGTGTATACTATAAACCAGGTTTAAATTCTAAGGATTCATCAAATATTTCGACTGACGCCGAGAAATTTTTTGATTTGACACGACAGTAAATAGTGCTTAATTATTATTACTCAATACCAGCATAACTGTAAATGTTAAGGCATAGAGACAAGTACCTGATCAGGCTGGTTGTAATTCGTGTATATATATATATATAATACAGTACTGCATACAGAGTAATGTATATGCTCGTATACTCGCACATGTTCGTAAACTAGTAAAAATTTTTCTTACCAAGATAAACATCCCAACTGGTTCTTCCGTACATTTCAGCAGCACTGGCTAGTGTAGAACTGCGGCAGATTTGCTGAAAGTATACCACACAACACCGTACATGTACAATAGCAGATTAGATAATAAAGAAATAAAATTTGCAATTTAATAGCAGTAAAATCGAAATTGCCTAAAGGAGATTCCGTGATTGGGTAACAAAATATTGCTATAATTTACCTTCTTGTCATACAGTATGACTGGTACAACGAAGCGTGATCTACATCTTGCGAATTTGGCATTAGCCATTAAATCTCTAATCTCCTCGGTATTATCTCTACATATTCATATAGGATCATCCAGCTTTTAATAGAATAGATCAGCTATTTAACCACTATACTTATCACATAGCGCACGTTCACTAACGTTTTTTGGGATCTGCATTTTGACTGCAGCAATAGGATTCTGGATGGATAGTGACCGCATAACTCTCCACCAAAATTATTGATAATCTGATTTATTTGAATTAAAATAGTGCACTTAATTACCTATAACGCACAGTTCATAAATGATCTTATAAATCATCCAAAATAAAAATCAAATATTCCTACCGTCACTCTGTAATCTAATTTACATAGATGCTTGCACCTCTCTAATGCAACTCCGGCCTATAAGGGACATTCGAGGAATAATTTATTGTTCGTATTTACGTGCGCGCAGATTAAAAATTGACGTATTAATTTCATCATATAGCATTGAATCAAGTTAATTTACACGTATTTAAGTAAACAAGTAAGAATCGAAATACAAAATTTTATTATTCGCTGTACGAATACTGTACTTGTATAATGTGTTCTTTACCGTGATGATATTTTCTTGCAGTTTGCCTTTGCAAAAATACTCTAGCACTGTACTACCGTATGTATATTTAAAATCCGTGTTGATATCTGTTATACGGTGTACTGTATATTACACAGTGTATAGCTGGTATGCTGTACTGGAGTACTGTTGTAGTGTTGTTACATATTATTACGTAATCGTAGAGTAGATGAGGGTTATTTTGATCGTTCGTTATATGCTTAGTACAGATTCGAAAATTTTTAAGTTTGAGAAAATAGATAGTGCAGCAATTTCAGATCTATAATAAGTTACATCGTTACTCTTATGATTTTACCGTTACATCGTTATCCTTGGTCTTGTACGAATGATTAACGAAGGAGGCAAGCAAATCTAATAGCTCCGATTGAGTAATATTACTTTCGGCCATTCCGGATGATGTCTTCACTGGAATACCTTTGGTCAATAAGACCTTGGCCTGTACTCTGTATAGCACCGTACAGTACAGTACCGTAAATACAGTACAGTACAGTATACTGTACAGTATTAGGTAGAGTGACTGTGGCTGATGATCGTCGCAGGACTGCGTACTGTACCTTAGATCACGTCTACTGTACTGTACAGTACAGTACTTCTTTTTTCATAGTTTTCATACAGTACTGTACTGTACTGTACACTGTACACTGTACAGTACAGTACAGTAAGTTGTTGTCCATAGTACAGTACAGTACTGCAAACACTGCTGTGTACAGTACAGTACAGTACAGTGCAGTAGAGACCCTTAGCGTACAGTACAGTACTGTACAGTACTGTATAGCTAGTGTTGATAGTACAGTATTGTACACTGTACAGTACTGTAGACCACTAGATATAGTACTGTACTGTACTGTACTGTACTGTACATACTGTACTGTACAGTACTGTACTTTACGTAAGGTTGTACATACTGTACTGTACAGTACTGTACATCTACACCAAAGTTTTGTTTAAAGGCGTATTGCATATTCATCAGGTAATCTGCGTTTTACAACTTGTACCAGAAGTTTAAATTAAATTAGATTTTATTTATTTATTTACCAATACTTTAATAGATTGCAACAATCGAAAGAGCGACTTCATGATAAATAAGAGGATTCTAACTATCCGCTAATCGCAAAGAGTGATCATGGATGCCTCGACCTTGCGTAATATATCATGGACGGAATATGCCAGCAGAGGTAAAGGTAATATCAAATTATGTTTTCAGTTAACAATAATACATATACGCGTATATCATGATAGGAATATTAAAATATATAAAATTTTAGTACAAAGCTTTTCTGCATTCTTTAGTACTCTACTAAATTAGTACTGCAAATGCCATGATTTCTTGCATAAACAACTGTAAAGGACAGTACTGTACTATGCTATAATTCAGAAAGAATATTTTATTTGCTACACATAGCAAATGGTTGCTTGGACGCAGTTTTGAAGCCGTCAACTTTATGAACGCTCTGTATTGCATCAATAAAAATTTGTTGTCTCTTTTATTAAATAGATCGATTTCCTATGATTAGCAAGGAAAATAGCGAAGCTATTTCGTCCCGTCTATGTCGGGAAGGTATTGTACTTGCACAGCTAATGGATTTCCGATAGCTGTTATGTCAGTAATTTTGGATAAAATCAATGCTGTTATAACGATTTTCTAAAATTTTCACGTATTCATTGCTACCTGGATCTGTTTGTTATGCTCTTATGCATATGCCTAGTATTTTAGATTGGCCATGTACTTGCATATTGTATGGGCAAAGTGAATGCTTTATGGTTAATATTCTATACTAAGATCATAGAACTTAGATACGTCATCTTTGATTTACTTTTTTTACTATCTATCGGAACAATTGTGATAGTGGAGTTTTATTGAAATTCGTATACAGTACAGTACTCTAAGTTATGTGGAGATGTTACTATATATAATAAGATTGGAAATATCTAAAGAGATGTAATGGATTACCAACTTGTATAGAGTACCTCACAGATCTATAAGTTAGCCTTCGTAAATTTTTCACGATGCTCTTAACCTGTAATCTGCTATGACATATTGAGAAACTTAAGAGATATTGTGAGCACTATAGTAAATAAGTATTAGTATTTATGTCGATACCAGGCAATATAATGTTGATTACAGTTTTGCATTAATGTAAGACTTAGAATATTCGAAGCGAATTTTATATTGAATTCCACACTATTTAAATTATATGCTTACATTTCATTTGTAATAACATCTAATGGCATAACGTTTTATGGGTGTCTCAGATATGAAAATCTATGGTCTATATCCAATTCAAGAGGAACTGATCTTGGTCGCTTGTAACTTTTGTAAAAAGCTTGTTAAAATTGAGGCTCTTTCAAATCATTATGGTATTACATTTACTCGATACCTATTATAGCGTCATTCCATTGTATGACTGCCTAGTACAGCAGTATGCAGTGCCTGCAGGATGTTTCTTAATCCTAAATTATAAATTACAGTTTATTTTTTGTTCTATCTTCTAAGAATCCTGTGAAATCTATCCACTATAACAGTGAAATTTTTGCACTAATACATAATTAATTTACTTTAGAGATAGCTACTAACTACATTATCATATCTGTTGGACCATGTATTTGAAACGCTTTATACATAACCTCTCAGTATAAATTTAATCTGACGAATTTTACACTCTTCGTAACAGAGAACAGTCACAATTATACGGTTCGCGAAACACTTCGGACCCCAAGTAGTTGTGATTATAACTCAAATGAAATCTCTCTGGAACGGCGAACTAACCGGAAAATTCCTGAGACTGCAGGTCTAGCAAATAAAACTGATGGTAAGCCGAATTTATCTAGAAGCGTATGCAAAGTATGCCTTCTTTTTGTGTTGTTAGCGTATAAAGATTCCTAGTTGACTCTCCTTCATGATTGTAATTTAGAACCAAATGTTGATCGGCAATGTGGAGTCTGGATGAAAGATCGAAAGGCAAAATGTCGAAATTCTCTAAACTGCAAAGTACGAATATTCGTTAATAATAAGGAAAAGGAATTTTTGGAAAAATGTATTACAACATTTTAGACTAAGCAATGACCTTTTTATATATCTGAAAATTCTCTTGATAGTTGCATCCTATATCTCTAAGGAGAAATGTTAAGGGTCGTACTAAGGCGTTTGATCGCCTTCTAACCGAGCACAAAGAGCGGATACAATCTGAAAGGGCTTCGGGCACTATTGAAAGCAATTTATTAATCAAGCAAAGGTTACATTTACTAGTGTAGCTATAGTACCTCAGCATTATTATAAAAAAATTAATGTTGTGTGGTAATAATTCTAATGATTCATTGATCCTTCACAGCGGGCAGCCTGAAGAGACTGCTGCCATTAAAGGTAGTACTCAAAATAACGTCTAGATAGCAAATACTGAAAACATTGTATAGATTTTCGTTTATGTATATTTTGTTAGAACGTCTTAAAAGCCGTGAAAATCATAACATATATTTTATAATTGCCCTCGTATTTGGGCTAAACGTATTTGTAGGTGTCAGCGAAAATGAATTTCATTTAAAAAATAGCGGTGATGAAGACTCCTTTGATTTTCGTTACAGAAAATTTCATCCGATACCTGCAGCTGTAAATCATTTTTTAATTGCAATATTTAGCGTATAATTTCTAACGTTGTTTGAGGAGGACTTATTTTCTACGGTGTCTATTGTCAATGTAATAGGTTTGCACGTTTGGTGCGCGAAGGTTGCTTCCTGGAACTTATATTTTTAACAGGAGAAGTGATAGATTATATACTGCATTAGTGTCAGCCGTTAACGATTTCAATTTTCATAATAAGTCATAAAATTTCGGTGTTGTATTATTTCGAAAGTATAGCGCACAAATCCTTTATAATGTACATACTTTTTATACCCTAAGATCGAGGTGTACACGTATTACTATAATTTTAATACATTCTCGCAAATTTTAACATTAAATTTATTCCAAATTTTTATCTTTGCGGTATGAAATTACAAATTTCATAATGGCTTTAGTATTGATATTAATTGTTATTACATCAAAAATTCTTGTGACAGTAGAGTGAGTCTATGATCAAGCATAAAATAAATGTATATGAATAACTTATGTTAAGTCTCACCGTTGAGGTTGGACCAAAATAGCCCATAATGAATCGTTTAAATTTTAGGTCTTTATATTATAAAAACTTTGAACTACACTAGGGTATGGACTACTAGATATACCACTACTAATTTAGTAGTTCATGACCAGGGGCTTCCCAAATTCACATGAGAAAGTAGTCATCGAGGTATAAATATTATTAATATCACGAATTAGTTGATTGAATTGAGATGCGACTATTGCTTCATTTAAATAAATGATCAACTGTCGATCTGATCTGAGAGATGATAGCATCTTACGGCAAACTAAGGATCAGAATTTCTAGATCTTCTCATATTATAGATTGCGGTCACAATTATGAATACTGGTTTTATCCTTTCCGCTCTCATTAACCGTACCTCACTTCAACAAATCGGTTCGCGTAAACCGGTGGTATAGTACAGCTGTACAGTATACTTACTTGCATCAGTACTTTAATATCACTGTACAGCAACGTAAGTTTTCTGTAATCCATACCCGTAGGTAATTAGTGAGTGAAATTTTCATTTAAATGAGAAATTAAATATAAAAGTGGAAGTGCTGTTGCATAAGAATCTGACAATCCGTGATATTAAGCCGCAGAGTAATCAAAGCATATGAGTACTCGTACAACTATCGATCCGTATACGGTATGATGTGGACGCCTCAGAAATCTATCCATACTGAATGGGTACAGTACTGTAGGTAAGACCATACAAAAGCAGCATTTACTGAACTTACAGGATCCAAAGTACCGTATAATCCGTGACTTAACCTTGCAACATTTTTCGCATTTTCAATCGTTCGTACAGTAATTAATCGCAGTATTATGAACTTAAAAGTGCCACCCAGTGTTGCACAATCATAGAGCTACAGTGCAAACGTGTAAGCAGGCAGGCATCTTAAAACATTTTGATTAATTTTATTATATAAGATCTATAGTAGGATGAGTATCGCTAAAGCAAAATAGGATGACTCTTGGAAATGTTAATTGGCTATATTTAGATCGTTGCATTCTTTCGATTCTTATTTACCGTATCCCTCCTACTCGTAATGCATGATTAGTTATGTGTATAAAGTATAACTATTTACAAGTATATTTGTAAATGCTCAGTTATGGAGGATCCTTCGCTTCATTTTAAGAAAATGAATTGATAAAATTTCGTAAATAGTAAGGTATTTTTCTCATATTTTTAGTGATAAACTTACAATCTTTTTAGAAAATTAGTCTGAACTATAGTCTGAACTACGTTATGTTGTTGTATTACTGCAGTCTTTATATGTTTTTATAGGATGTACTATTTTCTATTATTAAAATAGTTACTCCTCAAGTCCTTGAGAGGACTTTGCTGCATCGAGAAAAATTTTCTTGACCGAATTGTGCGGACGGTGATTCTTGATATCCCTATTTTCTGGAGTTCGTAAGCGATATTGGCAGACGTTTTCGTTCCATCGACATTGTATCACTACGTATCTGTGCATGCAATTAACCGAAATGAATAAATTCAATACACAAGATCACAGCATGGGGGCTTTAGAAGATTTTAGAAGCCCACGACTGCAGGTGTATCATCAATTGACATGATTAGTACTTCAGACAATCTAGCCAATTGTATATACAATTCGTTAATTACGACTTCGCCCTACTACAATAAAGTAGCCCTTTCAATTTAAATGATATTACGTAATATCTTGATGTCTTAAAATATAGAATTAGCCACATCATATTAATCTCTCATGCAACTTTGACAATAGAAAAATTATGCAGTATTTGTAAAAGTAAATGATTAGAAAGTGTACGCATATTAAAGTTTTGACAACTAGTGATATATATATATAAATGTATTCTTTTAATCTTTTCAATATCAGTAGAAAACAACTAACGTTGTTGTATTAACAATTATTGTCCAAAAATAAGGCACCAGTAATAACACTATAAGTATTATGAAGTGCTTAAAAGAAATCAAACTAAAAATTTTAAGTATCTTATTACTGATTTCGATAACTAATGTTGCTGTATTAACAATTACTGTCCAAAAATAAGGCACCAACAATAACACTATAAGTATTATGAAGTGCTTAAGGAAATCAAATGAAAATTTTAAGTATCTTAATACTGAATTTGAATGGAGTAAGAAAGAAAGAATTTTACTACGATATTTGTTCCACGGTCATTCAGTACAGTACTACAATTTTGAAGTATCAGATGTTAAGACACCAGGTCAAATGATGGATTTAGCTGTGGTTTCCATTTTAAAAGCTTCGCGTATTGCTTTAGCAAAAGCTCCCAATAGCACTCAACATCTTTCATCCGTAAATGGTTTAAGATAAAGTCACGTCCTCTATTTAATTCGGTATAGAAGATTTTAATACTGTAGTACGCGTATGATCCTATCTTGCTACTGCATATAACAAACTAGCATCACCTTTTCGCTAATCTCTTCATTTCTTCGTCATTTTCTATTGCAAATCGGATTATTTCTCTATAAAAAGAAAAATTATAGTAATTTTAGTTTATGCGGCCTACAACTGCAAATTCTAAAGGACTCGTGATAGATTCTTCATTACGGACAGTAAATTCTGTGAATAGTACTACAATGTCCTCTAATAAGAGGAAATGCTAACTCTGTGTTTCTCTGATCAGGATCAACAGGAATATAGTGAACCCATGGAGTTAAAGCCGGATAGAAGAATTCCTGCCATTCATGACCAATGTGGAGTACCACAGAATTGCAGAGAAATAAGTGTCTAAAGCGGAAGCTAGCTGCAACACCTCGAAAATTGAATAGGTACCTAAAGTAGAGATTTGATAAGCGCAATCCGATAATAAGATGGATAGACAAAGTAAATTGTTTAACGAACTTGTATTTACAATGATCTTCAAGAGTGACCTCTTTAGCGGGCTCTTCACCTAAGGTATCCTGTCAAAAAGTTATTTGTCAGTAGTAATTCTTTAAAAGCATAAGTTTCATTTGTAGATTAATGGCTTATAGTTATTAGGTCTTACTGCCTTTGATCGCCATGCCTGATTTTTAGTATATGATGCATTAACTAATTTCGGTTTAGCACGAGACAGAAGAATTAAAGGATCACGCTCGGCGCTGGTCCTATACATGACCGAACCAATATAACGAAGTTCTGGTTACCTAACTTAAGCGTAAGTATGGTATTGTAGACTAATGTTATTTGTAAAGTTTAAATGTAAACCTAGATCCTCTAAAAAATGCGATGGATTTCTTTTTATCCCATGGCCACTTATCCGACGCTCTATAAAAGTGATAGATTTAATGACACAAATTTGTGATTGACAATTCGTCATTTATTTGTTAGAATGGATGAAATAAACTAGTACTTTTGTAAAGATTTTCTTAAAACGTCCCAACGTCCTAATCCATTTGGAAAAATCGGCCAGACAGCAGGGCCACCCTCCCAAAACGACCAAGCCGGATACATGATATCATTTTCATTGTGTGTCTGCTCAATAGAGTAATCTTGTCACGTTGCGTTTTCGATACGCGTAAGTACGGTACTCTACGGCATAAAAATTATTATTAAAAGGAAAGGATACCTTACTAAATGAGAACACCGGTAGGAGTTCGTCCCATTTTGGAACCTATATTAATTAATATAAACTTTAAGATGCCAAATAACTTATAAATAGTGCGAGGCTTAGGCCCTTAGATGTACTTATCAATAATATTGTCGGAACCTATTATTGTATTATAGTAATAATTCTAATTAGATCAAGTCCAATAAACGGACCAATAATAATTAATAAAAATTCTATTCTATTTTATACCTTAGGCCAATCGTGAGTATTGATAATTAACTCCAAATTGGGTAGCTTCTTAGCGATTTTTTTGAGAAAATGCTCAATACCTTTGCATCTACAATTAATAAGATAATATTTTATGGTTATACGTAGGGTAGGTATCCTAAATGTAACATGCATTCTATAGAACAAAACTTGCCATTCAGCGATGTACAGACAAACCTGGCAGGAAAGGTACATCTCTCATGCCGATAGACCTTGTGGTTTATAATCTGATAATGGCTGCCCTTTTCCGCACCTCGATGACTTCCTTGATTCGCTGCCTTATCAAAGATTTCTTTTGTTATTCCCTTTTTCAATCGCCAAGGCTTCAAATCGTTATCAATAACTTTCTTGTAACATCCACATCTATCGTTCTTGCAATCTTTAAAAGAACTGACAGCCTTAGTTATGATCTTTAAGTAGTCATCCCATTTGTCGTTATCTGCTTTATATTGGAAATGATAAGATGAAATGAAACATTCAGTAGTTCAATAACAAAATAGCTACGTAAGCAGTATACGTAAATAAAAACTGTATTAATAATGTGCATACAGTGCACTGCAGACCCTAAAGTCTCTGCAGTACTCAATTACCACGCAGATAGATGTACTGTACAGGCATACCTGGATCATGTACAGTACGTACAAAATCGTATCGCGTTGCAATGCTCGTACATACTATACTGTATATGGATCACTCATCATCTAAGCTAAATAAATTAAGAATTGGAAATTATACAGTACTAGCTTGCCCGGTACACCACGTCGTGTAAAATATTAATAAATTATAATACTACTTGGTGTTGTTTAGTATGCTGTCAGCAGTTAAAGTAAAATACTAGCATAACGTCCTATCGCTTCGCCGACAGAGTTAGCACAATTAACTATTCGAAATATAATGTTTCGAATTACCTTTACTTGTATATTTACTGGAAACTTGATCGGTCTTTGAAGATGGTAAAGAAGTACAATCTCCATTTTTACTACATTTTTCTGTTGAATAACAAGTTGCCGTTATATGTATTAACAAAAGCCATTTAATGAGTATAGTTACTAACATTTCGATAGTAAACCCAAGGTCTGCGATACCTTTACTTTTGAGATTTTCGACAAAAATGAAACTGGTTCTAACTACAGATCCTATACAGTACTGTAGAAACTTAGTCATTAATTACAATATTATTTATATTATTATTACCCATGTGCGGTAAGGTACTGTAAGCAAGGATTTGTACAAGGCTGTATACTGTACACTGTACAGTACAGTACAGTACTGTACTGTAGTACGGTAACGTGGCCATGGATCAACATGGAGTAGGACGAACAGTACAGGTAAGTAGTCATACTGTACAGTACAGTGTACAGTATGGAAGAGATTACTGTCGTACAGTCTCGCAGCCAGTAAAAATTGCTGTAGCACAGTAGATTTTACTATACGTACAGTACTGTACTGTACACAGTGCACAGTACGTACAGTATGATTACGGTGACTTACAGTACTGTACTGTACTGTACTGTACAGTGTAATGATAGCACCAGCCGCGAGTTTGGCATACTGTACTGTACAGTACTGTACATTTCCCTGCACTGTACACTGTACAGTACAGTACAGTACAGTACACAGTATTGTACTGTACAGTACTGTACTGTGTACTTACTGTACTGTAGTACTGACAGTCTGACTGTACTGTAGTGCATTTTCAACGAGCCTTGGGTGAATTCATTAAAATAAAATTAATTAATTAATTATAATTATTATTGCTGAAAAAGCTTGCACGAAACCTCGGAGTTCAGCAATGTCCGATAAGGCCAAAAAATTTCAAGAAACCTTGCTGTCTGACCTTCGTAGTCTGGCTAGTGAAACAAGGCGTAAACACGCTGCAATCAAAGAGGTGATTTTACATAGTCCTGGTGTACTTTAAACATCATAAATCGATAAAACCTCGGGTTTAAATTTTAAATCAATAGAATATCAAAAGTTTTCATTCTTTACAGTAAAGACATCTTGTTTGCAATGTGTAATGTGTAATATCTCAATCTCGTCATAACAGTTAAGACACGATAATAATACCAATGTGTGCGTGTATTAGCTATTCTAAGGACTTAGTTGAGTGTTACAGTAGTACAGTATAGTTTTAATATCATCTGTACTTACTTATGCACCTAGCAAATCAAAAATTATAGTAGTACAGTATACATAGTTTCACATTTTTTTAGTACAGTACTGTACAGCAGATTACCTTGCGGATTTTTCATTCTTCATGTTACGCATATTTTTAGAGATACCTGCTTTGGCAGCCCGGTTAATATTGATTAACACCGTGACAATGAATTATCTTGTTACATAGCATGTACGAATTTCTTTAACTGCAGAATATCGTTATACGTCGTCGTTCAAGTATAGTGAACTATCTTAGTGAATATTTATGCTATTACTGCAGTAAAGCAAATATGTAAAGAGCACTTGTACGTATGATCATGAAGATGATGTTAACGATGAGACGGTACAGCATTATCCATCTACGGCATTGTAAAAATGTACCGTAAATAAAGGTAGTGATTTTTAAAATATGACTTCAAAAATACCCTTTCCGATGAAGTTGTACGTAATTGTTTGTACTGGTTTCTTGGGTATGCAGCTAATACGATTAAGATCTTTCAAAACACAGTTGTTTTTAAATTCATTAAATTAAGCTATATAGTACTTGCTGTAATATGTGGTGATAATTATAATCATCCATGATGAAGGCTGCAGATGCTGCTTGGGACTTATTGGTCAAAACATGCTCGGATAAAGGAAGGAACAAAATGGACGAAGGTGCTGTATATTGTACACTGTATATTAATTAACAGTTGTAAGTTCACATGTGAAAGCAGTTCATCGTTTCTAGCATACGTACAGTCATCGCACATTGTAGCAAGAATGAGAACGATACTGTACTGATATTCATATAACTAATGAGTACATTACATTATATCGATTCTTTAAATTCAGTTCAATTTATTGTTAACATTAGCAAAAGTGCAAGTTAGCTGTTATATTTAAACATTGCATTCATGCTGATAATGGTATAGCAATGTCAAATGTACTTTACTATGCGCTTTCTATACTGAAGAAGTCGTTACGAGTTTACTGCACTATACGAGTGTGTATCAGTTTTATTGCTCGCCAAAATTTGTAGATACAGTAAAGTGTACACGTATACTGTGAAACACTACGCCCGCAAAAAGCAATATCGGAATGATTATGTATGATTAATTATCTCTGGTATACGTGATTCATATGTTCTATCCTTTTTCCTATCAAATGCTAGTCCTTTCCATTTCAAATGACATAATTCAACCTTTTCTGCTTGGATGCAATACAAAGAACAGCAAAATTATTCAAGCATGCCTTGTTTCGATCCATCGGCTAATCACTCATAAATTAGTGACGCAGGTTAACTTTTAGTAGCTACGTCAGTAGTTATCGATTATTTTCGCTCTTAGTTCTATCTACGACATAAAATGTAAACAGCCTAGTTTACGCTTCATTGATATAAGTAATATAAATTTCTATCAGTCATCATGCAATTCTTCATTGTATATATTTTCAAGGAAATAATCTCTAAGCAAAAGTTTTCTTTTATAAGATCTTTCTGTCCTAAAATCATTTTAATAGGTCTCGGCAGCTAAGATTGTGAATATGTTATGGATGTTAATGGAAGATGGAATGGAAGAATTAAAAATTTTACAAACCCTGCTTGCCCTACTTACTACAACTACTGTTGTTCATAACGATCTACTTGCGAAGGTGTAGTAAACAGCTTATAATAAATACATAGTAAATCAGATAGCATGACATTCTGAATCGAATAAAAATTGCTGCGTGAATGTACGAGTATGCTAATAAAATATACGATTTAGGTGGCTGTTTAGTTGTTGTAAGGAAAGTTGTGTAGGTTGACATAATCAAATATTACCGTATATAACATAAGCATATTTTAGTTAATTTCTTTATAGATATTTTAGATTCTGACTTATACTATGCAATACTTTTGATTAGTGCATTGTTTTAAGCTTCAAGTTATACTCCTCTAAAGATCCCGTAGTTTCTAATACCTCTGCAGCAACTATTCGTCAGATAGTTTGCATATTGTTTGACCGTGTTCAAGCCGAAGATGCTCAAGCAGGTTTTTTATTTGATATAAGATTTCAATAGTGATTTTAACATAAAACCGCACTAAATACAATCACCAAGACATATTTTAATTTGCATGTAAATATTTTAAATCTTAGATCAGCTATCTAGTGAACCAATACTTCGAAGCCCGACAGACAAATGTCAATTTTCGTTACAGTCTTGCGCCCTAGATGCCTACATGTTCTTTCAGGTATTTTCTAATCTAAACGGTTAAGTTAGTATGGCGGATAAAAAGGACAGTGTGCTAACCACGTTGGCTCTATAGGATCTTTGCTCCTTAATAAATGGAGAGCCTCCAATTTGGGCCATTGGGCTATCAGAAATGATAAAAGCTTTTGGCTTGGAATTACTTGAATCAACTCTAATGCAAAACCCCCAAATTTTTTTAACTGTGAGTTGAGTTCCACGTTATTTACCTTTTTAAAATATATTAATTTCATATCCATAATAAAATTAAATTGATTTCATAATGATATCTTTTCAGCATCCCGAATTTAGTTTTCTTTTGAAAGAAAGAATCTGCTCTCTAGTAATAAAGCTATTCTCCCCCAGTATAAAATATCGACAAGCTTCGCAACCGCCTTCGCTGGCAGTAGAACGGCCGTCCTTTGCAATTTGTGTCAGGCTATTGCGAATGGTATCTGTTTTAATCAAGGAATTCTATATGCTACTGGTTAGTAACGTACAATTGTAACTTTCAAATTTTACTTTGTATTTACTGCACCTATTTGAGATATCTAAATTAATTTTAGGTGACCGAATGTGAGATTTTTCTTTCAATTCTGATCAAGTTCCTTGATATGGATAAGCCGCTATGGCAGCGAACTTTAGCAATTGAAGTTTTACATACATTTTGCATACAGGAGCAATTATTACGGTACGTGCATTTATTGTAATACAAGTGATTAATTAAATTTTTTGTTAAACCTAAGTCATGTATAAAGTTTCGTACGTACGACATTATAATTTGGCTCTATAGACATAATCTTCGTTTGTTCGTTTTAGATCATTCTGCGAATTTTATGATATGCAAGAGCATTCTACAAAGATTTTTAAGGACATTGTAAATGCTCTAGGTGGTTTTATTCAGTCAGTATTTAATGGATCATCTAATTCGTCGAGTATATCTGGTCCCAGCGGTGCTGTAGTTGTAAATGTCTCTCAGGCAGTAAGTAACAGTCCTACATCATCTGTTGGTAATTCTACACAACAAGGTGGATTTCTTTACCGAGGGTTGTGGATACCATTAAATATCCGCCCTCTTCCAGGCATTGCAAAGCCCGTTTAGTAAGAAAAATGACTGAATTATAAATTACAATCCAAATTTAATGTTTTGAAGAATATAATGTGTACTATGAATTTTATCAGTTTGGATATGTTAGATAAAACTGAAGCACCTGCAATAATGGATGGGTACACCCTTACAATAGCTTTTTCGTCATTGTTGGATATAATTAAAAGCTTAACTCTGCTTATGTGCCATGACGTGCGCAGTTCTCCGTCTGAAATGGAAGCTTCGGCAGATGCTGGAACTCTAACTGGTATTTACCGATTAGCGGATTCTCAGGAGGATGGTATTTAATTCAGAATTTGTATACATATATATGATATCGCTATTCCAAAGGGTATCATTTCATTGTTTGTACTAATCTGTGAAAATTTTTCAACATGTGTTCATCAGTGAATGCCGACCAGAAACTGTGGAAGAAAATGATTACCTCTTCTTGGTGTGGTCTACTGGCTGCAATGTCACTTTTACTAGATGCAAGGTAAAGATATCAGATCTATCGTATATACTATATATTCATGGAATAATTTTCATAGAGAAATTTCGTGATGAATTTATTGTGGATAATTCAGTACCCAGTAGTACTCCTACTGTAAAAGGATAGTAAAAGATAAGCATCCTTACTTGGGCAGATATTGCTTAGATGCGAATGAATGTGGGTCGATATCCATTTACGAGTGTGAAGAACAACACTGTTTACTGTTTAGGACTGCCTTATTACTCTGATCCACGTACTTATTGTTAGCGATAGCTGATTAAGAAATAAGTTAGCAAATTTTCGATAATAAGATCAAAGTTATATTTAACAACTTGTTATTGATGATTACTTCGTACAGTACTGATGAAGGCACAACAGAAGCTTTATTAAAAGGCTTTCAACAATACACAAGCATGTGTGGCCTTCTTCAATTAGCAATGCCGCGTGATGCTTTTATTACTGCATTATGTAAGGCATCTCTACCTCCTCATTATGCACTAACTAAATCATTCGATAGCGGAAAGACTTGGGTAGCTGATGCATCTTTGATGCACATTGATAGGTTAGAAATTAAACAGAGAACGTGTATCTAGCATTTGACAACATTTATGTCTTTACTCTAAATATTATTACAAAATCTTATACTAACATAGTGATGGTAACTCTTCAACTCGGATGTCATCTCGAACGTCATTACTTCAGTCCGGAATAAGTAGCCCGACTACAGCAGGATCGGTAACGGTAGGGTCATTATTAATAGATTAAATATTTCTATGGTGATAACTAGTAATGCGCCGTATAACAGAAAATTATGTTTAATAGTTGACAGTCAAGAACATGCAATGTATGCGAGCCTTACTTAGCATTGCACACTGCCATGGGAATATTTTATCGACGGCTTGGCAACTAGTACTATCTACTTTGCAAAATCTGACACTGATTCTTGGGCTTACGCCAACAAAGACCGGGAGTTTAGTTAACCCTAGAGGACCTGACAGTATGACCGTACTAGTATCGGCTTCGGTTGCAGGAGAGGTGCCTATTGTTGCAACGATGCTGTCAAGATTATTTGAAAGCTCGCAGTATTTATCCGACGAAGCGTTATTGGATCTGATCGAAGCTTTAACAAATCTATCCCTATATAACATAGATGCTGCCTTGAATAAGCGTGAACCATGCTTATTTGCTTTGGCAAAATTACTTGAAACTACTTTGGTTAACATTAAAAGATCACATGTATACTGGGATAAATGCAGTGATCATTTACTACAGATCAGTAACCATAATATCAATCAGATGAGAAATTTTGCTTGTGAGTCTTTAGCAAGTCTTGTTAGGAGTGCTTTAGAAGTGCTAAAAAGCGATGAGAATGTTATAGTAGAAGAAATTTTATTTACTACGTTAGAAAAAATGTCGTCCATTACTTTTTCAGATGTAAGGCAAGTTCAACTATCATCATTATTACAATTATTGAATACTTTTGGGAATTCTATTAAAACCTCCTGGTTAACAATTCTAAGAATTATTGGTACAATTACTGATAAACAGGGAGAAGTTCTGATCCGAACTGCTTTTCAGTGTTTACAACTTGTCATTACAGACTTTTTACCGACGATGTCATTCAAATGCCTGCCTGATTGTATTATTGTTGCTAGTAAATTTGGTACTCAACACCAAGACTTAAATTTAAGTTTAACTTCAATAGGTTTACTTTGGAATATCGCTGACTATATTTGCAGTAATTACGACGCAATTAAGTCGGAGCTAAAAGAAAGCATAGCGGAAACAACTAAATCGAACTGCAGTATTGATGACATTCTCTGGGTGAAATTATTTTCATGTTTAGCGGATTTATGTGTGGATACTAGGCCGGCGATCCGAAAAAGTGCCGCCCAAACCTTATTTTCCATGATGAGTGCTCACGGAGGCCTACTTGATGCTATGGTGTGGCATACTGTGCTTTGGCAAGTTTTATTTCCACTGTTAGATAATGTTAACAGTTCCTCTCATATGGCAGCAAATATTAAGGCTGATACTTCCGAAGCTGGAATTCTTATACATCATTCAAGAGACACCGTGGAAAAGCAATGGGCAGAAACTCAGGTTTTGACGTTAGCTGGTGTTACCCGTGTCTTTAACGAACATAATCAAATTTTTGCTAAAATGACGGAATTTCAACGTGCATGGGTTTTGCTTTTAGAACATATAGAAAGTTCTGCTATGAACACCAACAGTGAAGTATCTTTGGCCTCGCTGAAATGCTTTCAAGATATTTTTAACTTAGAAAGTATATCTGAAGGGAGCAGACCACACCAGGGTGTACAAACTTCAGAAACTGATAGTAGATATGTTAGTATTTGGTCAAACGTTTGGCGTGTATGGTGTAATATAGGCAGAGGGTCAACGAAATTATCAGGAGAACTTTTATCAAATCATAAAAACAAAATAAATGATTTCTTGCCGTCTCAAACGTTTCTCGTAACTTTCCTAAGAGCATTTCCATCATTATATGTTCATATTGGCGCACGATTTGTAACAAATGATATTCAGCAGACTATGAATATTTTATATGATGCAGTACGGATCCCTGTCACACCTGACAATCTGCCTTTTGTGCTAAGTAGCGCCAATAAAGATTCTATAACACCTTTACAAGAAATCATCATTAATGGCATCAATTGCTTGTGTAACTTGCCTTACGGCGATATAGACTCATCTACATTAAACGCCATTAACTCTTGTCAAAAAGGAAGATCTTTGATGTATCCTACATTATTTACGGAACTTCTACGATTTACTGAACTTGCTTCCCTCCCTCCTAAACCTCCAATATTTTTCGAATCAGATGCTCAAGCAAAAAATATTCCGGCTGGCCTATCGGTAGTAAATTGTGTTCCTTTTGCAGAATTGTGTATAAAAATTACAGTTAATATGTACAAGGCAACCGCATATGATGCTACAGTGATAAAAGGAGGCGTGCTGAAACAAATAATTAAGGTATGTTATAGTAGTTTTTCGGTTAAATTTTGATTTCACTAATGTTGATCTTTTTATTAGTCGCTAGGTATCCCTTTGGGTTTAAAGTACGGTTGTTCGTCTCAATCTACGTGGAGATTGGCATTTCAATCCTTACATGAAATACTAGAGATTGGCCTGATTGCTACACAAAACGAGTTAGAGAAAGGTTACATGAAACATTAAAGATATTAGGATTTTTGTAATGTTATGTTTTTTTATTCTTTGATTGCTATACAAATAAGCATATGCTGATATCAATACTGCTTTTCTAGATGAACTCACGGAGATTTTTGATGATATGTGGTTAGAGTTAATAAACACGTTCGAGAGCTTTTTGTTTTCGGCCCAGTATGTCAAAGGATGTTATACATATTTATTAGCAATTTAGATATTCTTGTGTATAGTATAATGTTAACCTTGATATATGTTACATTCTCTCTAAAATCATAGCCCTCCGCCTCCTTCATTGTCAGTTAGTGAGTATATATCACACGAAGAAATGGATATAAAGGTTAGATCTGGGCTATTGTAATGGATGCTTGATCGTACCCTGGTAGCTTTATTAATACACGTTAGCTTATGATTCTAACTATTTCATACTAATAATTTAATGAATAAATCCATAGATAATAGCGCTGCTGAGAGATAAAATTTTGTCTCATGCCCATATGTTACCTTACGAATTTTTAAACCGAACCATGAGTCTACTTAAACGTGGGTCTATTCACTCGGCTGCGTCTGCGGTATTTCAAGGTTAAGATCCGTCATCTTTCACTCTGACTTGTAAACCTAATTCTCTAATTTTGCCACATTCAAATTCCAATTTCAGATCTTAGTGATAACAATTTACCTTTGAGAGAAAGATTTGCACAAGCGTGTTTCGAAACGTTATTGTCGTTTTCTTTATCAAAGGATAAATACATTTATACCAAACATAGGGAAGGTAATAACTCTTTATTGTTGCTACTTTAGTAGAAAACGACTATTCATCGACTATTATTGAATCCTAGATCTTTCAAGTTTGGCCATTACATCAATGCTTGAAAGATGTTTGGAAGTACTGAAGAAATACAATATCGATGAACGCCTTAGTGGTTCTTACCCTTTACCAAAGTAGTAAATATATTCCTTCTCTTAAGCTTACTATCTATTGTTACTAATTTCGTAAATGTGTTTAGCTTGCGCATGGCCGAAGTTTTACTTGTTATGAAAGCTATCTCAACGTTAATGACTACCTTAATAGACTCTAAAGACAATTCTCGAGACATCGGTTAGGTCTTATATACGTTATTGTATGGGTGATTTGATGATTTCGTAATTGAATACTACTTATGATTCTAGTTTATGAAAATATCTGGATACGAGTAGTTGCTCTATATCCCACATTGGTTGACTGCATAACTTGTAAGTCAGAAAACGTTAGACTGAATTTAAAAGAGGTTTTAAGAAAATTTAAAGATGTCCTTGTAATACCACGCAGTTAAGACCTGGGTAATTGCTATGATTTTACTGTATATTAATCTTAGGTTGTCATAACAAGTAAGCATATTTTAAATTTTGGGTAAAATATTGTTCATTGAACTATATTCTATTCTGTAAATGCTCTATCTATTTCAAATGATAGCAGATGTTTTTCTAGAATTTGCATAAATTTGCTAATCGTATATTTTGTCCTTTTTATGGTACTTAATGATTTGTTTCAAAGGAATTGTACAACTACATAGTTTGTATACGATTCTTCATTGTCAAATGAGCCAGGTTATTGAGAACTTTCATCACGTCACATGTTTAAAAGCAGATAGAAAATTAAATTTCAATCTCTGTTATGTTATTCTTTTAAAACGGCAATTAAGCTGCATTACTCAATTACAAAGGATTATACTAGTTTCATGAACCTTTGTCTTTCATGCTAATTAAGGTATCTATTTTCGCATACTTAAATTATCAATTTTATTGTATATATCGTCCTCATGTAAGCTAGTTAAATACTAAATTTGAAATCGCTATCATGTAACTGAAGTATATCTTAGCATCGTGAAGCTTACCCATATGAGAAAATATTTATTTTGCTGACTGTAACAGCGCTGTTGTAACATAGAGTTATAAGCTGATGGTATTTTGGTTAAAATCAATTAACATTTGGGCCATTCTGAAACTGTATCGTTAGAGCACCTGTATATGAAATTTCAAAAGTGTGTTACTAATCATAAATTAATTATACTTTATGCCTGTACTCGCTGAAATTATCTTATACGGTCCGGTATAGTATTCTTTTCCAAATGTTTTAAATTTTAGGGACTGTATTTTATGCTATTTCCTTGTATCTTGTAAGCAATGTAGTTGGTACTTACATGTTCTTTTCATGGAGTGGTTTGCGGTAGCTTTACCAATACATACTATTAAGTTTTATGTAACCTCATACGAATAAACAGAGTACATTTAATGACGCCAATTCCAGTTAGTGTTTACGGGGACTACGGAAAGTTTAGCCTCTACATGCACCAAATTACGTAATAGAAACTATATGGTAATGGATATATAGTAAGCAAATGCTATACTGTAGGAATAATTTACCAAAATGATACAGATAAATTTAAGATATACGTGTACAGTAATTGAAAGATACTAGTGCGTATTTACTGTACATTGTACTACTCGCATTCTGTTGTATGATTTACGCCAGCCTATGGTGGCACTGTTATGATAAAGGTAGTATGGTAACTTCTTTAAAATGTCGGCATTTGAATAAATATGTTGCATTCTCATTCTGGAAACTACTGCGAGTGATACTATAAACTCCGTCGATCACTTTACCGATCTATTAATTCATTAATGGTCCTTTCTCTTACCTATTAAAGGATAATGATCAAAATGTAAACTATACAGAATACACAGATCACATCCAGTATACTATACCTGTTATTATGATTGATTACCTCAGCTTTTCGTATCGTTGAGCTTGATAAATTGTATTCATGACTAGAATAGTTAGGCTTATACGTGAATCATCTCATATACGCGTAATTGAGACGATTTATTGGCTTTCTTCAAAGACCCAGTGACATGCCTTCACTAGTATACATTAAATATATGAATATTGGTGAAATACTGTACGAGTATCTTTGCATGCTAAAGCATGCATCTGTTATCCGCTTGTTAACACTTTTATTTGTTGATGCTTTAATTTTCAATTTAATCCGATAAGTACTGTAAAACGTGTGCGGATACACTACTGTGTCATGTAAAGATCATCTTGTTGCAATATGGGATGGCCAAAAAGGATGTCAGCATTTTGTTGCTAGATCTCGATCTGACGTAAATCTAACAGTCGACTGCAGTTCTGTGACCAATTTGCTCATTATCCTTGATCATCGTATACTGTGCCTCGAATTAACTTATTAAACTTAACTTGCAGTTTCTTCATTCGTAAACATCTACTACGGTATGAAAAAAATGAATCTGCAGTGCAATAAATAGATGTAATTGATGGCAGTTTTGTATGACTTGGTTCAATAATAGAGTTCTCTGCAATTGATGAAATGATTGTTGTTCAAAACTGTCCGATAGTTACTTATGCTTTACCACGGAGAACAGGTTGATGCGGTTAGGATTATGATACAGTTTTACCTGCATAGTTAGATAAGTATTCAAAGATCTTAAAAATCACTAATATAAACATTTAACTTCGTAGTACGTATGAGCGGTATGAAACTTAAAATCCTATCAATGCTTCAGTTTGTTTCAATATAGCTACTACAACAAGTTATCATTTATTAACCACAGACAGCAATCTATTAACGATGATACACATCAAAGTACTGGTCACAGAAAAAATATTGATATGCCATGAAGACAAGCAGCTACAGGAATGTACGCTTAATACAGTATGTAAGTAAATAACCATGGCTATACCATGCTTACTGAATTAGCCAGGGAGAATAATTAGGCGGCACTATTAACGAAACTTATCCTACGGTAATTATATGAATCAGTGATGATTAATCGATAATGAAAATTGTTACGATCGAATAATAATTGTACTGCATTTTACTTACATATACCAAACAGGGTTCTCAATCTTAAAATAACTAAAGGCTGATTACAAATAGACTTTGAAAATTATGCATAGTTGCTTTCTTTCCAAGACTGTGTCTAGGAATAACCTGACTGTAACAGCTAAATAGATTGCAAGTCATAATTTCACGATCAGTACAAAGAATATTTCCTCATCTAAACACCTGGAAATTTTCCGTTACGAAAGCTTCGCATTCAATAACCAGGTATCTTTTTGTAGTGTATACAAGATTACTGGTACCTCTTTAACATGTAAAGGCGATATCATTATCAACGCAACAATTATGCTGTTTAAAGTTTAATTACGTGATAAATGTAGTAAAAGTCAAAGGAACGCAATAATGTCATGACCAACTCAAAGTATTAAATCATACTATATCAACCTAGCCGTAGTATATCTTAATGGAATTAGTACTGTGATAGAAGTTGCAAACACCTTTTTATCGTATTATTGTAACTGTACCTATACACAGAAGCAGTAGATTATCGAATTACAAGAGTGAACAATGAAATGAGCGCTTCTTCCTTTTCACTTGCAAGGCAGCGCGAGTGGCTGTCTCAAATACATCTCGTACACCTTCTTTAGACTTAGCAGAACATTCCAAGTAGCTATAGGCATTAATTTTTTCAGCCATAGCACGGCCTTCCTCAGGTCTAACAGGCTCTTGCTTCATTTTCGCTAATTCCCTACGTGTATTTTCATCGTTCCTCAAATCCTTCTTGTTACCAACTAAAATGATAGGTACGTTAGGACAAAAGTGTTTGACTTCCGGTGTCCATTTTTCAGGAATATTTTCCAGACTATCTGGACTATCGATGCTGAAGCACATTAAAATCACGTCAGTATCCGGATATGATAATGGTCGCAAACGATCGTAATCCTCTTGTCCTGCAGTATCCCATAATGCGAGTTCTACTTGCTTCGAATCAACTTCGATATCAGCTACATAATTTTCAAATACTGTAGGTACATAAACTTCGGGAAATTGATCTTTGCTAAATACAATCAGCAAGCACGTTTTACCACATGCACCATCACCTACAATAACCAGCTTTTTACGAATAGCGGCCATGCTCAACGCCGCAGACAAAGCGGACTTCTACAAGCAAAACAAGACAGAGATTCGCAGTTATAGGCAGTTATTTAACTTCGTCTGAAATTAATAGTTACTACATTATCAAGTATATCATTAAGGAAGTTTAAGCTAACACTATAGTTAATTCCAGTGAATAAGTTAAGTCAATGATAGAAGATTATCAAAGGTAATCAATAACATGTTTATCTGGTGAACAAAAGCACACTTCCTGTATTCGAATTATTAACAATCCTCGTTCTTTTGATCTAATTGAAAAGATCTACGTAATGTACGGAAATTAGTTTCGTAACAATATCAAGGATATTGACAATAGGTCTCAGTACGCATATACGTGCACATATCTACGAGTGTTACGAAGCAGGTTACAGTCAGACATGAAATGTTAGGCTGGCAGATGAGCCTAAAGTCTTGTCGCATTATCGAGCTACAAAATCGAAGTTCAAAACCAAAACTGAGGCTCACGATGACATAGACGTAAAAGAAATCACAAAGCTAACAGACAATTCGAGAAAATGATGCCATCCAGTATAACAATAATTGAAATGTCATTTCTGCGCACAGCCTAATTTTTGTAATAAATCTTAAATGCAACTCTAACCTCCTCAGTCATAAATTTAAACTAATAGACTATAACAAAGTCCAACTGTCCAAGCATGATATTAAATTAGCAACATCGTATAAACGTATCTTAACAAAATTTGAGTATTATTATTAACCGAGCATCTTAATTTAAATTAATGCATTAAAACAAAAGTTGACACTACAGTGTACGTATAACAACAAAACACTAAAGCACACTGCACGAATTTAATGAAATAAAAGGTACTATAGTTCAATGTAAATTTATTAATCGAAAGCTGCAAGGCACTTCAAACATACTGTGCGTCCTAATCTTAAAATAATCAACTTTGTTGAGATTACACAAGCAATTTCTACGGAAATTCGATATTCGTGATTTGTCTCTGACGATATAGGCTATGAATCTAGTATGTAAATATTATTATCAAAACGTCCTACAGTTACCACTGTAATATAAGCGTGGACATCATCGTAAAAAGAAATCGGTATTATTTGGATAACTGATATAATGCACTAACCAAAGTATTTGGGTAGTCATGTAGTCGTAAATTTAGGCTAAAGATTCTCATCTGATTATTATTATCGACTTATAAAGACTCAATTAAATTACTCAACAAATGCTAGTAAGCTATTACAACGATAATCATAAAGTACTGTAACACAGTCACCACAAAATAAGAAATGAATTTTGATTATTATCAAATCAGTTTATATTACATCATTAACAAATATTGTCATGTGAAGTTTTTCGGTCTATTACTAATGCATGTTGATTCATTCTGATCCTTACAGATCACCTCTATATACAATCTTCAGTTGTCACTAATGAATATTCATTATTTAAAAATTATATCGAGTGAAGGTATTATAAGATCGAAAAAATATCATACTGTGCAAGTTTTATCCTACGGTGAATAGTAAGCGTCTCCCATAAATAAAAAGAAACGATGAACCTATCACGCTTTATTAATACCCACAATACAATAAACACAGCAATCTATAGACCATGGATTACGATTAGAGATGCATTAACGTTACTACATAGCACAGTAGAGTACGGACTTTTCGAATAGTCTATGTGAATATGTGATTAAGCAACGTAATATGTAATAAGGTAGTAGAGTTCAAAACAGAAATGAAGTATATTACATCAGCGCTGTCAGTAAAATTGAAACACTATAGACTTGCCTAACATTAATCTTATACAATCTGCAGCGTCAGTTTGCGGAGTGTGAGTGTACAATCTACAGTATAGTATTGTAACCTACGAGTATGTAAAAGTGGTTATGAATTAAAAATTGCGTCTTCAGTTTGATGGCAATTTCTATACTGTACAGCTCATACAGTAACATATTTTAAACTAGATCAAAGATGAATTCGTAATTACTTTGGCTCTAATCCTAATTATAATAGTAAGTACTTATGGTCTCTATTTAATCTAGGACATTAGTGTTGTGTTATTCAAATTAATTTCATAACTACACGTATTTACGGTATATCAGATCTCTGGGTAGGGTCTCTGTTAGCATCAAGATAGTGATTTCGTGATTCATCATCATGGCATTGCGCAACAACGAAACAAACATCTGTACTACAGTACTGGACAGTATACTGTCTGCCTGCAGCATGAACTCGATGGTGACTTAGAAAAGTACAGTTCAGTACAGTACAGTGTGTTACTGTACTGTTATACTGGTTGTCAATGGCATACTGTACTGTACTGTACACTGTGTACAGTACAGCATGCTTTTTTTCTTTCTTTATAGTACTGTACTGTACAGTACAAACTCTGCTAGTAGCTAGATTCATGGAATGGGACCGATGAGCACTGTAAGTACAGTACTGTACTGTATACGTTCGTGTGGAGCGCATGTTTTCGCCGAGGAAATCCCTACTGTATTAAGTTAATTAAACACCTATCTAGGGCAGTCTCGACACCGGATCTTAATAACTAATAAAGGTAGTAACTACAGTCAGAAGTCATGAACACGACTCAATACGTACGTACAGTATAGTTCTGTGCGGAAAACTCTCTTACAGATCTTAAGGCTGAATCTCCCCCGAGGTCGAGCTCCCGGGTAATTAGTCAAGTTCACGTTGAACTCCTAATGTCCACGATTGTTACATATAACCAATTATATTATTTATGATGATTAATAGCAGTAAACTCTTTAAGCAATCTACGTACTATAAATATGATGAACACGACGAAATAGTATGAAATCTAGTTCAAATATTTGAAAAAAGCCACAAGCCCTATCACAGTACAGTAATCCGCATCGCACCACATGAGTCTACAGCGCGGAGTAAAATATTCAAGGGTTACCAAAGATTTAGTTTTTAATTAATTAAAGATTTTCCAGCTACAGTACCACGCAAGTAGCTACCAGAAAAGCTCACAACTAGTGTAAATCGGTGACGTAAATAAATTTATCTCTAATCGTTTCATGCTTTAAATTTTACTATCTACAATACAACCATACACAGTACAGTACTGTGCCGTAGTTTTTCGATTGATTATAATAACTAAATAATTATACTGTACGGTACAACAGTTGCTCTTACACGCAATGTATTGTATGCGTTGCAGTATACTGTATAAAGTGTACACATAAAATGACAAGATGTGGCATATCAATAGGGGATACTTGAATGAGCGATACGGTTGCTGCAATGATAGACAAGTAAAGACAACTTGCTGCCGTATTAATCTTAATACACGACTAAAAATGGATATTATGCAGTGGACTTTCACAGCGTAACTACGCTGTACCGTAATTTCCAAGAAAAAATTCAGATCTTACTGGCTGTTAGTTACTGCTACTATGATAAGTACCCCATAAATATATAGGACGCGTAACTTTTAAATAAGGCCAACTACACTAAAGTAAAAGTAATTACTAAAAATTTTAGCACACAGATAACGAATGGCATTGCATAATACGGGTACATAAGGTCGTCTTACCAATTTCATAGAAGGTACTTCTCTACATTACTGACAGTAAACTTAACACTTGGTACTTTCACTTGAAGTGCAGTACAATACTGTACTTTTATTTTTTTACTAAGCAAACACTTCGCTTCATGCTACAAAAGCATATACGAAAAATAAGCAGTTTAGGAAATTTAGAAAGAAACTTTTAATCTCTATACTGGCATCCAAACATAATTAATACAATATTCGTCGAAGTACTTACATGTCTAGAAGATAATAGGGTTGAAATTAATCAAGAAAAAGGAAGTCTGCTGTCTACTAGCACTTGCTTTATTAACTGTAAAAACCTTCGATTCTCGAAACGGTACTGATGATCAGTACGGTTGTAACGTACACAAAATGCGCCTCAAAAACCACACCTCAATATTCATTAGAGGGTGGTCATTATATTGATACGATTTCTAAAGCGTACGGTGCTGTATCAGCAATGATGCTTCGATCCGTACTGTACAGTATACTGTATGCTGTACAGTGTACTGTACAGTATTCTGCCGGCGATAGCTACTTCCATGAGGAAATTCCTATACTGAAGCCCCTATTATATTATTATCAAACTATAGATTTCTGTACAATAGTTCAAAAATTTCTTTCATGATAGATGTACACTGTATTGTACTGTACACTGTACAGTACGCTAACTTTACATTTGCATATTCCATATCCTCACGGGCCTTACCCATTACCGTATACGTGCAGTAAGTGTATGTCTGTACACTATACACTATACAGTACAGACCAGTACCGACGGAGCAGTGTAACATGTGGTTACAGAATGAATGTAGCAACACTAAGTACTGTATACAGTACTTCATACTGTGACACTACTGTACTGTACAATGACGAAGGCATGGGCTGAGCTGAGTAGAAAAAATAAATCAAAGCACAGTACTGTTTTTTTATTACTGTACTGTACTGTACTGTACACTGAATAGTGAGTACAGTACTGCTATGGACCATTTTAGTTAGTAGTTATTCGCGTTTATAGACAGTACCGTACAGTACGGTACGGTGCAGTAGATCTTGCAATAGTACTGTACACTACAGTGTACAGTACAGTACAGTACAGTACTGACAGTACCGTACTGTACTGTATTTCGGTTTGATGAGTAGTTGAGAAAATACAGTAATTGTATAGCAAATTCATATCTGCGATAGACATCCAGTTGCTAATGCTAACACGCTGTTAAGTTGATTTTGTGCAGTATGATATACGATTTCATTAGTACCGTACTGTACTGTACTGTATAGTAGAATGACCGAAAAAATGACAGGCCTCCGTATTATTTTGCGCTGACGGCCCCTTTACCTCCCTTTTTCTTTTCTTTAGTAGTGAATTCAGTATGCACAATGAACCTGTAAGCCGTTTTCAGCGATGTCAGGCGACAGCTCCAAAAAAATATTTTTTGGGGGAGCCGTCGCAAACAAATGGCTGGAACGCCCTATAGTGTACAGCACTGTACAGTGCACGCTGCACAGTGTAGAAAAGATAAAAGGAAAAACACTGCGACCTACTGCACATTAGAGTTACAATACAGTACACTGTACTGTACTCAGTGTACTGTACTGTACTGTGCAGTACTGTACTGTCGAGTCCGAAAATTGTGAGTCATGTACAGTACTGTACTGTACTGCACTGTATACCTCATACAGTACATTGTACTGTACATGTCTCCCTCAAACATTATAGTACTGTACTGTACAGTACAGTGTACAGTGTACAGTACAATAACTGTCCTGGACTACAGTATACTTACGCGAGCGTATTATTAATTGTAAATATTGTATTTCGTATGGCATAGTATCTTGTATCCACACTGATCAGAGATTCACTCAGTGCATAAAATTATCGAGTCGTATTATGCATATAATATTTTGTTCTTAAAATTAAAGGAAGTCTTAGGAAGTTAATATGGACTTTTTTGTTTCTAGTTGAAGGAATATCGCGTGACAGGTCGTCACGCACCAACCGATAAGGAACCGAATCCCGCGCTTTATAGAATGCGTATTTTTGCCTCAAATGAAGTAACTGCCAAATCCAGATTTTGGTACTTTGTTCGTAAACTTAAAAAAGTTAAAAAGGGGACTGGCGAAATTTTAGAATGCCGTTTGGTAAATGCTTATTCATAATATTGCATAAACCATTTTGATTGCCAAGAGAACGCAGCATGCAACAGAAAGACTGTTTCATAATCTGTGTAACTGTACTCGAAATCTGTAGATCTGAAGTTTTGTGTTTATAAAAGTGCAACATAACAGTGTTTCTTTTTAAATTTTAACTTTATTAGTAGTTAATAAGCATAAATAATGAATATCTTGCGATCTGTGTAAGCTTAGACCCTAGCAGAACCCGATAATAAGCTTAATACTAAATGCCTATATGCTTTGTAATGCCCTAACTGGTTCAACTAGTGTACGTTTACATACTGTACTGTAACGCATATTTTTACTTGGGATATGAAAATTATCTCGTTAACGCTACGACAGAATTTAAATTCTAGTTTTGAAGGGTTACATAACTTTGTTAGTTAAATGTTTATAATTCGTAAATTATTGCAGATTACAGAAAAAACTCCAACGAAAATTAAAAATTTTGGAATTTGGCTACGGTATGACTCTCGCAGTGGAACTCACAACATGTACAAAGAATTTCGAGATTTGACCATTGGTGGTGCAGTCACAGCGTTGTGTAAGTTGATGCATATGTATGGAAGTCTTAAAGCACTTGGTATCAGATTGTAGTTGTGATAATTATTTTGCCTATATAACGCAAATGATAGAATCTATTAGAGTTGATCCGAATTCTTAATAGCAGTTTGCTATGCTGATACCTATGCATTATAGTGCACTGTTCAATTATTTACCATGTACGTTGTAATTTGTAAATGACCGTAGATGAAATTATATCTGGTAATGGCCGACTTATGGAGTTTAGGCTAATTAAAATAATATTAAATTTCTAAGCAAATTCTGTATTGATCTTGTAACCCATTATGGCATAAATTTAGTCAGAAATACGATGTGGTAAAGTAGATTTGTGATCTTTGTATGCCTATCTTATTATGTTAAAATTACTTTAGAATCTTTTAGAGTATTATTTTACATCACCTGCATTAATTTGTTGTTACCCGTTTCGTTACGTCATATAGATCGCGAAATGGGCGCTAGACATCGAGCAAGAGCCCGATCTATTCAGGTTATGAAGGTAGAGCCCATCGTAGCATCCAAAACTAGAAGGCAACCAATTAAACAGTTTCACGTAAGTTCCGCAGATTTACTACCATATTTTCGACATTCTAGCTAGGTCTTTCAAATGCATAATAATAACTATCATTTTGCTCCGATAGGATTCAAAAATCCGCTTTCCTCTGCCTCATCGTATCATAAGATCACAATTTAAATCCAAGTTCGTAGCGAAGAGGCCGAATACATTTTACTAACAGCTGTTTGGATAACTTCCATTCAAAGAACTTTCAAGTAACATAACTACAAATTATTGTGGGGTATTTCATACTTTACCGAAGTTGCGGTAATAGAATCATTTTATCGGTCGAAGTTTTCTCTATATTTCAGAATGGTCAGATAATCTAATAAATTTTGAAATATGAGATATGGTGAAGTCTTTTATGAGTACTAGAAAGTCATCTCTTTGAATCATACATATTGTAGATTAAATTGCATATAAACAAATTGAAAGGCACCTTTGACTTTTATATTTAGCGATGCTGAATAAGTTACTGTACATTATATAGTATGTGTAATTCGCTAGTGATGCTTTGAATTGCAGATACATCGCATATCGCTGTATGAGATCAGCAAACAGTATTCTTTTACTAGAAATAAATTTGTGGCCTAAAAGAATTTATTTAGTACTGTACTTTATTCACCTCAACGAGACTTCAGTGATAAATGGGAAATTACGTATAATTTGTATAAATGATCGGATTATTAACGGTTTCACTAAATAGGAGTAACCGTAATAATGTATCAATATAAGATACTATGTACTAGCCTAAAATTTCTACTATACCCAAGTTTAGGTATTAGGGTTCACGAGAGTATGCATCAAATTCGCATTCTGTTCATCTATAATTAAAACTGAATTGAAACTAAGATAGGCATACTCTTAATGAAGAGTTTATTGCAATACTGTAGTACTCTATTATGCAGGATAAAGGGAATACCGGGAAGTTTTCACTATGCTACTGTACATCATAAATAGAAAAACCAATCGCAGAGGATAGCATGGTTACAGACTGAAAACATACCGTGGAACTGTTGCAATTATGAATTCATGACCGTCCGCACACTCATTTACGGCCGATTACTAGACGAGGAGTACACGGATGTAGATTTCCGGTTAAGGTTATGCAATACACTGCATGACCCAAAATGAGAGCTGATGGTTTCTACTTACAAAGCGAAATGCTATCGGTGTAATTGTGCTTCATGCCTATTTGGCTGTCATACACTACAACTATACAATAGTTAACATTTGTTTATCTATAAACCATCAAGGTACTGTAATGTAGAGGCTAATTAACTGATGTTTAATATTAGAGTATTTGATTTGATATTTAACACATGTGCGTATCCTTTATTATTACGGATTTCAAAGCTTCAGTCCAGTCTGCTTACAAGAAAATATAATGAGCTTGAATACAACATAACAGGCAAAGGTACCACTACGGTAAGCACTAACTATAAGACCTCATAATGCTCTCCTCAAATGGCATGCCATAAAAGAGTCAAACAAAATTTAGAGTGAGTAAATATTTCATAAAATATCACCATTTAAAATAAATCACAAAAAACAAAAGAATCGTAATTTCAATGCATCTCAACATTTCACTATGCGTACAAAAATGAAATAGAGGTAAAAATATTATAATAAATTTTCACATAATTTAAGTTCTTTAATTTACTGATTTACTTCAAAACCCACATTTGGTAGCAATATTAGTAGCGGAAAGTTACAAAGAAAACATTGGGATATGCAGACACATACGAGTATTATACAGTTTTAATACATTTTCCTAAAAAGACCAAGATTAGGTTTGTTATACATATTATGTCCTATAGCATCATTGCACCAGTACGTACTAATGATATAAATAACTGTATTATTAGCGCGCTGTATATGACATATGTTTGTTATATTGGAATGTTTGAATATATTCGTATACATTACAGTACAGTACAGATGTACATACATATACGGTATATTAAGAAAATATTTGATACTATACTAACAAAAAGATTAGCGAAGCCATAGTTCGATGCAGTGTTGTACCCGACCCGCTTAGTTGCCGAAAAAAATCAGAAAGACTATCACCGGTTCAAAATATTTACGAGGTACTAATCTTCCAAATTATCATCAACTATTAGATCAGCGCGAACGGTTCTAATATCTCGCGATAACACTTAATAATAAATTAATATTAAAGGATCCCAAAAAGTTTTCCAGCCAAAATTATGTATCAGCATAACATTACCAAACGAAAGAACATATAAATCGCTCTTGCGTTTAGAAATTTTATCACACGATGAAGGAGTATTTAAGACCCAACATTAGATACCAGAATACATTTTTAAGCCTTTTTCAAATCGCGTTAAATTGTAAATAATTACTTTAAAAATCTTATCAATCATTTCTAAAATTTTTAATAAATTAAAAATCATATGTCCTGCAACATAACTAATCATAAAATGCATCAATCCGAATGTTAGCGATATTTTAACTAACATCTATCGAGCCTTGCAATTGTACAGCATAATGACAACTGACCTCTGCAATACAGAATTGCAATACACGTATGTTATCAACTCGTTTCCGGTCAGTACATCTTTTAGAGCTTTTGATGAGGTCATTTAATAGACCAATTTTGGGCGTGTTACGACGGTTACGGTACTAGGTAATCCAAATCTGCTCCGCTGAGGCTAGTCCATTGCGAATTGTCCGTACTTACTTTAGTGCTATTAGAGCTAACTCCCAAAGTAGAATTATTACCAATGTCTGACAAATACTCAGTACTGGCTCGCGATTCCGTAAGGGATTCTAAAGAAGATAAACTGCCGGATAAGCCGCTATCAATCCCAACGGTACAATTCTTTCCCGATATTAGACCCATGTAGCATGTTTGCTTTCGTAATTTCTCAAAAGAATTGATAAATATATACATAAAACTTGGGTTTTCTAAAGAAGCTAACTGAATAACTGCTCTTAAGCGATCTTCAGCTTTAAGCAGAGCGATAGAAGCTAAGCGAGATAGTATTCTATCGTTCCACTCTGAGATTCTTAGCAATTCATGAATGTGTAGTATTTCCAACACCTTACGGGTAATGTCGATAAAGCAATTTTTATCAACCAATAGTTCCGACGGAGTCTTAATTTCTGTACCTTAAAAATTAAGAAAATCAAGACGTAAACGTAAATTAATAAAAGCTTATTGGTGCTAACATAATTTTCGTAGGTAAAATTACCATAAGTGCCAAGCTTAATAGAATCATTCGAACCCTTATTTGTAAAATTTTCTGATTTCCTCCGTAATACTACACTTGTATTTTCTGAACTTTTTCCATTATTGCTTATAATTCCGGCACTGATAGCCTTCTCCGTATCAAATGCCCGAAAACCAGAAAAATACGGCAATTTATCTAAAAATTAAAACCTTTATTTCACACATCATCGGAACTCTTTATTACGGCATTAAAAAAAATAAATAATAGTATCGCAACTTGACATCATCACTCGATGTCTGAATGCATAATGAAATACTTAAATGCTCACCATCTTCATCTATCGGACAATCCGGCATTATTGCTTTACACAAAAGAATCCACAAAATCGTTGATGCAACTTGCTCTGGAAATGCAGTTCCAGAATTTTTCTTATGCAAAATAGCATCTTCTACTCCGGAGGCGATAGCATGATTCCAACATAGAGACATCCACCTAAGAATAGCAAGATCATGTTCATAAATTCGTAAAGGACAATTAATAAAAGTATCTCCAGTTCTTACTTTAGAATGTTATTCTTATCGAATAAATCAGCTGCGCAAGTAAAAAAATGTCGTGGACCTGATAAAAGTATTGGTCATCAATTACAAAATAGTAACGAGAAATCAAACGATTAAAGTATTTTTTAATTCGGTTTTATCCATTAAATACTTGATTTATCCATATCTAAGGCAGTAATGATTCAACACCTAATATGAGTTGCTGCAGACCAAGTTTAGCAAGTAAAAAGTTTAGCCTCTTCCAACAAAGACAAATCCAATCCACGGCTTGTTTTATAGAAACGGTACTATAAAGTATTCAATTGTTACTAGTAGCTTCAATTTACAATAAAGAGTTACAGTTTAGGAAGGCGTAAAACAGCTATATAAATGAATTACGATACAGTTCAGGGCCAGTAATCTAACTTCAGAAATTTTAAATTTATCTACAATCCCATACACTATGCTACAGTAGATGTGAATATTTCACTGACAAAATGTGATTTTTAGGTAAGTCATTAATAATTGAATTACCTGCTACGGAAAACACCACCATTTAAATGTATTATTTTTCTATTGAAATAGCGTATTAAAAGGCCAGAAACTGGCTCTCGATCGAACCGCAATTGTATCCATCGAAAGTGCTTTTGGGCATTTGTATCAATACTAGAAAGGCTTCAATAACAGCGAAAGCGGAATTAATTACTAATCGGTCATCGGCTTCATTGCTACATGTGCAGTGCATAGTCCTTTACCATATCATTAATCGGTAATATCTTAACATTCAAATTTGCCTTACTCAATTCTGTCTAACGCGCCAATGATATAAACATTTTCGCGAAGAAAATATTCTCCAGAAAGTTCTCGTGAAATGACTTCGTTGTTGTCAGATTTAAGAATAATCTGCGTCGGCTTAATATTAACCAAATATGACGGACCACGGTTATTTATTACATATAGCAGTTCACCAAAGAGAGAGTATAACGAAACTTGGGCTAAATTGTCTAAAATTATAACTGAAGTTCCACCCGATTTAAGGTAATTTATAGGATAATTTGATGGTATCAAAAGCTGCCGTTTATATAGCAATTCGATGATATCTCGCCGTCGATAACTTTTACACTTGCTTAAACGAATTACGTCCGGCTTCTGTTTCTCATTATCAGACTAATAATACATAAATTTAAAAAATTCGTCATATTATCACAAATATTAATGTAACCGAGCATAGTACATTAATTAATCAAGTTCTTTAAGTCAATGAATATTGCAGTAGTGAGTACTGACTGATACATATACAAATAAAATCTCGTTTCAATTCTAAAAGTGAACAGTGACGTAAAAATTAGAGCACTTACGTTAACGAATTGAGCAAGTTTATTAATCAGATCGACTTTACCAGTTCCTGGTGGACCATAAAATATTACGCTTTTACTTTCTTTAATCTGATATTTTATACAGGGAAACACCAATATCTTCATTTAAGGGAATTTTGGAAAGCTAATATGGGATAGTATTAAATTAAATGTTTATATAAGAACTACGTACCAAGGACAAATATTTTTGCAGCGTCGGAAGAGGTATCAGAGATTCGAACTCTAA